AGTACGTCCTCTACATGAATGTACACAGTGTCCTCCCTCATCTGTCTGTGCTGCTCCCTCCATCGCCCTCCACCCCTCCTCTGGGATTCCATCAGACAGACCTGTAGGAGTGATGGCCGACGGACACCACTCTCTGGTTTGTTTTTACTTCACTCCCTGGATCTCTACACGAGTTTGCTTGTTTTGGGCTCTGAGTGAACTCTGATCCATTAACGTGAATAATTACAGCGCGGCTCGTATAAATTAAACACAACCCCAGATATATTGTTACAGCCACACTAAGCAGAGCAGAGGCTATTTTGAGATTCATGATGGTGATTTTATTGGTCTCATTATGCTGCTCTGGGAGTCATTATCAGTGTTTCTCCCATTTATCATCCAGGAAACAGAAACAACTGTTTTTCTCTTTTAATAGTTGTGCAATTTCCAAGTAAAAAAAAAAAAGTAACCTTAGGTATTTATTTTTTTGTTATTCGAAGGTGAACTACTGTAAAAGAAGAAAAGCGGGTTGAAAGAATACGGATGTGGTGAGCTATGAGGTCATGCCACAGAATTTACGACTCCCATCCGACAGTAGCTGCTCTCACAAAAGCTTCTTTGTTTTTGGTGAACCTGAGCCAAGCAAGTCACAGTTTGTGGATTAGATGACCTCACCGGTTCAAGGTCACCGCAGAGTCAGCAAGAACGTGTTTGAGTGATGAAAACGAAACTCAGAGAGGAAGAGTGACTATCGTCTCAGAGGAAAAACAAGACAGTGTCAGGTCTAATAGAGATTTAGGATGTCAAATTTGATTTTTAAGATTTTATAAAAAGTGCATTTTAAGATTTAATTTGCAGCTCAGGGCTTTTCAAAGCAATAAAAAACTAATGCAAACAAAGGCTGGTCCTTTTATGTCCGTATTATGTTCCAAGGGAGTTCACTCATATCATAACCATTACTTGTATACATCCCACCCAAGGCAACGGCTGAAGTTCCATGTGACGTTCTCCATGATACTGTTGCGAGGATACAGACTCAGCATCTTGAGGCACTTGTTGGCACTTGCTGTGTTCCAGTTACCTCGGAAGTCGGACGTCGGAGCTGGGAACGATGTTACACCCGAGAAGACGACGTTCCAGTAAACAAGTCAGGAAACCAAGATGGACGCTCACTGCTAGCTGTTGTTAGCTATTGTTTACAATTGTCAGGTGTTGTCAGCTGTTGTTGTAGCCGTTGTCAGTTGTTTGTTTGTGTGTTTGTTTGTTTAAGATTGTCAGGGGGCGCTCCAGATGAATTTCCGACTTCCGTGTACAACTGGAACACAGCACAAATACCACAAATATGTTAAATCATTACTATACTTTGTACGGAGCTTGTCGTTTTTTTTTTTTACATTGTGCATCGTGAAAACATGCCCTTGAATGCAGCTTTAAAGGTGCAGTCTGCAGCGTTTAGAGGCATTTAGCTGCACAGATTCAGCAGAAATGGAAATATCATTCATAATTATGTTGAAATTGGTGTGAAATCTACACATAAAAAGTCTTGCTGTTGTTGAAAAATGCAAAATGCAGCAGCTCCATGATTCGATCAGACCCATTTGTTATGGGTGCAGGACTTCAAATGAGTGTCTCTTCATCTTCAAATGTTGCACTGGGCGGTTCGTCTGTTGCACACGAGAGTCCTGAAGCACATCTGTGAGTGTTCACTTGGTTAGTGATGCAGAACCTGAAACTCCTCTGTTAATCTTGTCTAATTTTAGGGAGATGGGTTAACAGTAGCTCATATATGATTACAAAGCAGAAACAGAAGAAGATTGAAAGCCAACTTCTCAGACTGGACCAGAGCCAACACGACCCGGGGAGCATAGCAGGGCTGCTGAGGCGTGACCCTCAACTACCTGGGTGGCTGGGAGAGATTATCTCTGATTAATCGGCAGAGCTTCTGCCTGGAGTCTCTGATTTAATGGAGACTATTTCTGGAAACCAGAAAATTACAAGCCAAGGACTTTGAAGATTCCCCCCAGTCAGGAAATACCTGCAGGTAAATCTGTCACTGTAAACCAAACCTAAAAAGACTTGTACCGTGAAGGGCTGGTTGTTAAAACTTCAACAGGGTGCCCAAAACTCGACAGACTGACTCTGCCATCCAAGCTACAAGCACATCCAAAAAAGGTTTTTAGAAAAGTCAAAGTGGTTTTCTTTCAATGTTGCATTTCTGTCGGTATGTTGGCTTGTGTTTTGTGGTTAGAAAGGGGCCCGGCTCTTCCAAATAAGTCCAGCTCTGCTTCACAAAAGCTTTCAGAAAGTTTTCAAAATATGGAGGAAGTTAACTTTCTACTTCAAAGTTTAACAGAGACAAGAAAGCAAATTTACATACATGAAAACATCATCTTGATTCAGTCAACTCTCAAAAACAGGGGAGGAGAAAAAAAGTACCAAAGGTCGGTGAGAAGCAGACAAGATCAGGGTTTTGTTTGGCTGCCATGGTGATTTCATTAAAGAGATCCTCTCAGGGTGGATTTCTTTTTGAAAATCACTCAGTTATGGCAAAAAAAACAGACGCATGTGTCACTCTGAAGGTATGTCTGCGCCTGCAGCCAGCGTGTAAGCTCTAACTCAGTGAAAGACAGCGCAGTACGGTACAATAACAAACACAGAGACACTGATTCAGCACCTTTTCGACCTCAATGATTAGGTCAAAAGTCACTCCTGAAGCCGGGTGGGGTCTACTTGTGTTGTAAAGATTATATACACAGATTTCAGAGCTCAAAGTCAAAACAGAGTCTGAGCCAGAGAGGTGTCTAACATATTCGTTATTATTGTGGTGTTATCACAAACCAACGTGGAACACCTTCCATGTCATCTATTTATCAGCTAACATCACCGATTCATCCAACCCGTTTCTGAGTTACACACACAAATGTTTTTAACCACTTTTAGCTCTAACCTTTGAGCTGTTTTAACTGTTTAATTTTGTCTTTAAGCTCATATTCAATCTTAATTTGAAGCTGTTTAATTATCTTAAATCAACTGTAAGACAATAGTCTGGTTAAAGCAACTAATCGGGTTGTTATTGTAGCTCAACTTGGACCTGATCGTTATTGTGTTAACACCTTTTACAAGCACACATATAGAGTTACAAGCATGTGAAATGAAGACACACACTGCATGCTTAAGGTGTGTCTTATCTTCAGTCTGTGTCAACATCTCTGTCATTCACCTGGACTTGGATTATTCATAAGGTGGGGTTTTGAATAGCTTGGTGGGGTCACATATCATGTAGATAAACAAAATAGCAGGGAGGTCCTTTTAATCACGCCATAAAGACGCAGAAAGTAAATAATTAAGGATCACGACTTTGTAGGTTACCAAGAACTTGACTTTGGTCAGAGTTTATTGTTATTCCGTTGTAAAAATCACAGGTTGACTTTAAAAAATAGGAGTGTGACACGGTGATATGAGACTTTTAAATTATTCAGTTCGATGTTAATTGTTCAAAGTGTGTGTCTGAATTCAAAGCAGAGTTGGTGCATCATTAATGAAATTAAATCATGATAATAGAGCCATAAATACGTGACCCTTTGTGACTCCAGGATAATTAAAATTCACTTTAGACTCATAAATAATAATTATAGGACACTAATTCAAGTTGAAATGAGCGATAAAGTCGATGAAATGATACAATAATCATAATTTTTCTGCTAAAATGAGAGCACAGCTTTAGCATGTAGTAGGGGAGACCAGGGCTTGTTGTCACGTGGGTAAGTTGTCACATTGCAATTATCTTTGCCACCAGAGGGCGCAACTATAAAGTGGAATACTAGTTTTCTTCCTTTGCATGGTCAGAGTGTGAGCTGAGATGAGCACCAATTAACCATTTTGCACAACCCAAAGTAAAAAATTTTAACTTTATATATTTTAAAATAAGCTTAAAATCCTAGCAGTGAAACATGTGGACTTGTTGAAGGACATTAAGGCATCCTGTCATACATCAGTCATTGTTCTGTTTTGAGCTAACTTTAAGCTAGAGCTCTAATTAGCAGACATGATAGTTTAGAGGTGGGATTTATGACCTATACCCGTATATCCCGGCCCGTTTATACAGAAATCTGGCTGATTTTATTTGTCCGAACCACTGACAATTCAGAGCAGAGATCAGGGAGCAGAGCCGCAGTCCTACACGCCCCTCTGCGCCTCCTTTCGAGCAGCTTCCCAGCCACTATCATTTATATACAAAGACTAGGGAGCAGAGCTGCAGTCTTACACGCACCTCTGCACTCCCTTCAGAGCAGCTTCCTACCTACAATCAGCTAATTTAATGTCAACTACCATACCTTGGCTCGGTACTGCAAAATATTCACCCCAGCTGAAATACAGAGTCAGACAGATCTCCAAACTCCAGAGCATGTTGAATAATATTTTATGGTAACGTTTGTTCAATGACTTTCTCTAGCTCAAAGACAAACATTTTCTGTGCCTGACTTTGAAGTTCGCTTTCAAGTAAAAAAAATTAGAACAACAATAATTTTGTCCTTGCTTTATTAGCTGCAAAAATCCACTGTGACATCTTACATGTTCAAACTCTCTATTTGATTGCTTATAACTCTGCGCAGACACAAGATATGAATATGACATGAATACAAAATATATACCTGAGACTTTACTCTTTCATCTGGTACACATTTGGTTTATACATGATGTATTGATTTCAAGATATATACAAGAGTGTAAAAGTGTGACAACCATCCCCGGTCTCCCCTACATTTATTCACTGTTGTGATGTTTTCTGCTCTCAGACTGGACTCAAGCCTCTCCCACCGTCAAAAAAACTCAGATGAAGTATTTCCGCGGCTCTATAAATACAGACTGAACTCACATCTGCCTCTCAGATCGAGGCGTGGTCAGTCTGAACCAACAGGTGGAGGAGTCTGTGCAGCTGCAGTCACTCTTCATCCTCAGGATAACTACAACTACTACAACCACCACCGTTATTTCTCCGGTAAAAACACATCTGCATCAACATGCCAAAGTGCCCCAAGTGCCAGAAGGAGGTGTACTTTGGTAAGATTTCGCTCTTTTTGCTCTCGTTTAGTTCGTGTTGTGTGGATTCTTGTGTTTGAAGACGTTTCCTGATGAATTAAAGTGGAATCTGTTCTGCAGAAATGCGGAAACAGGAAACAGAGATAAGCACATGATGTTAAGCAGAAATGTAAACGTGTGTTTTATTCTCTTAAGTTTATTTTTTATTAGTTAATCAATGCACGGTGAATTTCAGCAGTCCTATCTGCAGGTTTAATGTAACATTTATGATGTATTGCTCTTGTACTTGAGTAGTACTTGAATTAATGTAACGTGATATCACGTGATGTGCATGTGTGCTCCATGTGCAGAAATCTGATCTTTTAAGAGTAGTTACTATCGTATATAAAGACTGAAATCATTACCTTGGATATTAATTAACTTACAAGGAAAAGTAGAGACATTTTTATGTTGTATTTTGCCTCAAAAAAGCTCATTTTGTCACTAGAAAACTCCTCTGAATGTAGAAAAATGTACAAGTTTGGTTCAGACAGAGAGTGTCCCTCACACTTCTGCTGCAGACTTGTAGAAAAATCAAAATGCACCATTTTAATATCCTTATTTTCAGACAAATTCTGACAAATAGCTTCCACCTACTCCTTTTCGATCTCCAAATATAGGTGAATTTCTTGTCTAGAATTGTAATGTACGTATATTTGATCGAGAATAACAATAATTATCTTTAAAAGTCCCTGAAATTGTAGAAAATTTTGGATAAACAACCGCAGAGTGAGTCGATGTACCTTTTCTTTTTTTTTTAATAATCAAATTTTATTTTATTTTAAGAATTTACATTGAACCGTAAATCATTTTAATTCAAATAAAGTAGAAAGTGAGGAAAAAAAAGAAAACAAAACAAACAAAGAAGGGTAAACAAAGAAAAGTGTAAACGTACCTTTTTGTTGATTTTATCTTGAGTATCAGTCTGATTTTGCTTTTCATTTATGCTTACGAGTGCATTTTTGTCCCCTGTACTCTATAAACTCTTAACTATCGAGACAGGAAAGCTTCACGTTTTGCTGACTGTGAAGATTTAATCTGTTTGGATGACTCGGGAGAAAAAAGTCAAGAGAGCTAAAACAATCCCATCCTCCCAGAGTGATCTCTGAGCGCTCTTAAAGAGTAATTACAGCATCCGCTGAGGAAAAAGGGGACAGCTCTGTTTTATACTCGTCTTAATCCATTTACCACATCAGCCGCTCCTCTGGACTGCGATGGAGTAAATCTCGCTCAGAGGTCGAGGCCAACACAGGCTCCAGAGAAGCCAAGTCTTTGGACTGTCAGTCGGATGAATTGACCGTGAGACTGAACTATGCTTCCAGTTCTTCCTCTCGGTGGATAAACTTTCACTTTCCCCGCCAAAATAAGCAGAGGGATTTGTTTCGGTCAGACACGGCTGACCAGTATTTTTCTTCACAGCATGGGATGATAAAAATTAAATATAGTTTAAGAGAGAAGTGGCCCTGAGCAGATTTTGTTTAATCATTGTCCCGCACCGTCTGGATCATTAAACTACGGTTATAAACTCAAACCCTGCAGCCAGTAATCATCTCCAACTTTACTCGACTTGCTTGTGCTGCCCATCCGTCTTTATGTGTCTGAGCTCTCAGATGGAAACAATCAGGCTACTGCTGCTTCAGTGATGAAGAAGAGGAGGAGGAGGAGGAGGAGGGTTTTGGTCTGGATCCAAAATCTGAAAGAGCAAAAAACAGAAAAAAACACAGAAACTCTGCAGCCTCACATGTTTTCCACTGTAGGATGATGGACTTTAAGCTGTTTGTATACAAGCTGTTGGACAAATATCATAACCTCCTATCTTTATCTTCTTCATGAACCTTTTTTTGGGGGGGAGAATGAAGCAAATACTTGACCAGCTTCCTCCATAGTGTGTTTTTCCATCTGCATTCATGTCTGTTTGTGTATTTTGGACTCCACCCTTCATACTTTAGCCAGTTACAGTTGATGCAGGGAGCAAATCAGATCTTTCTTTTGCTCGTCACGACTTGTATCGTCGATACATCACTGTCAATAACCTTTATGCTAAAGCAAATCCACCTTTGATACAGAAAGACACATAACCTCTGGTGTCATAGCAACCCTGTCAACTTGTTGTTGTTGTTTTTGTAGGTGACTACATTTATTTGCTGAAGGGTTTTCATGCGACTAGATTGTTCAGTTGACCTCACCCTGGAGCACTGGGGCTCATTTCCACTGGTTGTTGCACAATCTCATACCAGATCAGCTATTTTTAGGGGGAAAACGCATCATATCCTGGTTTTGTGGGAGCGTTTACAGACCAGTACTTATGCATGAAAATGGATCACGTTGCAGTTTTTGAAACGTCTGCATTTCCTCCTGATGAGTAAAGTTTGAACCGTTTGTAACGCAGCACTTCCTGCGGTTGCTCTTTCTGACCTCAAACTTTCGCTGATGAATTCGAAGTTGATCTAAACTTTGCTCATCATCACCGTCAAGACAGCAGGGTCAATCACCTCCAGACGAGTGTTTGTGCAGATCCACCCTGCTTTATCAGATTTTATGAGGCCAGAGGAGAGATTCCCCCGAGGACAATCAGTCCTCTTTAACCCCGTAGTGCCACACCCTGACAATGTTCTCAGGATTATCTGCGAAGACGTTATCTTGTTTATCCAAAACTGATAGTTGGTCGCAGCACGATGAGCTCATGCATCAGCTGAACCTCAGACGAGATCGTGACCCCGTGGCACTTGCGTCCTCTCTGCAGACTACAAGAGCTCTCTTTGTGGTTGAAGTTCAAGTGGAAGTGGTTTTTTAATTTGGTCTCTTTGTGTGTTTTTTTTTTGCAGCTGAGAGGGTGACATCGCTCGGCAAGGACTGGCACAGGCCCTGCCTCAAGTGTGAAAAGTGCAGTAAGACACTGTCAGCAGGCTCACATGCAGAGGTGAGACGAATGAATGAATGAATGGGTTTTTTTAATGTTCATTTAAAACCAAAAAGTTCTAGATTTAAATTAAAAGAAAATGAACTGATGCATCTTTGCTCCTTGCAGCATGACGGCAAGCCGTACTGTAACAACCCCTGCTACTCTGCAATGTTTGGACCTAAAGGTGAGTGTCCTCAGATTCAGATTCTTCCACTTTGACTTAACTTTAAATCCACAGGTCACCAACACACCTGGCCATGAGACACTTTGCTTAAAGATTCACAAAGTCAAAGCTGGATTACTGAAGTGACTCTTCCTCTGTTTACATTCAGGATTTGGACGTGGTGGGACAGAGAGTCACACATTCAAATAGAGAGGTGGGTCTTCACTCGTTTGCATGTCTTCATTTTCACTGATACATACATTTACATTCTGTATATCAAGATTAAGCTCGACTTTGACTCCTTGCAAAGTTGCAAACACACCCATTGTTCTCTGTGTGTTTTCTCTGCTTCGTCATCAGACGCAGTAAAAAGTTGCCTGGAAACCAGATCGAAGACACCAGCATGGTCACACAAGTCTCCAGCAGCAGCAGCAGCAGCAGCCGGCGTTCTCAGCAGGACCTACGTTTTGTGTGCATGTGTTTTATTCGCTGTCTGTGATCTCTGTTTTTGTTTTTTCCTCTTACAACTTCCTCTTCTGAAGGTGGAAAATAAACACTTGTTAAATTTGTGATTTTTATCATTTTTACTGTCTTTTTTTTTTGTTTTACCGTAACTCATCCTTGATCTGGCAGAAAAAAAAAAACCTTGAGTCCAAAAGTAGAAAGGTCAACGTATATGTCTGAGATAAAAGTAAAACAGGAACAAGTAAATCAAAAGATAAACAAACTGATGAATCTGGGGAAATCTTTAGGTTCTCAACTGGTGGGTACCGACCCAAAAGTGGGTAGCAGACACGTTCTGGATGGGTCATGAACAGCTGGTCAAAAAAGTATATATTTAATGTGATATTTATTAGATATTCAATATTTTAATACTTTAGCATATTGTAGGGGAGACCGGGGCTTGTTGTCACATTTCAATAATCTTTGCCACCAGAGGGCGCAACCAAAAAGTGGAATACTAGTTTTCTTCCCCTGCATAGTCAGGTTGTGAGCTGAGATGAGCGCCAATTAACCATTTTGCACAACCGAGCCGCAGTCTGACACGCCCCTCTGCGCCTCCTCTAAAGCAGCTTCCCAGCCACTATCACTTATATACAGAGACTATTATTGATTTCAAGATATATACAAGAGTGTAAAAAGTGTGACAACCATCCCCGGTCTCCCCTACATTTATTCATTATTGTGATGTTTTCTGCTCTCAGACTAGACTCAAGCCTCTCCCACCTTTAAAAAAATCTCAGATGAAGTATTTCCACGGCTCTATAAATACAGACTGAACTCACATCTGCCTCTCAGATCGAGGCGTGGTCAGTCTGAACCAACAGGTGGAGGAGTCTGTGCAGCTGCAGTCACTCTTCATCCTCAGGATAACTACAACTACTACAACCACCACTGTCTTTGCTCTCCGGTAAAAACACATCTGCATCAACATGCCAAAGTGCCCCAGGTGCCAGAAGGAGGTGTACTTTGGTGAGATTTCGCTCTTTTTCCTCGTGTTTTAGTTCGTGTTGTGTCGATTCTTGTGTTTGAAGACGTTTCCTGATACATTAAAGTGGAACCTGTTCTGCAGAAATGCGGAAACATGTTATATAAGCACATGATGGCAAATAGATATTTCAAAGTGTGTTTTATTCTCTTAAAGTTAATCTTTCTATTCAATCAATCAATCAATCAACTTTATTTCTATAGCACATTTAAAATAACCACAAGGGTAGCCAAAGTGCTGTACAATGACACATAAAAACAAATAACACAGTCAAAGAACAAGATAAAGCCAGCAGAAATACATTAATGCAAAGGAATAAATAAAAGTGCTAAGATGATAAAAAACAAAATAACACTAAAAAGTATCAAAAGCCAAGGAGTAAAAAGGAGTATTAGTTAATCAATGCACAGTGAATTTCAGCAGTCCTATCTGCAGGTTTAATGTAACATTTATGATATATCGCTCTTGTACTTGAGTAGTATTTGAATTAATTCAACGTGATATCACGTGATGTGCATGTGTGCTACATGTGCAGAAATCTGATCTTTTAAGAGTAGTTACTATCATATATAAAGACTGAAATCATTCCCTGGGATATTAATTGACTAATAAGGAAAAGTAGGGACATTTTTATATTGTATTTTGCCTCAGAAAAGCTCATTTTGTCACTTAAAACTCCTCTGAATGTGGAGAAAAATGTACAAGTATGGTTCAGACAGAGAGTGTCCTTTACACTTCTGGTGCAGACTTGTAGAAAAATCAAAATGCACCAAATTAATATCCTAATTTTCAGACAAATTCTGACAAATAGCTTCTACCTACTCCTTTTCGATCTCCAAAAATAGGTGAATTTCTTGTCTAAAATTGTAATGTAAATGTACCTTTTTGTTAATTTCATTTCTAGTGTCAGTCTGATTTAGCTTTTTCATTCAATAAACTGAATTGACAGTGAGACTGAACTATGCTTCCAGTTCTTCCTCCCGGTGGATAAACTTTCACTTTCCCCGCCAAAATAAGCAGAGGGTTTTTTTTCGGTCAGACACGTCTGACCAGTATTTTTCTTCACAGCAGGGGATGATAAAAATTAAATATAGTTTAAGAGAGAAGTGGCCCTGAGCAGATTTTGTTTAATCATTGTCCTTATAAACTCAAACCCAAACATTCAATAGCATGGGACAAATAAATAAGCAAAGTGGGCTTCAGAGTTTTCGCCTGACCTGGTGTTTTACAGAGTCTTCATGAACCTTTTTTTGGGGGGAGAATGAAGCAAATACTTGAACAGCTTCCTCCATAGTGTGTTTTTCCAACTGCATTCATGTCTGTTTGTGTATTTTGGACTCCACCCTTCATACTTCAGCCCATTACAGTTGATGCAGGGAGCAAATCAGATCTTTCTTTTGCTCGTCACGACTTGTATCATCGGTTAAATACTGTCAATAACCCCTGTGCCAAAGCATGCTCTGCCAAATCCACATACAATACAGAGAAAACAAAACTTCTTGGTGTCATAGCTACCCTGTCAATCAAAACAAAACCTTTAATTACTACTTGCAGAGTCGAACTATTTGCTCTACCCAAATGTTGTTGTCGGTTTTTGTTTTTGTAGGTGACTACATTTATTTGCTGACGTGTTTTCATGCAACTAGTCTGTTCAGTTGACCTCACCCTGGAGCACTGGGGCTCATTTCCACTGGTTGTTGCACAATCTCATACCAGATCAGCTATTTTTAGGGGGAAAATGCATCATATCCTGGTTTTGTGGGAGCATTTACAGACCGGTACTTATGCATGAAAATTGCAGTTTTTCAAACATCTGCACTTCCTCCTGACTAGTCAAGTTCGAACCGTTTGTAACGTATGTGAGGCAGAGCACTTCCTGCGGTTGCTCTCTCTGACCTCAAACTTTCGCTGATAAATTCAAAGTCAATCTAAACTTTGCTCATCATCACCGTCAAGACAGCCGGGTCAATCACCTCCAGACGGGCGTTTGTGCAGATCCACCCTGCAGATACAGACCGTCTTTGTCAGACTTTATGAGGCCAGAGGAGAGATTCCCCCGAGGACGATCATTCCTCTTTTACCTCGTAGTGCCACGCCCTGACAATGTCCTCAGAATTATCTGTGAAGACGTTCTCGTTTATCCAGAACTGATAGTTGGTCGCAGCACGATGAGCTCATGCATCAGCTGAACCACAGACTAGATCTGTGTGTGTGTGTGTGACCCTTTCTGCAGACTACAAGACCTCTCTTTGTGGTTGAAGTTCAAGTGGAAGTGGTTTTTTAATTTGGTCTCTCTGTGTGTTTTTTTTTGCAGCTGAGAGGGTGTCATCACTCGGCAAGGACTGGCACAGGCCCTGCCTCAAGTGTGAAAAGTGCAGTAAGACACTGTCATCAGGCTCACATGCACAGGTGAGACGAATGAATGAATGCAGTGTTTTCCCAACATTCATTCCATGCGCCGCTACTTAAATTTCACATGATCATTAATATCAATGCACCACTAGTGATTTCTACTCGCACTGTGTGAGCACAAGAACACTTGTTATCTTTGACTTATTTTGAGTCATCAACGAGTGCATCAAATCCTGTCGGACCCTCTTCCATTACTGTGAAGGGTAGTGTTCAAGCTTATACGTGGTCTATATAGCAAGTAGCGTGAACGTAACTGCGTAGTCCCTTGAGTGGCAAGAGATTCTGGGGGAAACACTGCATAATGTGTTTTTTCATGTTTGAGGAGAACTGTTCATTTAAGACCAAAAAGTTCAAGATATTCAGATTAAAGAATAAAGCACTGACGCTTCTTTGCTCCTTGCAGCATGACGGCAAGCCGTACTGTAACAAACCCTGCTACTCTGCATTGTTTGGACCTGGAGGTGAGTGTCCTCAGATTGAGGTCTTTACACATCTTCCACTTTGACTGAACACGGTGAGATGTTTTAAATCCACAGGTCACCAAAGATGGCAACACACCTGGCCATGAGACACTTTGTTTAAAGATTCACAAAGTCAAAGCTGGATTACTGAAGTGACGCTTCCTCTGTTTACACTCAGGATTTGGACATGGTGGGACAGAGAGCCACACATACGAATAGAGAGGTGGGTCTTCACTGACTTGTTTGCATGTCTTGCTTCATTTCACTGTTTTACATTCTGTATATCAAGATTAAGCTCGACTTTGACTCCTTGCAAACACACCCATTGTTCTTTGTGTGTTTTCTCTGCTTCGTCATCAGACACAGTAAAAAGTTGCCTGGAATCCAGATCGAAGACACCAGCATGGTCACACAAGTCTCCAGCAGCAGCAGCAGCAGCAGCAGCAGCCGCGATCTCAGCACGACCTGCTGCGTTTTGTGTGCGTGTGTTTTATTCGCTGTCTGTGATCTCTGTTTATGTTTTTTTCCTCTAACAACTTCCTCTTCACAAGGTGGAAAATAAACACTTGTTAAAATTTGTGTTTTTTTTTCATTTTTACTGTCTTTTTTTTTTGTTTTACCGTAACTCATCCTTGATCTGGCGAATAAAAAAAAACTCGAGCCCAAAAGAAGAAAGGTCAAAGTATTTGTCTTAGTTAAAAGTAAAACAGGAACAAGTAAATTAAGAGATAAACAAACTGATGGATCTGGTGAATACTGGTACTCTGCAGTGTCCTAGAGCAGTGGTTCTCAACTGGTGGGTCCCGACCCAAAAGTGGGTAGCGGATACGTTCTGGATGGGTCACAAACAGCTGGTATATGGAACTTCAGTAGTTGTTGTCCTCATGTTGTCCCCTTCATGTGCTCGGAAATGCTTGGAAATTTGAGTCTTTAAAGGTTTTTTTTTTCTTTATAAAAAATTAATTTGTTTGGTTTGGATTCTATAAAAGCGGGTTGCCACTTAAGGACCATAGGAAAATGTAGGTCCCAGAGTGAGACCAGTTGATAACCACTATCCTAGAGGATTTCCAGTTCAAAGGTCAAACTGAGATACACCCGCAAAGAGAAAATAATGCGAAGGTCACACTACTCAGTAGCCACGTTTACGTTTGAGGGATGGGATAATCTGAATCCACTGTTTATATGGGTGCAAGATCAAATAATCTGATCATGTCGTGTGTATACATGCACCGAGCTTTATTCAGATTAGAAGCATTTAGACGTGCAGAGTTGTCTAATTTAGCTAAAACAACCACAGAAGAAGAAGAGTTGTATTTACGCCTGTGCTGTCAACAAACCAACAAACGGCAAAGTGGCTCACTTCATCCAGTTCAGGAGTTTCCCCCCCGTTAAATGTTGTCACTAGATGGCGCCCTTGCGTACTTATTTTACTGTTCTGTCAAAGGGTGCACCGTGCATACAGATGTGACATCATTACGCTGTATGTACGCCTTGTTATGTTATTGGAGGAGCAGACACGTCACCTGCGGTGTGTCAATAATGAAACCTCCTGTACTGACCTCAATAAATGAAAAGTGAAGATTGAGTCAGGTAAGAAAGTCACGATAAGTGTTTACATGGACGTGTTTCGGAATAAAGATCGGCATAAACCACCTCTCTTGAACGGAATACAAGTTCTTTCTGATTGAGCCGAATTGGATCAGAATCTTCCGATCAACATGTTTACATGATGCATTTTTATTCCGATCAGGCATTTATTCAGATTATTTGTGCCCATGTAAACACAGCTATTGTCTCGTTTTGCAGATATAACTTTCATTTTCTTATCCCCTATGATCTCACGTCTCTCACAGAAAGACAAACATTTTTGCCTCCTATGATATGTCTTGTCTTATCAGCGATGTTGACCAATAAGAGCATGAATTATTTTATACCGACATAAAACTTGAGCGTAAACAGGATAGAAAAAAGAAAGTTCGTCAACTTCTGGCTGCTTCTGTGATGGTTTTCATCAATTTTTCGGCCTTCATGAGGACAAAAAGTAAACTCACTGCTTGTGCTTTTTATGTGTTTATAGTCTTCTTTCTGGTTATTGTATTCATGTCGTGTTGATTGGTCAGTTTAGTCTAACTTCAGTGTAACTGGGGGACAGATATACACACAACTGAAACACCAACAATAAGGACGAGGCACATCTACATATGTATGACTAATGTGACTATTATATGAGGTGTGCCACTTGACCTTCAAAATGCCGCCAAGAAAAATGGAAATTTTAACATCTGCAGTTCCATGACAGCTGAGCAGAGTCCGTCCACTGAAGGAAAATCGGTTCATGAGACTAAAATCTCCAGAACACTTACTGAATGGATTTCATGGTGAGAGTGTTTTTCCAGCTGTTTCCAGGATCAGGAATAAACGTGTGTGTAATTCAGTTGATCCTGTTCTGGATATCTTACTGTGTCACAATGACGTCTATTTTTAACCCTGGTTTGGATTAATCTAAACATGATTAAAGACGTGAACTCTGCTCAGTGCATTGTGGGTACCCTTCCTGAGTCTCTGCAGATCCGCCACATACTTCAGGCCTCTTCTGCCAGAGCTGTTTCTTTTGCGGGGCCACCCTCACTGTGTGTGTGCGGTCACGTAGCAGCAGTCCGCCTCTGCCAGCGCCCATGCCGTCGTAGCTTCATTGTTGCTACGACAACAGACACAAACAAAACCCAACAGACAGCCAGTGTGCCTGTCGGTCTGGCTGTCTCCCTTTTCCCTCTGCAACAAAGACGCCCACTGTCGCAGGAAAATCCCTGACCAAAGCCAGGGACACTGAGGGGAACATGCAGAGGATGTTTGGCAGTGGGACGCGTTAAGATTTTAATTAAGTCAGCTGTGAAATTGGACTTGTTCATCCATCCTTTGGCACTTTAGGCTGTAGGATGTACCTGCCTGTCTTACAGTCTGTATTTCAGTGATTAAAAAAGTGGAAATTCTCCCTTGCTCACCCCTCTTGTTGATCTAGCAATGGTGGCCTTTAAGGACAAAAAGCCCCTGAGATGCATTTTTAGTCTTTCACTGCTCTAACTTGGTTTCCTGAAGTGTTTTAGATCCTCCCCCCTGATAACAGTAGTTTACATTTCAAGAATGCAAATATCTCTTCCTCACTCAGGCTTTCTGCATAGGAAATACCAGCGAGTTGGTTGTCACGGTGATGCACCCGGATGTTTGTGTAAGAACGGCAGCATCACCCAAGTTCCCAGTTTGATGGTTATCTCAGGCTCTTGATGTTTTCACAGCACCGGCTGCTTAATTTAAGATGTTGAGCACCATCATTTCCTAGTATGAAAATAAAAACAGCATCTTTCAGGGATTAGAGATGTCTGTAGAGTGGTGAAGTTAACTTATATAGCACTTAAAGTGAAAAGTTACAGGCGGGAGGCTGGGGGGATGCCGACATCCTGCAGAGTCAGCATGAATCAGAGGCCCCTCAGTGATGAAGATGTAGAATTAGAGCGATACTTTTACCTGCTACCAGCAAAGATTAGTAAGACGATTCATCAGTTTGAGGTGAACCATGCTAATGAAATAGACTTAATCACATTATCAGCTGTAAATATTAACCGCAAACTGCAAATATGCTGTGAAAGGAAGGAAGTAGGATGAGATTATTGGTCTGAAAATTATACCGAGGAATACGCAAAATATGATCAGCCCTCTGAGAGATGATTCAGCATATTCAATACGAACCATGTCTCTCACAGTAAACCCAGTTTTCCTGATTTTATGTCACATTATTCTTAAACTACTTTTTCCTCTGATGGAGAAAACAACACCAATAAATAAATAAAGAGGAGGATGACTTATTTCCTGGAGCACAGCAGTCAGTCTTAAAACTGTATCAGCTGTCTGAAAGTCATTAAATTAGGGCTTCCAGTTAACACACACACACACACACACACACACACACACACACACACACACACACACACACACACACACACACACACACACACGCCTCTGCCATCATGCTATCATTAAGTGGAACATCTGTCTTTATACAAGACTCCTCTTTTTTTTTAAACAAGGTTAATTAAAGCAGTAATGTTACATGTGAAAGTAATCTACCAGTTTTCACACACTGTGGTCCACTTACTGTTAGACAATATTATTAAAAATGGCTGTAGTGGAGCAGAATTTGCTAAAAGGTGGTTATTTTCTGGTGTCTTTCTATAGCTAAACCATACAAACAATTATGGGACTTTTGGTAATTGAAGGATTTGGCGCCCTCTGTGGGCCACACTGTCTGTCTCATTTCCTTACTGATACAGTGTTTTCCCTCACACGCACAATAGCAAATAACTATCTTGTCATTGAACCCTCATTTGTATCCCTAACAGGAACATTATTGCTCTATGATCTGTCTTGTCCCCCTCTCTATAATTACAGGCATTAAAATTTACAACATGGAAACACTTTAATTTATCATTAATGGTCTCGTTTACTTTTGTAGCCCTCATAAAGATGCCTTAGTGTTCATTTCAGTCTGTTTTATAATCCGCTAAAAAAAAAAACTCACAGTGGCTTTAACAAATTACTCAATCTATAAAAACTGAAGGACTTCTGTGGGGATTTGGTGTGACTTGAAGAGCAAAAAGAAGTTTAAAAACATAACTTCATAACTTCATTGCTCTGTATCCTGTAGAAAACACATCCTGAACAAATAAAAGCAGCTTCTAAAAGGTCTGTGAACTCTTTATTCGCCTCCACAATAAGTGCACGCTCTTTACATCAATGGGTGGGTGATGGTGCTCATGGGAAATGCAGTCTTCACTACTAACCCCATCCAAAAACTAGAGTACTTGGCTGTTTTTCTGTTCAAAGAGGTCACCAGAATCGGTGCCTGATGATATTTCCTGACAGTGCCTTTAAGTTTACAGCTAAATAATCATTCAAACAAACTTTAGAAGAGTTAGCTTTGTAAAGATGACACTGATTCAACCCTGGTGTCAAATTTAAAGGTGTTATTTCTCCTATTTGTTGAACAGACTGATGAGCATTGAATCCAGTACTTCTTCACCAGAGCAAGGATGATGTATTTACATTAATGTGACATACATACAGGACGGATCAGTTCTGTAAAAGCTGCAAAAACGCCCTGTTGTATATCAAAACTGTGAGAATATCATTTACTAACTTTCACAGATCCTGCTCTTGACATTTGAAATTCATTTTGTGAAATTCCACAAACATGGTCGGCTTAATCTCTAGTCTTGGGAAACTGTAACACAGTGAGCGCCTGCAGCTCTGTGATTCAACCTCCCCGAGTTGGAGTCTGTCTGAATGAATCAATCCAGAAACCCCTGCAGAGCTATATCAGCAGCAGATGACCGATTCGTCATCGAAATTTGGAGCGTTGTGGTTGTTACAGAGCAGAATCTGTTTTTTGTTTTCTGTAAGTGAATATCATAGCAGTCCAAAACACTCCTCTCTGTTCATCCTGTATATCCTTTTCCTTCATCATCACTTCATCTCCTTTGTTTCGATACTCCTCCCCTCCATCCTCCTCCTCATTTCACTTCCCAGGTCTGTGCTGCAGTTGATTAGTACAGCTGGATGTGTCTTTTTTCCTCTGCAGCTCCCTGTCTCAGATGTGCATAAATAGGCCCTGTGGCGTTGTAATTGCTAATAAGGACCCAATGTGTGTGTGTGCAAAAAAGAGGAGCCGTGCCATTAGGATTTGTACAGCAGCCAGCGCCCCACAATCGCTCACAGAGAAGGGAATTATCAGCGGCTCCAAGCCCAGGAGGAAGCCTCTGCACGGGGGTAGATAATGAGGCAGCCAGGCCTCTGAGTCTGGGCCTGGATTTCCCAAAACTTCTTTGGGCATCATCCTTTTTTTCCCCCCCACATAAAAGCAAATGAGTCTGGCAGCCTCCCATCTCAACCATTGCAGCTTCCAGCAGCTACAATAACGAGTCTCCATTAAAACACAATCAAAGATTGGTCATCGCCATTAGTTCGGCTGCTGTTGACACTCTGCGCCCTGTGTCTACAAGAAAACATGGGATTTATGCACTGTTGTTTGTGGTGTTAACAGGGATGAGATGTAAAAGAGTAGAGATCAAAACAGACCGGGCTGGACGTGAAAACCTTTATTTCTGCCATGACATCAGTCGGTTTATAGACATCGTCTTTGTGATTTCACCCAACGGTTTCTAAAAAGTCATTTTAAAGCTAAACAGTGGCTGGCACACAATTTTTTTTTTTTGTAGGATGGTAGGGTAAGGTCCCACCCTCCTTCGCTTTCGATTGGTTATGCCTTATGGCTATGAAACGTCATCGTCTGTTGGGTTAGAGTTAGGGTTAGAAGATTCAGAAGTGCGATGATGTTCTGTAATGTTCTGTTCGATGTACAGAGCCGACAGCCCGTGTTTGGCTTGAGCACTAGATGACGTTTCCAGCTTTTCTAGCCAATCAGAGGCGAAGGAGGCGGGACTCTTCCCTACCATCCTACAAAAAAAATATTGCGGTCGGCACCAACTCGGTAATGCTGACTCAACCTAGCCTACAGTATTACAGCATTCGAGTTACTTCAGAAGTCAGAAGTCTGAGCTAAAAATGAGGTCAAACACGAGTAACTAGCATTTCAGTAACTAAGTCAGAAAAAAGCAAAATCGGAGGTGGAAACAAGATGGCTATATCTATGAAAGTTATTTAAGCGCTTGCCTTGTCCGAACATAAAGCAAGCACTAAAATAACTTGTAAAATGTAGCTATCTTGTTTCAGGCCTCCGATTTTGTTTTTTCCCGAAGTGGCACCTGAAACGCTGGGAACCCGGGTATGACGTCATTTTCAGCTCCGACATCTGACTTCCGAGGTAACTCAAACGCAGCATAAGACAAGGTCAAAGAGGTGAAGGCACGGTGAGGTTGCGTTACAGCCTCTGGTGGTCACTGGAGGAACTGCAGTTTTTTGTACTTTTATACTATCATACCAATGTGGTCTAAATGAAAAGTCTTGGCCAAGATTTGTCATGATATGATATGGATCAAGCTCCTGCTTTTCGACTTTGATCTGGAACACATTTGGCTTGAATGTGATGTCAATCCCAGCTTGGATGTCCAATCTTCAAGGTAAGTGGAAGGCGCCATTAACTCTGAAAGGTAAGGATGCAAGAATTTTTACAGTTTTGGATATGGTTTTCTGATGATGTGTAGATTAGACTCCCCAGTTGCAGAAGCCTTACACTCAGAGTCTTCAGATCATGCCTCAGGGTTCGAACACATGTACGTATCATTTGCGGGGTCGAGGTGATGAATGTTTGTGCGAAGAGAGTGAGGAGATGAAAAAAACCCACATTCATTTCCTCCTCTCTCACTGGGAAGAGAGCAGCTGGCCGCGCTCGTTGGTTTTCTGTCCACACATGTGGAGACACTTTGATTGTATGAGGGTGAGGCCTCTCTGAGCTGCAGTGACCATTGCTCTGCAATATCAGCAAACAGATAAAAGTTTGGTTGGAGGGTATTTTTCAGATTTGTTTTCAATGTAAAGATGAGGGCAGGTTTTTTTTCTTACTGCAGTGCTTCCTGAAGATCACAGCCATCCAGTGTTGGTTTGTGGCCTTTTGTGGAGAGCTTTCAAGGGAGCTTTGTGCTCACGCAGTCTCTCACAGAGTGGTTTACCTCATCCCATCTTCTCTGCTGAGAGACTCTGCTATTCTGGAGAGTCTTTGTCTACACGGTCATGTTACTAAAGTATTGTGTACCTGTTTTTTTTAAATGTTTCTCTTGGTGTGTTTTTTTAAGTCAAACATAACTATTTCATTGTTTTGTTGTCCCTGTCCCAACTTAGAAACTCAATTTTGTTGCATTTAGGTTGTATGTTGATACAATTTTAAGGATCGGTTTGTATGTAAACAGAGTAATTATGTTTATCATGTTTATTTGTGATAGGCTTGGCTGAAAAATCCTCCTTTGTTAATGATGCTGAACCGCAGGTTCTCAAACTACTGCAAAAACTGTGTTACACTGCTGCCCTCTTGTGTAAGTTTGAGCACTATTAGTATTTGCACTGGAGTACTGTGTGACAAAAGCAATTTCCCCCTGGGGAGTATTAAAGTATTTCTGATTCTGATTCTGATCTTACATTATTGGACAAACTGATTGATCCAGGTGTGTCTGAGTAGTCACAATGATCACTCACACCTGGATTAAAAAAAGTTATTCTGCTCTGCTGCAGTGAACGCTGCTTTGCCGTGATCTGCACCGTCTCAAAATCAGAGTCCAAAATGATTGTTAAAACCCTTTTTTTCTGTTTTTGTGGTCATCTCTCATCATCTGCCAAATGTATACTGTGATTCTGTTCATTTTGTGACAGTGATGACCTGTGTGTCCTCCGGGCCAGCAGGGGGCGCTCGTCTCGTCATGCAGGAACGGAAATGAGCTGCACTCAGTAAGCTTGGGTTACAGCAGCTTTTACAACCTGCGTCAAAACAGCTTTTCGAGACGGGTGGTCGATACAGCTCGCAAGCCAAGATAGCTGCAAGTGACACTAATATTACTTCCGCCGAAGAAACGCCCCATTAAGATAAAAGCACACAAATACCATGAGTGCGCTCTGTGGATAGATTATAACAAAAGTGAGAGCAAAATATTCATTTTGGATCTCAGCTAAAGACAAGTATAGTAGGGTGATTTGAACTTGTATGACAGGGCGGATTATCCAAAGCCTCTTTCAATTCAAAAAAAGTTATTATTGGTCGTTTCATGAGGTTTTAGAGTGCATTTTAGTGTTTTTATGTCTGTATTATAACTGAAATAAAGTGCTCCTGACATTTAAAAATGCTGTTTATCACAATAACGGATAATATTAGATTAGTTGCTCTTCGTGTATTAAATATTTTGCCTAAGGTGGGTGATGAGTTACATTGAGGCTTTTATTTTGAAAATCCTAAAGCCGGAACGCACAAAGTTGCTACCGCTAGCTTAAATCTGCACTCCACCAACAGCTACATTTAGCCACTTCTTCGGCCTAAAATATATAACTTTATGTGATAACTTCTTGTTAATAGATTATGTAAAATAAACGAGATTGTTCTAGCAAAGGTTTTGGTATCAAAACGACTCAGCTAAACTTCAGTTTTTGTTGAAAGTCGACTACGGTGTAACGACCATTTGTGTTTACCGGACACAATATGTGCTAAGGTAGGAAACGGTTTTCCGTTAAGAAACTTTTACCACCGCTGGATAAATTAAGGGTTTTCATTAAGAAGCACATCAATCATCATAATCTTTTATTTTCTGTGTCTGTCCCTCCTTTTTCTCCACAGATGCCCTCTTTTGAATTATTGAATAAGGTGGAGCAGTTTGTGCGATCAGGAACATATCCTGCAGATGCATCCAAGAATGCAAAGAAAGCAACCAGAGCTGCAAGCAAAAAGTTTCTTTATAGGGGTACTTTTACATTTACAAATATTTATTTCTCTCAGTGACTACTCTCTTGTTACTATCCCCTAAAAATTTCAGTTTAACAAGTCACTTAACAAGGAAGAAAAACAGCCAGGGCACTGCATTTATGTTTTACATTATTTGTCTTGCCTCTTGTAACAAATTTATGTAGGTTTTAGATGAAAACTACAGATTATAGGTGATGTCCTTGTAATTTTGGGTATGCACTATCTTGGACTGGGGCTGTCTTGGTAATAAACAGTATGATAGAGGTAGATTAAATGAGGATAATTTGGATATAGGGTAGAGTGGGGTAAGTTGAGCCAGCCCCTGTTGCTTGGAAATGGTAAAAGAAATTGATCATGTGACCAAATATTTAGGAGATGAACATCAATTCATGGAGTCTGTGAAGGTTAGAAGCACATGGGTGAAAGGGTTAGACATTTATTTAACAAAAAAAAACATTTTTCATTTTAGTCTGTCATAAGTTTGATTAGAATTGTATTCAGACTAGAATAGATCATTTTAAAATTGTTTATACATCAATAGTGGTATCTATGAGCTACAACATGAGGTCAAAAACCTAACATAAAACTCCACCATTTTAGCTTAAAGGACTAATAAAGACATAATAGTAGTTCTGGGGTAACTGAGAAAGTAAAGCAGTCTGATGAGAGGATCAGAGTTTCAGTTCAGATAAATGTTTCACTTTTTCTTTTCAAAAATACAGCTGTGAATGTTCTGAATCACTCAAAGACATTCTCATGTAAAAATGGCTTTTAACAAAACAGCTTTTTAGCAGTTATATGTAATAATAATAATTATTATTGTACCGGTTAAATAGCGTATAATAGATAAAAATACACATGAATGTGAAGAAGTGACTGTTATTTAGGGAGAGAGAAGGTGAGGGAGGGTTGGGGTGGAGAGTGGGGGAGTAGTAGGGATACGGCTCAACTTACCCCGCTCCTATGGTCAATTTATCCCATACAAGGGGTAAGTTGACCATAGGAGACCACTTTTTTTGGCATGCTATATTATCAAGACAGTTCTGTTTACACTCATTCTGTTGGTTCGCAGGGATGCACAACAACTTGAAATAATGCAGATACACTAGTTAGAGACAAAACTATGATTGACTTGATGTAGTGATCAGAAATATGAAAAATGGCTCATCTTATCCCACTCTCCCCTACACTGTCTCACATTTAGATGATTTTTTTAGACTTAAATGACTGATATTAGAAAAGCTTATCTTCACACTTCTTCAAGCATGGCAAACAGATGTATTACCCTCCTCACCCACCACTTATCGCTCAGATTAGTTCAGACATTCTACTTTCCCTGTTGACTTTATCCCCTCTCTCCGTCCTCTAGATGGTTGTCTGTGGCGCACCTATCGAGGCCGCATGCTGCGTGTCGTCAGGAGTGAGGAAGAAGTCAGGGAAATAATGATCCGTTACCATGACAACAACAGTCATGCTGGCCGGGTCCGGGCCGTAAAAGAGATTATGGTAAATTGATATAATGTCATTGATAATGTGAAATGTAAACATTCAAACACTGTTATAAAGTCTGCTGTAGAAGTGATCGTGGTTGTAGTTAAGTGATCTCTCCTTTCTCCGTCTGTCCAGATGATGTATTACTGGGTTGGAGTGACGGAGTCGGTGAAAGAGTGGATCAAAGCTTGTGTTGTTTGTCAGAAGCAGCCTCCTTCCAAACCACCCGACCCACCTGTACAGTTCTGCCTGGCATACGGCTGCGACGCCTCCAGCTACGTTTACCCGGAGCTCACGTTTCACAGGTCAGACAGCGTGTGCACGGATTGCAAAGAAAACATACAATTTATGAGCATTTGAGAGGGGAGTTGAAATGTGTATTCTGAAAATATGGGGGAAAAAGCAGAGAGAGAAAAAGGTTCTTTCTCAAAGCCCCTGTGAGAACTTTTGGTGTGTGTCAGTTTTGGCGCCACAGGTAGACTTCGCTCTTCTGTCCAGTGTTGTCATAGATGTGAAAAGAAAACTGCTCTGTCCTGCAGATTCCCAAAAGAGGTAGAGCGGCGGCGACGCTGGCTGGCAGTGGCTCAGAGGGATGAAGGTTCACTTCGCTCGAGGTCCAATCTCTGCTCCAGACACTTTGAACCCTCGTGCTTCATCCTGAACGAGGAGGGTCAGATGACTCTATCGCTGGCCGCCGTACCCACCATCATCTCTACGAGCATGCAGGAGCAAGAGGTGATACAAAAAAGATGCAATAATCGAAGAAGTTTTTATGTTTTACCGGGATATCTTGAAATTTTTGTGCCACGTTTACTCAGCCTGTAGACTCTCAGGGCGCTCTGACCTCAGTTGGCTGATGTGATCTGATCAGGCGACTCTCTGTCTCCAGGGTCTTGTCACCTCAGACGAAGACTTCCTTCATTCAAACAGTCTGGAAGAAATCCTCTCCACAGCTGCTGCCGCTGCTACTTCACAAAGCGCAGAAACCTCTGACCTGGCCTTCGATCAGTCTGAGACACAAACTCAGCTGCAGGAGCACCAGTACTCCCTCCCTCCCTCTGATCAGGACTCCACGGTGGTCCAGACGGTGAAAGTGTACAAGAAGAGACAGCCTATCATCGAGTCATGCTTTGCAGCTTACAACCAGATTGCCAGGTCAACATAAGATCTCTTAACCTCCTAACAAAACATGATAAAAGTTCCAATGTTTCACATAAGAGCTTTTTATTTTTCCTGTCATTCTGCAGGTATCTGAGTCACAGGGTCTTACCAATGCAAAGCAAGATAACCAGAGGTTCTCTGAAGAGGATGGCGAAGCGCTTTGACCTGATAGGTGAGTGACAGATTCGTATTACCTGGTCCAGCTTTATTCTTCAGCGTCATCTTAATATGAGGACCCTTCTCTCTTCATTTCAGACGGAGTTCTGATGTTCACAAGAGTCTCTCCTCCTCTCAGAGTGCCGCGCAGCAGAGAGGAGGTTTGCACGATTTTCATACAGTTTAATTTAAACCCACAGCATAAAAGCCGGAAAAGGAGGTTTTAATTGACCTCTGACGCCTCTAACCTCCAGGTAAACTCGATCCTGCAACAGTTCCATGATAATCAGGGTCACTACGGCCAGGGAATCTGCCAGAAAGAGATCGCAAAACACTTCTACTGGGCCACCATGACTCGAGACCTGGCCCGCTGGATCTCCAGCTGCAACACCTGTGTCAACAGGACCAAGAGGAAGCTGTACCGCTGCAGCGTCCAAAGCTGCACCAACTGCTGCGGGCCGGTGGAGAGGGGCCTGGGTCTCACCTTCCATAAGTATGAACTCTTTAATTCAAAAGTGATACATGATATGATAAGATTTACCCCAAACCGTCTTTTCTTTCTCTCCTTTCTCTGAATCCGTCTTTGGTAAATCCATTTCTTCTTCACCTCCAGGTTTCCTCTCCACAACACGGCTCTGCTCTCTCATTGGTTGAAGGCTGTGGGTCGATCTAACTGGCACCCTCGGCTCTGGTCGTCGGTGTGTTCGGTCCATTTCACGGAGGACTGCTTTGACCGCAGCGGGGAGAAGGTCACCATCCGTCCAGACGCAGTGCCCACTCTCCTGGTCCACGGCGACTCAGGGGTAAGAAGCAGCTGTGCATCAGATCAGATCCTAGAAATTCAAAATCAGTGGAAGAAAAGTCCAAAACATTAAAAAAGCCTGGTGCTGTTTTAAAGCTTGAGTTATTTCTTTCCTCCACAGACTTCAAGCAATGGCCAAGCACCGCCTGCTGTGGGAGATGAAGTGAGTTCCAGGTGTTTAAAGATTAAAGGTCACTGAATGATGTGCGTCCTGGAAAAATCAAGTCATTGTTCTGTATCTTTTTGTAATTATTTGTTTGCAGCATGCCTTTTTTGCCAAGTACGACGCGGTAGATCTCTACCTGCGCAGACGCACGTATCCTCCTGGACTGAGCTACGTGGAGAAAAACACCTTCAGGAGGTTCTGCAAACAGTTTGCGATCAAAGGTTTGTGTAAAGTGAAATCCGTACACCTCCTTTTAATATTTACACAGATACAAAGGGCTTCTTTTGAGCTGCTGCTGAAAAAGAGAGCTTAGATAAATACATAATTCATAAATCTGGTGGTACCCCTCAAGAAGACTGAGCCAAACTGACCGGTCTTCAGTATGAGCGCACTTTTGATTCCTGGAAAAGTTAGTTTACTCAATTTCGCTGTTCGTTTTCAGACGACGAGCTCCACATGGCGAGAGGAGAGCGGGTGCGTTTGGTCCTGAGGAACAGACAGCAGGTCGAAAACGCTCTGGTGGATTATCACAACGAGCTGAACCACCTGGATGTCACCAAATGTCTCCGACTTCTCAATGAAAGGTGAGGAGTTAAAGCACTTTGTGATAAAAACTATCATTCTTATCATCAGATTATTTTGAAGTTTGCACAGCTGTGATTGTCCAGGCTGTTCTCGTCCCAAATGTCCGAGGTGAAGTTGTTTCCATTCATGATGAGTTGGTGATTTCTGACAGGTACTTCTGGAAGACGATGAGATCTGATGTGGTGAAATGGATCGACAACTGCTCACAGTGCAGCCAGAAGAAGAGGCCGAAACCAGACGGTCGAACAAAGCCGAACCCGGCAGAGACGAGATCCCTACAGATCCACGGGGATATCGACAGGTGTGTGGATTTCAGTCAGAGTTAGCAGCAGTAAAAATGAAGTTAACAGGATAGTTTGAAGAGCAGGTGTTATGTGATGAAAAATTAATATATGTTGAATTTCTTTGACCTCTTGTCCCGCTCTTATTTGCGTCTTTTTAGTGGTGAGGATGATGATGACTTCAGCCATGATGAAGAGGATGATGTTGATGTTAGTATCGCTGATGATGAAGAGAGTCTGCTAGTAACAAGTTCAAAGAACAGAGCGGTAAGTATCATAGCCTACTTTAAGTACAAGTTTGTCAAAAAGTGTACTTATCCAGGGGTGTGTCCAGAAGGGTAGTCAGGGTGGCATGAGCCCTGTTAAATCTGGTCGCCCTTGACACTAACCAAAGTTTTGAACCATTAAAACAATTGAACTCACTCCCTGACTCTTGCTTCCTTTCTGTCCCAGCAGCCTGTTCCCCCCGTCACCCCTCAGCCCAGAATACCAATCCTCCTTCACCTAAGAGCTCCTGTCAACGTCCAGCCCAAATCTCCTATCATCCTCCAGCAGAAAAACGCTAATACCCGTTTTGTGACCAAAGTTTGGTCTCTGAAGACAGCCGCTGCTCCACAGTCTGACGTCCAGACTGAAAACAGCTCAGAGACTCAGTCCAAGAATCAAACCAGTGTTATTCAGATCCACCCAGAGGGTAAAACCCAACCCCAGGATGGGTACAAAACAAGAAGCTCTCAGGGCAGCGCCAGAACACACTACGTCCAACTACAGGTCATTTCTGAGCCCAACTCTGAGTCGCATGATCCACCTGAACCCACAGCGGATCTCAACCCTCCTAAAACCACAGGCAAGAAAACTGAAGCAGGTAAAAACAAAGGAACAAAGACTCAATCCAAGTCCCAAACATCTGCACAAACACAGAGCAGTGGTGGCGTCCAGCGAGGGCGGAAGAGGAAAACAGACCAGGATGAAGGTTGTCCAGCTGAGAAGACCCTCAGCTCTGGTATGGAGCCTGTGAAGACCTCGAGCACCAAACCCTGGCCCGTCTTTACCATCTCTACTCCAGCACAGCCATTGAAACCCCCTCCTGAGGTGGACAGGTATGACACTTAAACTATTACCATCTTAATGTACATCAGTAGTACTTGTAGTTACTTAAAGCGGTTTTGAATATATCCAACTTTAAGTCTTGCAATCAATCAAATTCTGATTTTTGCTTTTAATGTCTTGAAAATAGATTTTTAAAATTAACTGATTTACCTAATTGTTTCTCATTGTTCCTCCTTTTATTTGCTTGATTTCATCTTTATTTTGATTGTTTCATGTTTGTATTCTTTTATTTTTCCTGTTGTTACCTTATTTCTCTTATCCTTTATTTTATTTCAGCTATTTTTGTTTTTTTCTAATTACTTTTATGTCTTTTTCTTCTTTGTTTTGGTGTTTTTAGATTTTTTACTTTCCCTTGTTTTGATGTTCTTTAAGTATTTTTTTATTGCTATAACTCTAAATCTCGTATTTATTTTATTTTATTGTTTTCATTCTTCTCTTTTGTTCACACCTTTTTTTTGTTTTTTGTATTTCTTCAATTCTTCTTCACATTGACTTTACTTTCACATCCTCTTGTTTTGTATTATTTGGGCTTTTTGGTTGCCCAAATAATGCCCAAGTTTCACGATTTCTTTGTTTGTCAAAGCCCTTTAAAACCCGTGTATTTAATGGTGACATTTAAAACGCACGTCACCTCATTTATTTTGAACTCTGTGTGTTTGTTTGTGTATTTGCAGCCCTGCACCCATTCGAAAGCCCAGGAAACTTCAGGCCCGGATGGTGATCCAGCACTGCAGCCAGGCCAAAGTCAAGATCAGACCAGCTGTGGACGGGTCTGACGCTCAGTGGGCAGAGGTACGAAGAAATCTTTTTTAACGTGACCATTTTTTAATTAAATTTTCTGTGTCAACATTTGGGTCAGCTGTCAGTCAGAAATCAAGTCCTCACTCTGTTCTCAGATCCAGGAGGGGATGGTTGTATATGTGAGCTTCTTCCTTGGAGCCACTGAGGACATCATTCAGGAGATGGGTAAATTATGTTGTTCGTATTCCTTAAATACTTGAACTTAGCCAGGGCTTGAAGCTAACTTTTGTTGAACTTTAGGGGCACAATGAAAATAATGTGTGTCTTATTGGTCGACATAAGTAGTCGCAAATGCGAGTAAAATGGTCGCATTGTCGAGCCCTGTTAGCGTAAGAAATTTAAGGAACCAAGCTGATGACATGCCCCTGTTTTGGTCTGAAATGTTGCCCTTTTTTGCACACTACTTCAATATCCTTGATGCTTTTAATTAATTTTAGTGAGTAAATAACTTTCCTCATGTAAGTTTTTTCCCAATGGTCAAATTTTAAAAGTATCTTGGAATCTTAAACAAACTTTAATTCTGTTTTTTTTTTCCATTCTTCTTTCTTTCTCCAGCCAACAGTCTGATGACCGTCAAACATTTCCGGAAAGACACCAGGCACTTGGTGTCCATCCTCGACCTCCCCGGGAACGTCTTATTCGTCCCTCAGGACTCCCTGGTCGGGGAGCTGATGCCAAAGAAGCGGATGCAGTACAAGGCGGGTTGTGAGCTGTGGTGGGGCAGCCAGCTCTTCTCAAACCTGGTGTCCACCTGCAGAGAGCTCATGGCGGGTTCGGTGAAGAGCGCAAAGGCGGGCGTGAAGGTAGAGCAGGGCATCTACGGACAGAAACAAGAGATTGTACTGAACTCTATGGAGCCCATGACAGTCCTGCTGGAGTTCTGAGGACATCTGTGGAGCTTTTTGAAATGTAGAGACCTTAATTTGTGGAATGAAACTTCTGCATCTTCCGTCAAATGTACATGTAACCTGTAGGCACACGTATTCAGCATTTTTTTAATCTGTGGGAAACTTCTCAGTCATACGTGTAACTCTTTTAGACAAGATTTCAAAGAACTTTAGGACCAGGAATCCTAAAATAAAGTTCCCAAACAAACATGACCCTCGGTGCAGGAACCTATTTTTTTTTTCACCTGTGACTGAGTTTGTTATTGGTTGCACCAGACCAGTAAAGCAGTCAGTTCCTGAGTTACCAAAGCTTGTGTCTCAAGAAAAGTGCCTACAGTAGAAGCACCTCAATGGGACTATTTTGCGTGAGACGAAAACTTAAAAAATCCTGCAGAGACTGTGGTGGGATTTACAAAATCAAAGTCTACATTTTGAAAAGGGAATCTCGTCTAAGTTATCATATTGCATTTACTTGAGAAAATAAAAACCTGCTGTTTTTCTGAGTATCAAAAAAAGTTACTGGTTCTTCAAAATCCCAGAATAAGCTCTCTTTCAGACCTCTTAAATACAAACACTCTGTTTACTATAAATGAGTTTCAGGTTTGAGACATTGGCTGATTTTGTAAAAGAGAATGCAAAGAAAAAAAAAGGGAAAACAAAGCCCGCGGCAAATGAAAAAGAAATAGTGCAGATAAAAAAAAATAAAAAAACACTGGCTGCAAGTCAGATTGCAGTATAATTTTTCTGACAAATTTACAGTATTTTTACATTTTTTCCAAGATGTAAAATATCCATTTTACTCAACAGATCACCAAAACAAGATTCTCTGCGCCTACACTTTGGGGCACTTTTGTGTTTGGTGTTTCATTTCTAGAGCCTCTTGAGCCAGGACTGCTCTTAAATTCACAACTCCATAGCAGATCTTTGAAGCTGCATGTTTCTGGAGTCTGAAGATCTTCATAAGCCTCAGTTGTCCCTGACTGAAACCTGATCTGTGACATCTCCTCCTCAGGCCTTACGGAGGCTCTTGCTTCCTCACAATCCAGTCGATTTCACAGTCACACTCTCTCAGGAGGTTCCTCTGGCGCATCTCCGTTGTGATGCTGATCCTATAGTTGGATAGCCTTCTGAGCTGGTCGATCAGCTCCTGCACTCTCGGGCTGGGCCACTTGTGTTTATTAAAGTGTTCCTGGTGGATGAACAAGCGATCAACCATCAGCTCAAGGCGCTCCAGGTGCTGCAGCTGGAGAATGTTCAGCAGGTCCCTCTCTGGTTCTCTACGGAGAAACCTGGGAGACGAGGAGGCAAGCGAGGCTGTTACTGCAGCGTGAAATTCAAGTCTCAGTGGAGGCAAATTTTAAGTTAAAGCATGCGAGTATTTGTGATTCTCATCCAGACATTACAAAAGGAATTGTGGTGTCCCCCAGGGGTCAATGTTAGGTCCTACACCTTTGAACCTTAAAAGGGATATTCCAGCGTAAAATTAATTTCTGGTCAAACACAGAGTTAGACACCTCCTTAAGAGATGAATGTTGCAGACCGCTTGCTTCTCTAGTTATTTCAACTTTAGTAACGATAGTATCACTTAAATGCGTCTTTCCAAACCCGTGTGACACAATTTGCCACTTACCGTATCCTGAGTGTCCTGAGCTGTGGAAACAACATGGGGATCCGTCTGCAGAGACTGCCGCTGGAGCGGTTCTGTTCAATATCCAAGTGCTTGAGCCCCGGGATTGAAGGCGCTATCAGGTCCATGTCTTTCAGAGTTATGCCCACACGCAGCGTCAGCCTGGTTATAGAGGATGGAAGGGTGGTTGTATATGATGAAAGAGTGTTATCACCTGAGGGGAACAACAGCAAGAAGTTAGTCTCAAACAACAACCACCTTGACTAAAAACATCCAAAATCCAAACAGAAGGAGATGAGGAATTTAATTTTTACCAATGATGGTGAGCGTCTCCAGCTGCTGCAGAGGACTCAGCCAGGACTTGAGGCGACACTTGATGCCCTCTCTTATGTAGCTGTAGCGAACCATCAGTGATCTGAGTGAGGTCAGACTCTTTAGGGCGTTCTCTGGCAGGATGGATTCAGGGTAATTAAACAACTCCAGACTGGTCAGTGCTGGACCACCATACTGGGGAACTCCTAAAACCCAAAAGACAGAGGGAGAGACGGAAATGCCAACATTAAAATAGCCCACATGTAAAGTTTGATATTTCTAGCCTTTTGTGGTTCACTGTTAAAGACTGTATCCTCCCCAAGATGGCGTATGTGGTTTTCTGGTTATCTGGTGAAGACTATAAGAAGGACTGGACTGAACATGCACCGATAAATCGGCCGGCCGATCGATCGGCGCCGACATCCTCAATTTCGGGGGGATTGGTGATCAGTTGATCCTTACATAGCAAATTGATATTATCTACCTATCTTATCTACCTCAGCAAAGGTCTGAAAGTCAGCCGTTGGAGCCTTTTGCTTTGCCTGAATGACAGGCCCGCGGTAATCTGTAGTCGGCAGGTCAAGCTTTTTAAAGATCGGTGATCGGCCAGGAAATTGTGATGGTGCACGCCTAGACTATAATGGAACTTGTCTGACCTGGCTGCTCCGGGTCCGTGGGGCTGAAGTAGTCGTTCGGCAGAGGTTGTGGCGGCTCGCCCCTCATTCCCCAGGACAGGTGTTCCAGCTTCTTCAAGTTTAGCAGCATGTGGTGGAAGACGCTCCCGGGAACTGGTCTCACCCTGTGCGGCCAGTAAGCCTTCCCCTCCTGGTGGAAGAGCAGGAACTTTAAGTTCACCAGAAGCGCCACGGTGTTGATAAAGTTCACCGTGCAGGTCAGCCGGACATTGCACACGCTCAGGTGCGTCAGCCGCTCCGTCAGTTGCGCGTTCACGCTTCGGCCCAGCATCGCCTCGTCCCAGGTAACGTTCCGCACCCCGAACTCCCTCAAGTCTGGGAAGTGCGCAAGGCTGTCCAGGTACTTCTCCCTGTACGTCCGCTCTCCGTCCATGAACACCATTGCGGTAAGTGACGGCAGGAACTTCACGAGCCGCCGCCACTCTTTCCGCCGCAGGTGTCGCACCGCCACCCGGGTGAGTTTTCGGTGGTTGAGGGTGTCCCAGAAGCCGTAGGTGTACCGGCGGAGGTCCGACAGAACAACCGTGTGGTTCTTCCACAGGCAAGGGTGGTCTACGAGCCTCTTCATGGACCTGCAGCAGAGGCGGACCGTGTGCTTCTCTTTAGTCGAGAGGAAGCTGAAGACATGAACCCAGACTTCAGGAGGGAGTCCCTCCAGCTGATCCATGAGGGGGGACTCTGGGTCTGCAGGATCCGAGTGTCAACAGAGACCTTTAAGAAGGCTGGAAGCGGGTAAAGCACTTTATTTTAGCGAAGACGAGCGCCAAAGTGCTACGTTCACTGTTTCCATTTTTATTGTAGTTGAGCTGTTTATTTTGGCTGCATTTGGCAGGAAAACTTCACGCTTCCCTTATTTACCAACTTCATCTAGCGGCGCGCCGTGATGACGTCATGTTTTGTTGCTTTTTGAACTCCCGGCATAGATATCTATAAGAAAGGCTAGATGACTGGAGGCGGAGTTATGTACACGGCGGCCATCTTGCTCCAGTATACTGTTCTGGTACGCTCTATGGTTCTTCTATGGCATGATCAAAAATACTCTTAAAAAATACTCTAAATATTACTAATATAACATACACGGAATGTTTAAATGTGTTATATATAAGTTATTTAATATAACTGTCTTGTGTGTGAAGGCCTATAGCTATTGCTCTATGTATCTACTTAATGATTATTTATGATAATCTATGGTTAAAACTATTCTTGAGTATGCAGGGACATAAATGAAACCCTGCGGTTTTTTACAAACAAACCCGTTTGAAAATCGATTCAAAATTAAGCAATAAATGGTTATTTAAATGCTACATGCACCGTAGACTGTAATGTTATGAATGGGCGAGCTGCCTCAAGCAAGATGGCCGCCATGCGCGGACGTCTGTCTCCGTTGGCTAACAGCGTGCGTAAGCCATCTATTTGTCTATGCTCCCGGCAACATACACCTAATCCACAGTTTCGTAATGGGATGTTGTTCAATTTTGTTTCCATGTAATTCAATAAAATTGCAAAAAAATCTCTTATAATCATTTGTTAATTCTAATGGCAAATTTTCCATCCATTGATGTAAATTTGGTAACAAAAAAACATACTTATCTAAACCCTGTTTATTATCCTTGCTTATAACCCCTTACTGAGTTAAACACACAGATTTAAGAACATTTCTTACAAAATAGAGCGGACAAATAATTAAATTGGGTTAAATAAATTTACTCCATTTGGAAAATAAGCCCAAGAAACAGCTGGACAAAATCTCTGTTTCTAAGATTTCGCTCACTAAAAAACCCACCTTTGCTGTGCTCTTTTAGGCCAATTTATTCTCTTTACACTGTATAAAACTGATACAATGGATTATATTATATTGTCTCTTCGGTGGGAGTTTATCCTTGAGGGATAAATTACAATAAGCTTGTTTAAACCAATAACACTAATATAAATATTAACAAAACACATTTTGCTATTTTAAATATAATTTTGGGGCTAATTTTTATATGGTTTCAAAGACAGGCACAGTTTAATGTGCCAGTTAGCCATACCAGTGCACCAAAAACCATATCAAATGTGTCATTTCTCCACTTGACTTAAAAACAGCATTTCTCAGGTAGGCTACCTTTAAAGAGGAAATTAAGACAGAGCCAAAACACTCAAGCCAAGTTTGACTCGCAGGAGCTTTAATGGTTTTTGGGGCAAATAATGAAAGAAAGGGGAACTAAAATGTAACTTATTGAAGGTTAGCGATACTGAAGATTGTTGCTTTTAAACAATGCTCTGTTGAGTGAAAGACAGCAAACTGCTGCTGCTGGGACACGGTGTTCTGATTTCTCAAGATGACTCCTTATCACCCCTTATTTTTTTGTTTTCTGTGTTAAGTACATAAAAATTAAAAAACACAACAAGAAAATGCTCAAAGAAAAACTTTTAAAAGTCTATTTAAAGTCAGACAGTTCAGACAACGGCTGGCCAGAGTTGCTCCATGCAGGCTGAATTCCTATTTGAGAATGTAGTGAGGAAATCAGGGTGAAGTTTTAGCGTTAAGAAGAGCTCAACCGTCAGTATGAGGTTTGAAAAGGAGGAGGAATAATACTCATGAAATCATTGGATGTTAAGACAATCATAAAGCTTTTCTATATACAAGCCTACAGACTTTATTGTAGCACAGCTCGTAAACATATCTGGGAGACAAACTGGAAAATCTGAACATATTCATCAGCTTTTTAACTCTCCATCTGCGGCAAACCGTCCCCCCATCTTCTCTAAATCTGAAGAAGAGCCATAGCTTCACCTGAAAGAGTTATTTAGGAATTCTTTAAGAGTCTATTTAGTCTTAATACAACACCAGACAGTGAGAAACACCCACAGTCATTTCAGTAGTCATTTATCTTCATTCAAAGGCAGATATCGGTGTTTGTTTGAGTCCTTCACTCTACAAAAACCTCCCTCGTGTTCGGCCGTTCACTTTCAATCCTTCCGTTTCTCTTTTACTGTGACGGCGAGAACGTCAGGATCATCCACCCGATCACAAAGTAGAAGAGAAACACAGGGTACACCACCAGAGCCTTGCGATTGGGCGGCTGGCTGTCAGCGAGAAAGGCCGTGGAAGCAAAGGTGGACCAGCCGAAGGACGCCGTCACCACCATGAGCCGCACGGCGAAGCTGACTGTCCCCGAACCGCCGACCAGGACGATCCTGCACACCACCATGGCCGCTGTCAGAGGCATGATGCAGTAACCCAGCACGCACAGGCTCTGGAAGAAGGAGATGGTGCCGCCCAGCAGCTTGGAGTTGAGGGTGATGACGATGGAGCCGAACCAGATGATGACAAAGACCTAGAAGATCAAGAAGACCAATTATGATTTAAACTATGTTTGGAGAGTATCATGAGAAATATTTAAACCTCACATCAACCACACACATAAACATTTCTATACAAATATGCAGAGGTCACTGTTGCTACCCGATCCATCCTGGAAACCCAATTTGTACTGCACATGTGCGAAACGTAAGTCACTTCCTCTCTTGGCAATTCAATGTATTTTACGGCAGTGAGTCGCTACCTACCGATCCGTACTGCGCAATTGCAAATTTGCTTCACCTGTAAAACTTTAATTAAACTATTGATCGATTCAGAAACAAGCTGGCGATGTGACAGGCTAGCTAGCAGATGGTTCCAGAGCTAATGCCGAGGCATTCGCCAGAGCTCCTGCCCAGCACGGTGAGACCTTTTGGGCCGCTACCCAGCCAAAATTATGGTTCTCTGACTTTTAATATTTCATTTAATATTTAATTTATTTTATTAATTTAATTTATCATCACAAAGCCTACACATTATGGACAATGAATTTCATAGTTTTTATGTAGCGTACAATATTCACATTCATTCAAGCATTTTCTAACTACGTTGCAAATTTACAATTTTGCTGGAGTAGGAACTTTTAATCGTAACACTGGGCGCCATTCTCTTGACTTTCCGGCGCTCTGCCTCAGTCGGGGAACACACTGTTCAGGAGAAAAGAAAAGCTGGTGATAAACTGAAGCATCCTTTCTTACTGACAGTAGCGAGCTCGCTGATGCTGACGCTGTCGGACAAGTGTCGAAACTGTCGAAAACCACGAGGGGCAAAGAATTGCTGAGCTGTCGCAAAGATGGCCAGTAGAGGAAGTGAGATACATTTCGCACATGAGCGGTACAAATCGTGTTTCCAGGGCGCAAACTTTTTTTGTGGGATGGTAGGGGGAGGTCCCGCCCTCTTTCGCCTTTGATTGGCTAGAAGTGCTGGACTCCAATCGGTTATTCCTTAAGGCTGTGAAACGTCATCGTGTCGGGTTAGGGTTAGGAGATTCAGAAGTGCGATAATGTTCTGTAATGTTCTGGTCGATGTACAGAGTCTATGGCCCGCGTTTGGCTTGAGCGTGTGATGACGTTTCCATCTTTTCTAGCCAATCAGAGGCGAAGGAGGGCGGGACCTTCTCCTACCATCCTACAAAAAAAAAAAATTGCTTCCAGGACAGATCAGGTAGTGACAGTCACGAGTGTATGCAATGGTCAGGTTACAATCAGTGCGCCCTCTACTAGATAAACAGCAAAATGCCTCAGGTGGCCTGCTACATGATGTTCTGTATTAATAAATATGGACGACCCATGTCAGTTCAGGTGCACAGATCCGGTTCAAACAAAGACTCAAATACCAAAAGAGGGATGGCCCGACTACTGAAACATGTAATGAACAATACCAGCAATGAGGAAAGAGTTATTGGTTAATCTCCCCAGAGGGTTACATGTTGGTACCTCAGCGAACTGCGGTCCTCCCTGGTCGTCGCTGTCCGCCGCGCCGCCCTGCAGCAGCAAAGCCAGCGTTACGCAGAGCAGCAGCGGGCCCCACAGGTCCCAGTCCCGCAGCAGAGCGGAGCTTCGTTTCGGGTACAAGACGTGGATGAACTTGTTCCCCACCGCCCTCAGGTCTCGCAAGATGGTCTCTTTCACCGGCTCGTCCAGCGTGGAGAACTCGTCGTCCCGCCTGGAGGAGCTCATGGGTACGGAGATGTCCCCCTCCACGGGGATGTCCTCCGAGATCGAGACCTCTGAGAGCCCCGCGAAGGGTCTGCTGGCCTCCTCCGATGCCGCCATTTTACTTCAGAGAGAGGAGTTTAACGAAGGCCTCAGATTATGACAGGAATTTAGACAACAGAGCCCATTTAATAAACTTTAAAACTAAAAAAGACCTCTGGATCCACTAATTTCTGTATAATCTTGAGTATCTCGCTCTGGTACATCCAGTTCGTCCTGTTGGTTATGAAGGACTGCTGCTCCACGTCAGCTGGGGATTGTTTACTTCCGTGGGACGTGAAGGATATCCGGCTGGTGCGTTCAAGTACAGTCAATATTAGCGTTTGCTATGAAGATTTTTTTTAATTATTGTTTTTATTTTGTATGCTTTACTCAGAGTTAACAAAATTACGCTTCCAAAAAAGCATAATCAGTTCAATACAGTGATTTCAATATTAAAATAACATACCAGTGAGAAATACTTAACAATACAGGGAAGCGATGATGCATGTTGAGACAGGGGATAAAAATGTATAGGGCATTAAAATAGAGTCGATAGTGATGAAAAACAAGCAAACAGAAACATTAAAGTTGCTTTAAGATAAAAAAAAAAAAAAGCCATTATATTCCTCTGAAAATTTTGGATAAATGCAAAAAAAAGTCACCGGCAACAAATTACTGTTGTTTTCATAATTGTAAAATTTTAAAAAATACAGCTTTATTTAGTTCTTTTCCTATATACTTTAATTTTATATTTACAGAATTATCATCTCAATACTTTGGGGAATGAAAAAAATACTGATAATAGAAATCTTAATCCGATGCGATTACTGTCCACACATAGAAAGAGCAGTTGTGTTTCCGGACGTCCATGAAGGCACCACCACAGCTCGTCAAAGCTTCGTGTGTTGATGACGCCATCATTAATCGACGGTTGATTCTGAATCGTGTGTTTACACGATGTAGTGAGTGTTTGTGGCTCGTTAGGAGCACTTTTTAATCAAAAAGTATGCTGAAAAGTATTTGTATCTTTTAGTTCTCGGTTTGTTGGTTTTAAGGAAGCTGTCTCGAGATGGATACACCTCAAAAACTGGTGAAAACGGACTGTGAGGAGATCTTGCACCGCTTCCAGCAGCAGGAGTCAGTCCGTTTTGAGATTTTCTCCAAGATATGGAGGGAAATGAAGTTCTCTGAGATTTTCTAGTAAGTAATTAAAGTCATAGAGAAAAAGACACTTTAAATGTTATATTGGTTTGAATGTTCTCTAACTATCTTTTTATAGATTCATAATTGAGAATGAAGTAAGGTCAACTTACCCCAAACACGGGGTAAGTTGACCATAGGAGACCACTTTTTTTGGCATGCTATATCATCAAGACAGTCATGTTTATATTCTTTCTGTTGGTTTTGCAACATCTTGAAATATATGCAGATACACTAGTTAGACACAAAACTATGATTGCCTTGATGTAGTGATCCACAATATGAAAAATGACTCATCTTACCCCTCTCTCTCCTCTATGTATGTTTTTGCAGCGGTTTACCAGCGCAGCATGAGAAGAGAAAGTTCAGTCGTCTGATTTTGGACACAGCCTGCAGCTACCTCCTGCCTCCGTACAGCTTCCAGATCAGAGTTGGAGGACTTTACCTGCTGTACAGTTTGTACCGATGTCAGACCTTCTCCCCTCCAGAACAGGTCAGGAGCACAATCCATGCACAGTCTGCACACCCCCCTTTAAGAGCAGATCTTTAAACTAAGTCTTTTTACTGAAATCTATAAATATATAAAGGTTATGCTCAGTTCTTGTCCTCTGTCTGGATGCAGATCCGTGTGGCGCTGAAGGACTGGGAGTACGTTGAGAAGTTTGAGAAGGACGCACTGGAAGCCAAGCATCTGGATGTTGTTTACATCCTCCATCAGCTGATGTGCTTCAAAGCTTTCCACTTCACCGCCATGCCCACTCTGGTGAGCTTCTGACACATTTGATTCTCACATAAACATGGATAAGGGACAAAAATCTGGTGATTTCCACTGAACTCAAGGAGAAAAATGTCCTGATTGTTTTGATTGAGCTCCACCTAGTGGCAGAAATGGCACATGGCAGTTTATATCAATGACTTGTCTTTCAGGGAGTGATTACACTTTCTTTTTTTCCACTTAAAGATGAATAAAAATAATAAATAAACTTAAATACTTTAGGACAGTAATTGTATAATAAAACACGCCCTGTAAGAAAGCAGGTAAGATCCTTTTATTATACTTTTATATTTATTTTTCTCTTTTGTCTCCCTTTTCCTCTCCTAACAGCTCACCTTCCAGAAGAAGAGGCAAAAAGAGAAGCCTCGATTGTGCGAAGGCTTCATTGAGCGAGCGTCTCGCCCCCAAGAGCTCATCAATATTGAGCTGCTGGAGGTGAGCAGTGAAGTCGCTGAGGTCAAACACTCGGATATTAGATTTTTCACGATGTTAAACAGTGCTGGTTATCATCTTGTAGGAGTTATCCAACATCCACGACATCTACGGCAAGCTGAAGACCTCAGCCTCTCTGATGTCAGAAGACGCGCCTACGCCTGTTAATCTGACGCACAAAGATCTCATCCCGAAGCTGCGCAGCACTGTGGTGGATTTTTACACATGGCAGCAAAAGAGGGTGAGACTGTTTTTTATCTGACAAAATGCCTTCAATCAAAAAACGCTGCTTTGAACTTTTTGTCACTTTTTAAAATAGTAATTTCTCCAGTGCTTACATGAGGAGATGATGACTGTCTTTCAGATTGAGAGTGATGAGGAGGACTACAGCGGCGAGGGGACGTCCTCACAGCAAGAGGTGAGTTTCCGTGATCAACATTAAGGCATCAAGGCTCAAGTGAGGAGTTTTTTAAATTCTTTGGTATTGACTGAATTTAAATCGATGCTTTTTTAAGATGTACAAAAACAAACTAAACCATTCGTGACAAGACTGGTGTGAGGGGGTAGGTGTCAGCTGAGCAGACAAAAGTTACTCACAAGAGCTTTGAATTAGGGACTTAACACGTGTATTTATGTAGTATTGCAGGCATCTCTCATAAAATTTTGAATATCTAAAAACAAACTATAAATCAGAGAACCCTCACTGGTAAAAAACCTTAATATGAAATAACTTTTTTGTACTTGTACCATCACTAGAGTCGCACATTTAGGGCTTTTTAAATGAAGGCTTTAAAGCACAGCATCTCATCTTTGCCTTTGAAACAGTCAAACTCAGAAGTCTTTTGTAGTGAGAAGCACTCTTTCCTAACCGTGTGATTTTTTTCTCAGAGCTCCAAACGGGCTGAAAAACTGGCTGCTATCAAATCAAGAGCCTTTGGACAGGCAACAGAGGTTTGTGTTATCTGTTTGTGAACTATTTCCTCATAGTAAACATGTAAGAAAGTGGAGATTTATTTCAGACTATCTCTCATTGTCTTAAAAGTTGAGCGTTGGCAGGATTTTTCTTTTAGAATAGTCAATTGAATCTTAAATATGTTTGTCCCAGGCCGCTAAGTCCCGGCGCCATCGCCAGGTGGAGGTGGATCTTACAAGTAACCAGGCAGGACCTTCCAACTCGTCAGGTCACACCAGACTAAGCAAGCCATCACTGAAAGTCAGAACCAATGAGAATCTGCATATTTCAAGTGAGTCTCCCTAAACATTACCACATATCTTAATAATATATAGAATAATACATTTTTAAAAACAAGTTCTCACTCAAAGTAGAGGAAAATACAGCATGTTATATTTTGCTTCAATTGAAATACTGCTCTTTATTCAAACTTTGTTCCCGTCAGGTGACCTGTGGAAAGAAGCCACAGCCACCACTAAGATCAGTCGTCTCACCGCATTGGACTTTGTTCCTGAAGGTACAAAACCAACATCTTTAAAAACATTGATTTCTTCAGCTCTCACTGTTCATTTCTAGAGTAAGCCTCCGGTATTGATTTGAATAAGTTATTAACAGTGTGACTTCTCTCCTTCGTTTAGAAAAACCAAAAAAGAACTACAGAAAATCCAATAAAAAGGTGAAGACAGCCAAAGAGTCGACCTGATCTGATCTGCTGTTCACTTGTTTTTGAAGTTTGCACTGCAATGTTGATTGTAAAGAATTTTCTGTCTTTGTCCATCACAGAAATTTGTTGATTTTACTTTTGGCCATTTTACAAGTGTTGTTTTACGATCACATTGAATGATCTGTTAAAAAAAAATATTGTTGTGACTGTTCCTGTTCTTAAAGATAACATGTTAACATTTTCAACAAAAGAAAGTATATTCTGTTTTTACAATTTTTACCGATCACTCCTTGAGAATTTGCCTCATACCTCCTCAAAGGAAACTGAACTGTTTGACTTTAACAGTAAGGATGCATGTCTGAAAGCTTTAGACTTTGTGCTTTTTTTCATTAAGTCAAGATGTTTTAATGACTGTAAATATTTTCCTTGTACAGTTCATAACTTTCTTCTGTGAAATTCTTAGTTTATGAAGTTTTTATAAAAAAAATGTTTGGTATAATTGCTGCTGTTTTTGTTTGATTCTTCCTTGAGACATGACAGGGACTGCATTATGCATGTTTTTCTATGATTATTATTGAATTACAGTTGTTTTGTTTTTTAAGATCTTGACTTATTCATCTCTGGCATTTCAACAAAGCTAAGCTTGTTAAGTGGAAATGCTGATTAAGCATTTCCACTTATTGTTATTCCTGTCGGCCATTTTTCTTTATTATTATTATTATTATTATTATTTTTCTTCCGCCATTTTTTGGACCGCTTCTCCTCCTTCAAACTTTGTCCGATTTCAACCATTCAAACTTTAAACTATTCCACTCCTTCAGGACATGATGGCTTCCATTTTTTTGCTTTCTACCCTTTATACTTTTTGTTTTTTTTTACTTTTTGTGCAAAAATTTTAACATTGAAGTCAATGGGGAAATCTTCAACTTCTTCCTTTCATTCTTCCACCTTCTAGACCTTATAACTTCAGCATACTTTCACCTAGAGACCTCATTTTTGCTTTAAAATGTTCATTCACTTGTCGACTATTATAGTTGTACTCAGTTTTTTGATATCTTTTACAGTTTTTCCACAATTTAGCTTTATGCAACTTGTGGTTTTCAGCAAATTTCAAGCTTTATAATGGGTGTGTATTGGAGAGTTTAGAGTGATGATGTCATGAGCTAGAGTGCAGACCTCGTCTCTGATCGACAGAACCTCGCTCGAATATATCGCTCCCACGCCCACAAATCTCACTCCACTGACACAAATAATACATCAAAATGGAGGTATATGTGTCCTGCTTCTCACAAAAGAGGTTTCAAATCATTAAATCGTACCCCTTGGCCAGCAGGTGACCAACTGTCCAGATAGGCGCAAATATCTCCCCATTGGCCCTAATGTATTTCTTCTCCAAGAAAATCCTTATCGTCACTCAGGCTCAGACTTTTTTAACTCGCTGTTGTGGCCTCATTTTTCGAAGTACAGACATGAAAAACACATCATTGTGTTCATGAAGGACGGAGGATTCATACGATGTTCTTATTTTCATTCTGGGACTTAAGGAAATCACGCTATGTGAAGAAGTTCACAGGCTTCAAATCCTCTGCTGTTCAGCTGCTTGTCATTCAAACAGTAGGTTAGTGATTTGCCTTTGATCTCACAGCTGTTAGGGATGCAGTCATTAATGAGACACACACACACACACACACACACACACATTCTTGTACTTGTTGCATTGTCAGGTCTACCTTGCAGTTCAGCTGCTTGTACACACAGTTAATATGTGTCTGCTTCACCACCTATCTCCACCCACAAACTTTGAGCTACAGAAACCATTCTGGGCTTGAAAAATTCAGCTCATTGAAGATATTATGGGGTGTTTTGAGGATTGTGATAATAAATTGTATTAATGTGTTCAGCAAAATCTTGTGTTCTCACAAGCTCCTTATGAATTTATACAGAGGATGAGCGTCAGGGCCTACTTGGAGTCCTGTTTCCTTAGCTTCAAGCCTTCTTTCTCCTGCTATAGTTATTCATCCAAGGTCCCCATGGCAACCAATTTGTGCACCTGGAGACACACAGCTGACTGGAAAGCTGCTTCTAATGGCCATATGAGACACATGAAGCCAGGCTCAGTACACATAGCACTGGGGATGACACTTAAAACCCTTTCCCAGAGCGCTTGAAAAACCTTCAGCCCCTATCTCCTCACATGACCTTTGACCTACAGAAACCATTCAGGGCTTTAAAATTTAAGCTCATTGAGGACATTATGGGGTGTATTTAGGATTTATATTCATTTAAATTTTTCACATTTTAAAGTCACTCAGTGATGATTTATCATTTAATTTTTCAAACTAATTTAAACTCATTCAAAATGATTCAAACCTTTCTAATACTAAAAAACTTTCTGATACTTGAGGATTTTTAATTAATAAAATTTTCCCTGTTTTATATTATTTTTAATATTTATGCATTAATCCGTCCTTCAAACAAAATCCTACCTCTAGTACTACAACTACTTATGTCAATTAAACTAGAACTTTCCCCTCTACTTCAACTGCTATTGCTCCTATTTCTACTTTCTCTACTGCTGCTATTGCTACTATTTCTACTTTCTTTACTACTTTGACTTATACTTCTTTTATTCTCAATCTACTTCTACTGCTGACATGACTACTAGTATCACGACTTGACTTCTTATCATACTTCTTCTAGTACTACAACTTAAACTTATGCCACTTCTCACCTTCCTGCCTTTAAAGGCAGTTTCCTTCTTCATTCAAACTTTGTGCAATTTTAGACATTTTTCTAGCCTCTTTCAGCATGAATAAAATTTCCTTTTATAGAGCATATTCATACTATTTGTCCTTCAACCAATTAAACTATTATCCAACTTATATTTCTTTTTCACCCCTTCAACAGCTTTAACATTTATACCTTTCTCCATGTTTTATTAGCAGTTTAGCATTGCTTTTTCAGCTTTCAGCACTCAGCATTTCCACGCATTTTCTGCAAGGAAATGCAATTTTTCTAGTTAAGTGGAAATGCTGATAGGCATTTCCACTTATTGTTATTCCTGTCGGCCATTTTTCTTTATTATTATTATTATTATTCTTCCGTCCCTTTTTTGGACCGCTTCTCCTCCTTCAAACTTTGTCCGATTTCAACCATTCAAACTTTAAACTATTCCACTCCTTCAGGACATGATGGCTTCCATTTTTTTTCTTTCTACCCTTTATACTTTTTGTTTTTTTTAACTTTTTGTGCAAAAATTTTAACATTGAAGTCAATGGGGAAATCTTCAACTTCTTCCTTTCATTCTTCCACCTTCTAGACCTTATAACTTCAGCATACTTTCACCTAGAGACCTCATTTTTGCTTTAAAATGTTCATTCACTTGTCGACTATTATAGTTGTACTCAGTTTTTTGATATCTTTTACAGTTTTTCCACAATTTAGCTTTATGCAACTTGTGGTTTTCAGCAAATTTCAAGCTTTATAATGGGTGTGTATTGGAGAGTTTAGAGTGATGATGTCATCAGCTAGAGTGCAGACCTCGTCTCTGATCGACAGAACCTCGCTCGAATATATCGCTCCCACGCCCACAAATCTCACTCCACTGACACAAATAATACATCAAAATGGAGGTATATGTGTCCTGCTTCTCACAAAAGAGGTTTCAAATCATTAAATCGTACCCCTTGGCCAGCAGGTGACCAACTGTCCAGATAGGCGCAAATATCTCCCCATTGGCCCTAATGTATTTCTTCTCCAAGAAAATCCTTATCGTCACTCAGGCTCAGACTTTTTTAACTCGCTGTTGTGGCCACATTTTTCGGAGTACAGACATGAAAAACACATCATTGTGTTCATGAAGGACGGAGGATTCGTACGATGTTCTTATTTTCATTCTGGGACTTAAGGAAATCACGCTATGTGAAGAAGTTCACAGGCTTCAAATCCTCTGCTGTTCAGCTGCTTGTCATTCAAACAGTAGGTCAGTGATTTGCCTTTGATCTCACAGCTGTTAGGGATGCAGTCATTAATGAGACACACACACACACACACATTCTTGTACTTGTTGCATTGTCAGGTCTACCTTGCAGTTCACCTGCTTGTACACACAGATAATATGTGTCTGCTTCACCACCTATCTCCACCCACAAACTTTGAGCTACAGAAACCATTCTGGGCTTGAAAAATTCAGCTCATTGAAGATATTATGGGGTGTTTTGAGGATTGTGATAATAAATTGTATTAATGTGTTCAGCAAAATCTTGTGTTCTCACAAGCTCCTTATGAATTTATACAGAGGATGAGCGTCAGGGCCTACTTGGAGTCCTGTTTCCTTAGCTTCAAGCCTTCTTTCTCCTGCTATAGTTATTCATCCAAGGTCCCCATGGCAACCAATTTGTGCACCTGGAGACACACAGCTGACTGGAAAGCTGCTTCTAATGGCCATATGAGACACATGAAGCCAGGCTCAGTACACATAGCACTGGGGATGACACTTAAAACCCTTTCCTAGAGCGCTTGAAAAACCTTCAGCCCCTATCTCCTCACATGACCTTTGACCTACAGAAACCATTCAGGGCTTTAAAATTTAAGCTCATTGAGGACATTATGGGGTGTATTTAGGATTTATATTCATTTAAATGTTTCACATTTTAAAGTCACTCAGTGATAATTTATCATTTAATTTTTCAAACTAATTTAAACTCATTCAAAATGATTCAAACCTTTCTAATACTTAAAAACTGTCTGATACTTGAGGATTTTTAATTAATAAAATTTTCCCTGTTTTATATTATTTTTAATATTTATGCATTAATCCGTCCTTCAAACAAAATCCTACCTCTAGTACTACAACTACTTATGTCAATTAAACTAGAACTTTCCCCTCTACTTCAACTGCTATTGCTCCTATTTCTACTTTCTCTACTGCTGCTATTGCTACTATTTCTACTTTCTTTACTACTTTGACTTATACTTCTTTTATTCTCAATCTACTTCTACTGCTGACATGACTACTAGTATCACGACTTGACTTCTTATCATACTTCTTCTAGTACTACAACTTAAACTTATGCCACTTCTCACCTTCCTGCCTTTAAAGGCAGTTTCCTTCTTCATTCAAACTTTGTGCAATTTTAGACATTTTTCTAGCCTCTTTCAGCATGAATAAAATTTCCTTTTATAGAGCATATTCATACTATTTGTCCTTCAACCAATTAAACTATTATCCAACTTATATTTCTTTTTCACCCCTTCAACAGCTTTAACATTTATACCTTTCTCCATGTTTTATTAGCAGTTTAACATTGCTTTTTCAGCTTTCAGCACTCAGCATTTCCACGCATTTTCTGCAAGGAAATGCAATTTTTCTAGTTTTCATTGAGGTTGTTTTCTAGCTATTTTAAGGAAAAACGGAGTCTGGTCAATGTGATAGGTCATACAACAACATGCAGCACTGATAAGGTAAGATGAGCCTTTATATTTGTGTGGTGGTTTTACAATGCCAGGAACACTAAATACAATAAGCTAATGAGAAGAAATTTGAAGAGATTTCAAACAATGTGAACTTTTTAAAAAGAGGAAACAACATAAGTAAATAGAGGAATTTCTTTTTAATGTTCATGCTTGTCCCACCTTGTAAACTTTCAATGTTGAATTTCTTTTTTTTACACCTTTTGGACTTAAAATGTAAATGTTAACTGTATTTTCTTTTTTGTGTGAATTTCTACATAACAAGCTTTATATAGTAGTTTTAGGTCTCTTCAATTGGTGAATATACTTCAGTAAAGTAAATTTTGCCTGTTAAACAGGTGATGAGCTTACTAGCTAATTGTAGGTTGTCCAAAAAAGCAAATTTTGTCCTTTTAATGTTGTTCATACTTGTGCCACTGTGTAAAATTTTGATTTTTTTTTTAACCGTTTAGACTTTAAATTTTAATTGTAACTGTATTTTTTTTGGTGAATTTCCATATAACAAACTTTATATAGTAGTTCTATGTCTCTTCAATTTCTGAAAATACTTTTACAGCATAAATTTTGCCTATTAGCTACTGAACTTGCTAGCTTACTAGCTAATTTTAGTTTTATCCTGAAAAGCCATTTTTGTCCATTAACTGACAGGGTTTAGCTAACTTTTATTGCTTGTGTAGGATAAAACTCGTGTATTTCACGAAGAAGGAAACAAAAATGACAGGTAATTATTTTTTTAGTTGATTATTTTTTAATGAAAAGTCTGAAGATATTTTTTTAATTATTGTAGCTAGTGGGCCGTTTGCTCGTTTGCTAGATTATCTAGTTTAAGGACAATCGGTAATGCGCCTATAAGAATAAAATTATGCCTAAACTGTCCAAAATAAGTAAATCTTAGACACAAGTTGATAAAAAAAAATAAAAATTAAACCGAATTTCGAAGACTAAAATTAACGTTTTGATACAACAACATACAACGATTATAATTAACTTTATGCTCGTTTCTATATTTCCGACAGTCCGTGAAGGGGCCACCGTTCACCGCTGTGTGGATGCAGATTTGCGACTCCGGAGGATGAGGAGCGGCGGGGACGCTGCTGCCTCTTCTCCGCCGATAACAGACCTTTTCCCGCAGTGAGTGTGAGGAACCAGCCGCAGCTATGGCCTCTGACAGTAAGTACAACCGTCTGCCCACCGTGTGACCGCACATTATGGTGATTTTTACAGTGTCAGTGCCGGAGATGGATGCACTGGTTTCTTCTTGTGGGGGGGTTCGTCTGACGGAGAGGGAAAGGATGTGCAGGCCAATTTACTCAATTTTTACCCAGTTATCTTCCTTTTCCGCAGTGGAGTCAAGATATTGACATTTCAGGGCCCGGATTAACCTCAAATAAAAGAGAAATATGATGATTATTTCTCAATATTCTTGCTTTGAGTAAACTGTGCAGAAGCCTACTCACTGGAGAGTTGATAGTTGCCTCATCATGGCCACTTCATAGAAAGCTATTTTTACATATCCTGCGTTGAATTATGAGATAATCTTTTACAAGTTAAAACATTTATGCAAATCATCACAGTGGTGATGATGACACTACATCTTTTTTTAGTGAGCTGTTTCATAATATAGGTCTGCTGAGGGCATGATGCATTTAAAGAGACAGTTTTTATTTTTGCAACAGCAAATTAAGCTCCTGCAATGAGTGCAATAAAAAAATACTCTTTATTAACAAAGAAGAATTTGCAGTATAAATGCAAGGCCCAGTGGTTCAACCAATTAGGGTTTTGTCTTTTAATTTCATGGATTAATTATTTTGCAAAACATTTTCTTGACTATAAGAGTAACTGTATCATAGTCATGCTTCAAACCAACCAGCAAATCACCAAAAGGAGAAATTTTCTGCGTTTCGTTCAGGTTTTTACCATCTCTCTTTGTTGACATTATCCACAGTTTTCAAACTATTTTTAGATTTATTTTGGAAAAGACATCCAAGTTCACTGGGGTGTTATCCAGAATCAAATCAAAGCGTTGTGAATTTTCTATAATCAATTTTCAAACCAAAACATCTTGAAAAAATTCAAGTATATTTCGCAAACAAGAACACTCAATACTCAATAAAAAGCTTGATCCATCTGCACAATGACTTTTTGTTTTCACGTCCGGATCGCCTGACTTTTACAGCCTTTTTTATTCGGACTGTAAAATCAGTAACAAGGCTAACAACGGCTTCTTTGTTTCACCCATCTTTAAGAGCGTGAGCAACAAAATTATAGCCGCTACAGTCAACTTTGCTATCCTAATTTCTTTACTCGTTACAGTATATGCATAATAAATGGATCAAGAGTTAAAGCTCCTGTGAGGAACTTTCAGTTTCTTTGAGTTTGGTGCCCCCTGTGGACAAAGCAGTCTTTGCTGATCTTGTTCTGTCCATTCATAAACTTTTTCCCTTACTGGCTAAACCCACAGGATCCAGAACAGCTCCGCTCTGGCAGGCAGATCAGATCTGCAAGCATACAGCACCCACCGGATCTGATCCGCCGCCGCCATCGGAGGAGAAGCTCTCTCACGAGCTCTCGCGTGTTTCCCCGGGAGTCATATAATAAGATCCGCCGATCGGTGTACGTAAAAGGCGGTGTATATAAACACCCACATCCCACAACCCTGGCCTCTCCTATCATCAAGCTAAGAACAGTTAAACGTATTGACTTTATTTTATTTTGAAAATTAACCTGATATTTTATGTTGTAAATTTTACTCCGCTGCACTGAATTGATGCGTAGTGCTCCGGCGTCCGGCAAAAATAGAAGCCTTGCGTGTCTGATCCAGCCGCCGGAGCCGATCCACAGCAGAGCCGGATGGATTCTGTGGAATCACTCACATTGACTGTAATGCTTGCGGATTTGATCCGCTGGCCGTGCCAGAGTGGAGCAGAGCTGTCCCAGATCCTGTGGGTTTTGCCCGTTATATTATTGCACCAATTGGCGTTATCAATTTAAACAGTTTTTGTGTCTCTCACTGTTCTTACTAATTAAAGCTCCCATGAAGATTTTGTCATGTTTATAAATAGACAAAAATTCATTTTCATGCTTTGCTGTGATATTCAAAAGCAAACAAGACCATCAGTGACAAGATGGAGGATTTTTACATCTTGAGTTGTAATGCCTGAGACCAGTGAGAGGGGCAGGTTTCAGTTTGCAGATGAATAGACAGCCCTGCTTTAAATATCCACGTATAACATAAACAGTAAATGTTGCATTTAGTCTTAAAAAATTGTCAGGATAAGATTTTTTGGATAAGCACATGTTTGCTTTAGGCGCCAAAACTCACAGGAGCTTTAGTATTACTTCATCAAAGCTGCTTTTGGCGCCCTCTGTAGGCAGAGACTTACTTCTTAATACTCTGGTATTTTGTGACGCTGAATCTCACCTTGCTGACTTTTAAAAGACAATTGTGTAACGTATTGTGAGTATTTACTGTTGATAATGAATGAAAGGCTGTTTTCAGTCTGCTGTCAGTCATAAGGTTTGACTCCTACCCTCCTCACAGCATTTCCAAGCATTAAAAATTACAGTATAGTAACTTTAAATCTTGTTGATGGTGGTTTTGTTTCCTTTTCTGGGTCATGAAGACTTGTCACTATGGATTTTCATCTGTTTTACTACCAGTTAAAAATTCCTCACTGGAGCTTTAAAGTGCATTTTCTTAAAGACATAAACACAAATTATTGTTAAAAACACAAATTTTGACCAAAAATATAAACCAAGACTCCCTAAATGGAAAAAAGGTGATGGTTAATCCTGCGTCTGGTTTCTTGAAAGTTTCCCTCCACGTTAACATTACAATGAAGATGGTGCATAAACAAACTCATCCCACTAAACCCAAAGCACACATGAAATCGTCACACCTGTTATTGCCTCCTTTATGATGTTATCCCTCGACTCTGAGCTGAAGGACTTGGTTTACCTCGCAGTACTCGTCCCAGTTGGATCTTTTTAACCTCTTCTTTTGAAACTCCAAGTCACAACTGGATGAATTTCACAAAAGCGGTTGTCAGTAAGTTTATTTACTCATTCACTTATAGCGATAAGTTACCCAGTGTGCTTCTTTATGGAATCAAACCAAAATGTCTATTTCTAGTTTCATTTAAAGGGATTGTAGCAACATATCTGGAATATTAATATCCATTAATATCCAGAGATTTCCTGGATTATAATTTTGATTTACTTCTTTAAAGTTGAAGTACTTAGTCTGATACTTTGCTTTAAAAAATGTCAAAAAGACGAGAAATGTCTGCGCCATTTGTGTCAGCAGTATGGTGTCTGCACAGGGTGGGAGTGTCTTTTTTTTGCATTAGGTAAACAAAGAGGAGTAACTGACGCCGCCGCATAACCAGAGGGGTCACTGCAGGGGTAGAGAGAAAGCTGGTAATAAAAACAGACAAACTTATTCGTCTTAGTTCGCTTAAGTCGAACACGATGTAAAACATTTCCTTGGATATATTCCTGCCCTGACAGACGACACTTGTTGTGCTGTCTTTAAGAAACTCGCTGATTTAGTTTGCAAATGAAGGCGACAGTGAGAGCTCTTTGATCACATTAAGTACCTGAAGAAAAACAACTCAAAGATAAGTGTCAGGCGTGTAAGACACTTTTTAACCTCTCAGTATGCTCTTCTTTCTTTTTTGTGTCATTGTAAAAGATGCCAAGCAGAATCAAAGAACTCCTCAGTGAGCTCCATTAGAGAGTAGGAAGCAGTCAGCTGTGTGTGTATGCGTGTTTGACGTTGTTTCTGCTTATTATGGCCTAGTTACAGGCTGTTTCTATGTCTAATTCATGGATCGCTCTCGCTACGGCTCACAGGCTGAGAGAGGCAAGTACTCTCAATTGGGACTCGTGAGAAATATTTAATGTCGCTGCTCGTCTCAGGATATTGAAACAGCCTTGAAACCTGTATTAGTCGTGGTTTATAGGGGCGCCGGGGCTCATTGACAGCACAGTGCTGCACTGATTCAGTCTGATGACAAACCCCAGACTCGTCTCACTTTCATTTTGCTCTCTCAGTTGGTTACGGTGAGGATTTCTCAGAGGGGTAAATGCTCAGAAGTAATGAGAAGTTAATGATACAGCGTTAAAATGGTTCATTAGGGGACCTTTGCATGCCACAGGCAGCTATTATCACAAACAACCTAAACGGTGTTTGCTCATATTATGAGTAAAAATGCAATAAGCACATGCCCTTTCTGCTCTGATTCGTTCTCTACAGGCATGTGGAAAATTCTGTCTTAAAACAACTAAAATGAAGATGACCTTAAAGAGAATCACCATTACCCATGGGAAAACTAAGATAAAAGATGGAGGTGCTCAGAAAATTTTGTTAGGAATGATTTCTAGTATTGATTCATGTGCAAGTAAGCCACTGGTTACAAAATTATGTCAGTGATTTTATTCGACCCCCAAGTGAACAAGTAATATACCTGCAGTTTATAATGATATAACTGATATTAATATGATAAGATCCAAAACAGAGGCTCAGGATAGATTAAAAAAGGATGCAATTTATTACAATAGGTTACCACTGAAACGGTTGAAAGAGTATACAACACTATACTACACTGTCCTTAACTGTGAGTTACAATATGATATGATATTGTACTGAATGATAAGATAATATAATATATAATATAATGATTAATGCTGCTGCTGTCCCCTGTCCCTCTCTCTCACCCTTGTTCTCTATTCTCTCTCCCTCCCTCTCCCTTACTTGTTCTCTCTCTCCTTCCTTCTCCCTTGTTCTCTTTCTCTCCCCCTGCCCTCTCTCCTACTCCTCTCTCTCTCTCCCCCTATCTCTCTGTATTTCTCCCCAACCCAGCAGCAGCTTGGTGGCTGTCTAGATGAGTCTGGTCCTTCTCAAGGTTTCTGCCTGTTAACCTTCCTCCTGTGTTAGTTTTTACTACGCACCGACTATGTTAAGGGTCGGTTTGGTCCCGTGTCTTAAATCAGCTGCAAATTACACTAAAAACATCCTCTATCATCCAATTTGGTTCTCATCTCTAGGTTACATTGTTAGGATACGATATGACACAACTAATCATGATACGATACAATACATTATGATATGTTACGCTACCCTTGGCTACAGCACTATGCAATACTGTTTAGTATAATAATGTACCATACCATACAGTTCTGTGCAACATGATACAATATGATACATTATAATACGAAACAATATAATATAATACTGTACTGTACAATACGATACGATCATCATACTACTGAAATGTAGGATATCATAGGATATGATACTATACAATACATTATGATCAAATATCCTAGCTAGCTTAGAAAACTGCACTGTACAATACTGTGCAATATGATAATATATTACACAAACGATACTGTGCTACACAATACGATACGATTCATCATGATACGATACAATACATTATGATATGATACGCTACCCTAGGCTACTGGACTATAACATACCATACAATACTGGTAGCAGTCACCATCTCTTGAAGGACTTGACTGGATTGGTGGCACACAGCTGTGGTGAGCCTCTCATTTTTGGCGGCAGTTTGTTCAGAGCTCCTGAAAATTAAAGTGTGTTGACTTTATGTTGTGGTTTAGGATGAACCGCCATGGTCAAATTTATTGTAGTGCGACACTCAGACCCCTCTTGAAATCCCTTGTGCCTCCCTAGTTTCATGTTCCTGCAGACTCCGATAATGAAAACACACATTGTAGAGGATCACTTTCCCACTTTCCTCTGTGTTGTTGAGTTTTGGTGGTACTCAGGAAGAGACGTCTACCTCGCCCAGTGGGAAGCAGGAAAGCTGTGCTGATTGACGGGACACGGAGCGGCTCAGACTAGAGGATCAGAGTTCAGTGCAAAGGCGAGAGAAGGAGAATGAAGTTGCGGAGACTTTAGGCGAGAGGTGAAACTTGTTTTCTGCATGAGTGGGAATTTATATTTTGAGAAGAGAAGAGCGGGAGTAGAGAGAGAAGAGAAGAGAGATGGCCAGCAGAGGAGGAACTAATGCAACCCAGTCTGCAGACAAAGAAACGAGGAAGATCGGTAGAGGCCGTAAGCTTTGAATTTTACTGTTTTACCCCTGAAAATAACAATAATACAGAATTAGATTAAATTTTCATGCGCAGATAACAGCTTTAACATTAGAAAACATGCCTCCGTGGATTTGTCTCTAACGGCAACTTCCATGTTGTTGATGGCGTCCATTCAAAGGCTTTGTGCGTAGATACAGTGACAACATTTGACTTATCGTATATATGTAGAAATGAATCCCAGAGTGACACCAGATCTGTCCAGGATATTAACAGACATGTATTTTATCAAATAGAGCATTTTTTTAATCAATAACACTTAAAGTTTTTCAGAAAATTGAAGAAGGGGATGGAAATTTCAAAATAAAAGTCTTTCATTTTTACTCTAAGGAGACTTATCACCAAAATACATTTCCTAAAGTCAGTTCCCTCATCATAAAAGTAAGTCATTTGGTCTTTCACTTCACCCTCTGCTGTCACCAGCCCTCAGAAAGAAACCAGTTCAGCTAGCACTACATAGTGACTTGACAATAGGGCCCTTTGTGTGGATGTGAGTGTGACGAGGACAAGAACTATAGATAAGGACATTAAGAAAACAAGTGTACTGAAGTAGTTTAACTTCATTTTTAATACATACTGTCACATATTATCTGAATACTGGATTGTTAGCATGTGTGAATGAGATCGGGCAGATCAGTACTCTGCCAGGGTGTAAAGAAAGGTAAAAAAAAATCAAAAAATGCTGCTTTTTCAGCTCTTTGTTGATCGTCTTGTCTGACACTGACCCCCTTTTGTTATAAATAACTTCAGTGAAATGCTCAGACTTGTTGCTGATGGTTTTGTTTGCTTCTGAAGCTCATAGAAAAGTTCCAGTATCAGTTTCAGGCTCTTGAAAACTCCTCGTAGTGCCTTTGACAAGCTTAAAACCCTAAAATATCCCATAATTATCGAACAACCTGTGTGAGAAATAAACTCTTGTTTTTATGTTTCTGTCAGTGATGACTGAGCAGGTTTCTCAGTCACTTCGACTCACTGAAGCGCAGCCTGTAACCAGCAGATGGCAGCTCAGCTTCAGTGTAGTAAAGACCTGTTTGTAGCGCTGGAGTCAGAGCTGCACCTCCTCCTGAATTCATCAGAAGAGCTTTTCCTCCAAAGTGATGCAAAGATGATGGTGTGGAGATTTCTCAGCTGAAAGTGTAGAAAGAGATCACTCCGTACAGACTTTCACAACAGTGTTTGTGGAGAAAACCTCAACAAAGGTTGATTAAATTACACACTTAGATTATTTCACATGCGTAACTATTGGATTTATTATTGTCTAATAAAACAGTTAATTAAATAGTAACTAAGGCGCACTATTGAAGCGTTATACTTGACGCTTTTCTGTAAGTCGTTTCTGTTGTTATTTTTGCTCTCATTTATCATCTCCTCATCTCAAACTCGAGATGCTCTTGTCTTTTTGGCCAATCAGCACGTACAGACAGACAGCGCCATGGTAACATGAGACCTTCTTGCATGTGGGTGGGAAAAGGCACACTCATTATACCTTAATAGAGCCGCTGGGTTGTTTCCAGGGAAACTATGATTTTCAGGTGTGTGTGTTTTTGTGTGTACGTGTTTGTGTGTGTGTGTGCATGAGCCTTGCGGTCACTGAGTTTGAGTCAGACAGCAAACACAATGTGCTGATGTTTCTGGGATGATTTGACCTCATGTCCAAACAACAACAACAACAACAGCTCGGCTCTTGTGTTTGGTGCAGCGCGTCACGTGTCAGCTCTGGAGTTCAGGTGCTTTTAAATAGAGATCAGCGGGGATGCGGGCGGTAAGACCAGAGTAATGTCAACCGAGTGGAGTTTATTTTCAGACACGTCAGGAAGAAAATAACAGTGAAAGGGTGGAAAAGTGAGTGGAAGATAATTACCCCTCTTTCTGAAAGGGAAATGTCTCTTCTTGGCTTTTGTCGATAAAATCAGGTGACTGGCAGATTGAGAACTTTCGACAACTTAAGGGACACAAGACTCCGAGTAAGAACATGTCTAGATAGCTCTTTAATTAAGAAATAAATGTAACAAGCCGATGGACTTAAAAACTGATGGTGTGGAGGAAGATTTAAACAAGTTTCTTCACCCAGATTGTACTGCACAGGGTGGGAGTGCAGCTTTCTCCACTAGACAGATAACCTAGGGGCTCTCATCCTGTTTTCTCTGTTATATCAGCAGCACTGATTTGAGTTTTCTCCACTAGAAGAGTTATTTTAGAGCCTCTGTTCTCTCCAATTTATCAGAAGCATCGTGGTACGGCTTGTTTGTATGAAGACCTAAGGCCAGTCCATTATGGACTACAGAGCGGTGCCACAGCTCAAGGAAGAACATTTATGATAATTTCTTTTTAATTTCCTTGAAGTAATAATCACCATATTAATCATTTTGCACTGCAGATGTGGTAGTTCTTCTGCCTTAGCCTGATCATAAGTGTTCTTCCTTGAGCTGTGTCACCCTGCTTCAGTCGTGATGGACTTGCCCGAGGTCTCTGTACAAACAAGTGGCTGCTGGAGGAGAGTAGGTGAGTTGTGTTATGGTGTGTAACTTAATTTTACGCCAGAATATCCCTTTAAGAGAGTGTTTTATCATGCTTTCTCCACTAGACAGATATTCTAGGAGCTCTAATCCTGTTTACTCTGTTTTATCAGCAGCACTGATTTGAGTTTTCTCCACTGCAGAGGGCGCTACACTGTGTTTTCTCCACTAGAAGAGTTATTTTAGAGTCTCTGTTCTTTCCATTTTATCAGCAGCATCATGGTACGGCTTTAAGTTTCTAAACTGCAAGGATAACCTGGTAAACTTGAGCATGTTTTCTCTGCTAGAAGTACACCAGACAGAAACTTTTATCCACATTTTGCCCTCTAGATGGCACTGCTTTACATTAAGAGCACACTTTACAATGTTTTCTCTCTCTTTGGGGTGTTTTTGCACATTTTCTCCACTTTAAATTCTTTTATTGATTTTTTCCAAATAGAAAGTAGCCTTAAAGACACTCATCCGGGTTTTCTTGTAGCGTTTTCTCCATTTTATGAGCAGACTACGGCTTTAAGGTTTCTCCACTCTAAGTACATCCTTGACACAAACTTGATGTGATTTGTCTAGCCTGTGAGAGCAGACTTTTTGAGGGGATGTTTGTGTTGTTTTCCCTCAAATTTAGGGGGCCACCAGGGAAGCAGATTGAGGGGGTATACGCTTTTTCAGTCAGGAGAATAACAAGGTTCTGTTCCCACTCCCACTATCAAGATTTATGCCCACAACAGAAGAGTAATCTTCCTGGATCCAACAGGCTTTTGAAGACTGAGGACAGCGCATTCAGCTGTGTGTTATAGTAATAATCTGCAGGCAAAAGGCCAGGGCGTGCGCACACACACACACACACACACACACACACACACACACACACACCCAGTCCTAAAACTAATTACCCACATTAATGAGTGACCTTACTTCGAACTGAGAGAGACAGCAGGGACTCCTTTTATTCATCGCTAAAAAAGAAGGAAGGAAAATCTACAAAGAGCCATATTCTTCCTTTTCAGGATCCCTTGTATCTCTCATTAATGAGCGATAATAACGTGGCCTCTGACGCCGCTGTGTCTTCTTCTTCTTCTCCTACTTTTTTTTCCTCCCTCATCTTAATCTACGCTCACATCAAAGTGCTCTCTTTCCCCCTCTGGAGCTTCTCACTTCAAAGCCGGGGTGGAAAAGTCAGCAGCTGCATAGTAATCAGGGGATAAGGATTTAGTATTCACACACACACACTCACATATAAAACCTTTCACAAGCAAGATTAGTGATTGTGAAATGTTTATGGTTTCAATCCCTCCATCTCATTAGCCTGATCCGATGCTCCTGTTTGACTTCTGGGACTCACACCCTTGTTTGTACATTAATTCATTCTAGTTAGCCTTAAATATGTTTGCACATTCAACAAAACGTCTCATCAATAACCTCCATATGTCCTTTTTTAACTCCCGTTGATCCCCACGGCGGTGTAATACTGCGATTCAGTCATCCACAGAGATTATTTCTGTTTATCCCATTTAATTGAGGTTGATTTGAATAAAACTAGAGTCTTTTCTCCTCACGGTGGTCATGTTTAGAGTTAAATCTGGGTGTTGTATGTTAAAAAGGCAGAGCAAAACAGAGGTTGATGCATTTGAAATGATGTGCATCCATGTCTGAGTCCTGTGTGTGCATGTATGTGTGTGCAGCAGGTGTGAGGCCAGACATTTGACCCGGGGTTTCTTCCTGTCCATCTGCATGCAGACAGTAGGAGGCTCTGAGTCTCCAACACTGAGCTCAGTGTCTGTCTGTCGGAGCAGCTGAGAGGGAACTCCCGTTTATAGCCTCACCCGAACACACCACCCAAACATTTACTGTCGCAGTGTGTTTATTTCACCCCGGGGGGAGGAAATGCAAATCAGTCACTTCTTTTACATAACCTTAAGCCCTTATTGTTGGTGTAAATACACGGATAAACCTCCTTAATTCTTGCCGTCTGATTAGATGGATTCAGCAGGTAGTTGCTGATCCGGTTAGAAAATGTGGCAAAGCTGTTGCTTTTTCTGGGAAATGATGCACACTGATGCTGGAAAAATAGGGCAGAGCTGTATCTTGAAAACATTACGATCAAACCAGTGGCTTACATAACAAAAAAAACAGGCTTGTTAGATTTGTTATTCCTGCGCTCTATGAAACATGCTAAAATGAGCTTGTTTGCGTGTGTGTGAACTGTGTTAGCATTCATCTCTCGGTGCAGCTGCAGGTGACAGAAGCACGATCACAGTAGTTTCAGAAGTGTTTTGACATGAACAGAAGTGTCGGTCAAGTGGAAAATTAGATCTGACAGTGGCGCTACACGTAGTGGGTTCATCCTCTGGGTATAAATGATATCAGTAGTGAATACACGACAACACATCCCTCAAGTCTCTCCGCTCGTGTAGGTAAAAGTGATTAAGAAGAACATCCTTCAGGTCTCTGCAGAGTGGTTTTCACTGTCACTGCCGTCATAAGTAAGTGTGTAGGAGAGGAAAGAAGAGGCGGTGATGAGGTTTTTTAGTTTTTTTTTTAAAGGGAAACATGGAGAGAGTTATAGCCGGTGCAGGAGTGTTCCCATGCTGCATCTGTCATGCGTTAGCACTTCCAGACATCTCACTATGTGGGAGTGATGGGCAGCTGAACATGAAGAAAGTGGGTCGCCTGTCTGATGAGAGATGTTCTGTCAGTGTGTCTGAAAAGGAAGAAACACCCAAATCGCTGTATGTTTCTCTGTATACAGAGGGGTTCGAGCCCTGAGGTACTCAACACACCCTCAAGAAACTGTCTGTAACCAGGATAGCAGGAGCTTTTGTTGAATCTTATGAAATATGTCATCTTAGTTTATGGCCTAAATCCTCATTATGATGGATGAGGTACTACTCATGAGTCAGACGGGGCCATGCTGTGCTCAGTTGTAAAATTAATGTTAATTAATACAAAATGTCAACTAAGACTTTCAATATGAAGCAGTTAAGCTTGTGATGCCAAATAAAAACCATTTGTAAGATGGTCAAAATGAGGCTAAATGGTCAAGACCGATTTTGTTCCGTCAGGTGATCGTCAATTAACAACATGATTAAGAATAGCAGTGATCGCAGTTTGGTTTGTCTTAGGATGTAAATCATGGTGGGGATGTGAAAAAGTTGTCCAATGTAGGTTATGTGACCAACCAAATGTTGCCTAGCCAACCTTATTTACATACAGTATGTACTATGACGCCTTTATTGGATCTGCTGATCAATCCAATTCTCAATAGATTCCCTTATGAATTTCTGTAGGTCATCTTTGTAGACAAATTTATAAATCATCACAGAGTTTTTAGAAAAATTGAAGCTTCACAGTCATGTTTTTGTTGATATCAGACTGATATCGGATATCAATATCAGATCGGGACATCCCTACCTGGAAATACCCTCATCTTTATCTGAGTGGTAGAAAAACCCTCACACAGTTATTATTGGAAACCTGCTGGTCTCACAAAGCGAGTGGATTTTGCAGTAAGTTGGCACGTCCTACTGTTCTAATTGTAGAGCCTATAATGTAAACACAGCCAGGTGATGTTTGATATGACAGTCTCGACTTCCTTGGTTGTCATTGGTGCTGATTATCTCTTGTGATGTGACATTTAAGATCCTCAACACGGACACACGTACAAAGAGTATCTTATTCAGGGCTAATCCAGTTTCCAGTGGGATTCAGGCCACCAGAAATCCACCCTTGATGCCCAGCTAAAACTACCTGAGCCCATCCAGGTCATTGTACACACTCTATGTACACAATAGATGCAAACACAGAATCACTCAAACAACCACAATTTCAGGGGCCAGTTTTTCTGGCTGGCGTAGATGCTTTTGGGGATTTCTTGGCTGTCTTTGGCAAACTAGAAGGTAGAGATGTTCCTGCTTCTGTTGAGTAAGGTGTCAGGAGGCGTCGTGCGTCTATTTTTGCTTGTGTAGGTGGGTTTTCGTCTGCACCTTGTAATGCTTGCTCTTCAGTTTATTATGTAAGATTTAAATAGCATAGCTGGTGCCTCTGCAATTGGAGACTGAATTATAATATAACAGTTTCAGGAAACGCAGACGTATTTGTCGCGGTTGTTGCTCATTACTCATGAGGACTTCTACGCCGTTGCTTGGCCACGTGATTGGGTTGATAAGTCTTATCTTAACAAGGAAGGACATCCTTTTCCAATAAACGACAGACACCAGAGTGAAAAACAAAAGGCAGTGTGTGAAATAAATAAAACATCTTCAAACACATACACACACCCACGCTGTCAAGTCCTTTTCGGCGTCATCTCCCAGCAGGATGTGTACTCGTCTCCATTTGCTCCCATTGATTTAGCTCTGCTCTCTGAAATGTTACCCTGGAAACGGGAGACGGCGACCTCCCGCTGTGCATTTCTATTCATCTGTATTGAGTCTCAGCCGCCTCATTGAGTGCAGAGCCGTACGCCTTGTAGCACCTTCGCTCCCTTTTCATTTCTGCATCTCCACATCAGGTTCTCTCTTCCTCCTCTCTCTTTTTTTCCCCCTTCGCTTCTTTGAACTCTATTTTCGTTTTCATTCATCTGTTTTCTCGCTGCAGCTCTCCTCACTACTTTCATTCTATTTCGGTCTGTATGTTTTTTGAGGGGCTCTTTCATATTCTTGATTTCTCTCTTGTTTATATCACAGCCTCTCTCATTATTTCACTGAAAATAACTCAGCACTCTCTTCCCCTCACTTGCTTCTCTATTTAGATTCTCTCATCCTCATCAAAAGTGTCTTGCACCTGATTCAGGTAGCTTTGAGGACCTGTATTGGCAATTTTGCCACTCCTGTTACATAAACTGTAAATCCGAATGAATCCCAGTCTGTGTACCTATCATCTCTGGTAATGAGGTGAAGCTACTTTATCCTTTTCAACCAAGACTGTGCATATTCTGCTTAATTTAGTCAGTTCCTACCTTCTGGGTGGATAATACTAGCTTTGTCAGCTGTCTTTGCTTACCAGAGTGATGCCAACACACAAACAGCAGGAGCAGATGAAACAGATTTGTACTGAAACCAGCATTTATTTATCTTGAAAGAATCTGGAGCTGCAAAGACAGAGTCAAGCTCAGTCAAATGCAAATTTTTAAGTCGTAAGTTTAACTTTATGTCGTTTCGAACCTGAAAAACCTGTTATCAAGTATCCTAATCATGGTTCAGTGTGTAATTTTGGTCTTATGCTGCGTTCCAGTTACCTCAGAACGCACCCGAGTCAACGGAGTTCAAGTTAACAAGTTGGAAAACTAAGATGGACGCCTACAGTTACCTGTTGTTAGCTGTTCTTTACAATCGTCCGCTGTCGTAAGCCGTTGTCATCAGTTGTAAGTTGTTGTTTGGCCTGGGACGATAATCAATAAATCGAACGATAAATATAATATGAACTAAATAATTTTTCCGGCCTCGATATATCGGCCATGTGCATGCGTGTATATGTTTTCCTTGTCTAACACCTCCAAACATACCTGGAGCCAGTATGCCGACTTTGTTTGAAAATGGTAGCGACAAAAAAGGCAACACAACGAACTTGCATGCCCACCTCAAACACAATCACCCGCTCAAGTTTTCCCAGCTGGGGAAATAAAACTGCACCCCGAGATGCAGAGTCGTTGGCCTCAAAGTCAACGTTTACTGAAGTAAAGCAAGTACAGTCGGAGCAGCGTGAAATGAGTATATCAGTTTTTTATAAAATTATGTCGAAGTTATGTATGTTATGTATAACAAGAGCATGCCTGACTTTCCTGACTCTGTCGCTGTTAGACAGTCAGCTCCACATCTTTACCTCCTGCTGAATTGACCAAAACTTAAGTTAAGACAGTGTTGACCTCTCCAATATGGCGGCATATCGCTCTTGGGAAAAGCAGTGGCCGAGCTGGCATGTATGTGTAACCTAGGCAGTTCAGCTCATAGTAGAGACAGCCTGGGATTGGTTGAATGCAATGTTAACCTGCAAACCTTAGTTATTATGTTGGAGTGTATGATGTTGTTCAGTTATAAGGTATCAGATGGTTTAAAAAAAACAGTAATTTTACACTGATTCTGATTTTGATCAAAGCACCAAGGGTAACTCAAATACTAAAGTATCACTCATTCTGTCTGTGTGTGTATCACATGCGTACTGTGTGTGTGCGTGTGCGTGTGCGTGTGTGTGCGCATGTATCCAGACTGCCTGTTTGTGTGGTCTGATCAGTGTGTCATTGTGTGTCCCCTCTCCCTCTCCCTCCTCCTGCCAGTCACCCCAGAGGCCATCGGTTTCCTGTCGGCGGTGGGCGTCTTCATCGTGGCGTTGGCCGTCCTCTTTCTCTTCATCAACAAGAAGCTGTGTTTCGCACGCGTCGGTGGGCTGCCCTGTCTGGAGCAACATGGCCGCCGGAAGAAAGGACGCGTGGGGATCCGCCAGGGGCTCGGTGAGTGACCGGCAAAAACAGAAATGATCGTTTAATCTGGTCATCTCAAAAACTGTTCTAGCAAAACCTTGCAGGAAGGTGGTCTGGGTGGTGGATTCACATGCTGCTTTAAAAACACTCACTATGGTAGAAATACCTTACGCCAGGATCCCACCGCATGCAGATCTGCTACGCTCCACTCCTGAACGACAGGCGGATCAAAAACGCAAGCATACAGTGCCCATCGGATCCAACTACCGCAAGTGGAGGAGAGGCGCTTGCGATATTACTGATATTTCTCACGAAATCTCACGAGATCTTGCATGTTTCACCTTGAGACATTGATCGAGATCGGCGGTGTATGTAAACACCCACATCCCACAACCCTGGCCCCTCCCATTATCACGTTTAGAACAGTTCAATGTATTGACCTTATGTTATTTTGAAAATTAATTGGATATTTTACTTTGTAGCTGCATACAACTTCCACTGCCACTCGTCCGACTGCTACAGTGGATTAGCAGTGGAGCCGGACAGCATTGTGTGGAATCACACACATAATGCTTGCGTATTTTGCTGCGTTCGAGTCACCTGGGAATTCAGAAGTCTGAGCTGAAAATGACGTCGCACCAGAGTTACCAGCGTTTCAATTGCCAAGTCGGAGGCGGAAACAAGATGGCTACATCTACGAAAGTTATACAAGCTCTCGCCTTGTCCAAATTTAAGGCAAAAGGCTGGGAACTCGGGTGTGACGTCATTTTCAGCTCCAACGTTGACTTCTGAAGTAACTTGAACGCAGCATTTGATCAGGCTGCTATTCCGGAGCGGAGCGCAGCCATTCCGTATCCTGTGGAATTTAGCCATTACCCTCCTCTGTTATAATGGTCCCATCAGTCGTACTTCTTCTGTCCTATCAGAGTAGCCTATCCTTCATCCCAAAGTTGCCTACCCTTCTCCATAATTGTGGTCTACCCTTCCACATCTAATCATGGCCCTCCTTACTTCTTTTTAAAGATCTGCTTACCCTGCTTCCTTATCATCCAGCACAACTACTCTCATTAGTTAGCATTATATAACTAGAATTGAATTGTATAACTAGCTTCAGCGGTTTTAAATCTCCATTTTGAAAAGAAAAGACCCAAAATGTTTCTCTTAACACCAGGCGTTTTATTTTGAACTTGCTGAACTGTAGATTTTGAATTTCTTGGAGATGCATGCTGTCGCTTCCTCTTCAAGGCTCACCTGTTATATAAGCTGAACCATTCTGAGTGGGAGACCGAAAGAGAGAGAGAGAGAGAGGGAAAGTATGTGACTCCTGTATGAATTACGACTCCAATTAAACTATTCAGAAACGGAGCGAGAACGTGGGTGAGCTTGTGTTTGTACAGTAGTTCAGGTGGGCGAGCATGTATGTAAGAGAGAAAGAGTTAAGTGAGTCAGCTGCATACCACCACAAAGCCCTGCGACTGCACACAATGAAAAATATTAACATTATACAACCTTGAAGAAAAACTCAGCCGTGGAAAAAGTACAGAGAGAAAAGAAAAACTCGGCTTTCAGTCTTTATTCGCTTTTCATCACCCAGTGAAACGATTTCTCTTCACCCACATGTCAAATACTGCCGACACCCCGAGGAAAGGTCAGTGAGTTTGTACAAAATATTAAATAAAAGTATCTTTGCTGTGGGGATGTTTTTACATCAAAATCACAAGGTTTACTCTTTTCTAACGATCACGAACCACCTCGTTCAAACTCGACTGGATAATAACGAAGACCTGAGCTTTTACGTAACCTCAAGGCTGATCTAGTTGTTAAGGTCATCACTTTATTTTACAGTTTTTTTAATTTTGTAATAGTTTTGCAGGGAGATAGCATTAATAAGCTACAAACAAAGATTGAGTTAGGACACGGTTAGCCATGAGAAGAAGAAAGAGAGGAGGCAAAAGGGGTAACACAGCTCGCTCTGACAAATAACCGTCAATACTTCTCCTTTTACAATATTTACAATCAGTGTCTCGTTTTTTTTTTAAGGTGAAAGCGTAACAAACTATGCAAAAGAGTGATTTCTTGAAGGAATCCAGATCTTTTATGACCTCACAGTAAAGGGGGGATACCAGTGCCGAGGTTGGGCCACCCCAGTCAAAAGTTCTGGACACACCCCTGCTTCTTTGCGTGGCCCAACTTTGTCCAATCTGACCCCCTCTCTGTGTGTCATGTCATGTTGTACAAGGGTTACATTCCCTCCAGCAGAAGGGTTAAACACAGGTGAGTCAAACTCTGAGCAAACACTGCCGTGTTCGTCCCTCACCTGCAGCAGGTGGAGTCTCTGGTATTTCCAGTTAGTGTCCAGAACAAACATTACATCCTGTTGGAAGTCTCTCAATAAAATTTTCCTCTCTGAATACTCTGGAGCTTGACAAGGCGAGGTAAGGACTCTTTCTGCATGAGTAAAAGTGTAGTTTTAACGGGGACGCTGTAGGCCTGATGGAACGATTGTATTTTAGAAGAGTTCATGTTTTAGTCTCACTCAATTAAGGTAGAGGGATTCATGAAGAGAGAATTGCTCAAGCTTTAAAATCAAATTACTTGGAATCACTTGGATCACCCATAGCTTTAGTTTTCTAGTTTTGACAGTGTATTTATGCTACTATGTAACTAATTATATATTAAGATATCAATGGTGTTTAATGGTAATGTAGATTAGTCAGCATTTTTTCAGAGGAGGTTTTTGTTTTTATTAGTTTGAGGTAAAAAAAAAAAACTGAGGATCCTTTTAATCAAAATTTTGCATTTTGGGTATTTATACAATCATTTATACAACCCTATGATCTAAACGAGCTGTTTCTATAGGTTGGAAAATGTGAGCAAACCAGGTATAATATGAAGATATTTGGAGGAGTTTGGTTCCCATTTTTAGACTTAATATCGAGATATATCAAGTGGACTGGAATAGGAGCAGGATGGTGTAATTTTACTCCACAGACTGAGCACGAGTTACATTAAAAAGTAAATGAACTTTCGGCATTTTATGGTTAAAAGAATCAAAAATGAGTGTCCCTACATAGGAAGTTAAACGGGATGTGCAGGTGAATAAATCAGGTAAACTAAGAAAACTAATTGATGAATCAAATTGTTATCGACGTTGAAGCATAAAGCTCCTACGTGGAGTTTATTGACATTTATAAAATATAATTAAACTTGTATTAATGCCTCTTTGTTATGAACAGAAGTGAGCAAAATCCTCAGTGACTAGACTGATTATATCTATACTATTACTATAAATACCTGGAATCAGTCTGAGGGGTTATTGGTTTTAATTATTAACAAATAATGACACTTTTGACCATCAAAAGTCAGTTTGGGGACATTTGGCCACAGGGGGCGCCAAAATTGACATGAACTTAAAGTTAGTCATAGGAGCTTTGTGCAACCAAGTACACATTTATATATTTTTTGGGACTTAAGACATAATTTTTTATTTAATTCTTTAAGAAAATAATTTTTTATGAAGATTTTGACGATATAAACTGGAGTATAACGTTTTTTAAATGCTCAAATGTTAGTCATACAAGTTACAGCTGGTGGAGAGAGTCAGCGTACAAAAAGGATCATTCATTCATGCATGTGAACACATATGACATGCCAACCTCACATGGAATCAAGCCCCGCCCCTTTTAATAAATGCGAGATCATGATGTGCACATGTATGTATTTATGTGTTTTTGAGTCATTGAGCACCAATACTCCATTCTGAAGTCTTAACGCCTATGAATAGCTTCAGGAGACAGAAGTCATCTGTCCAATCAGCCGTCACCCGCCCACTCAGGCAGCAGCTCTCAATTCTGTATGTAACCATGGCGATCACACAGGTAGAGAGAAGTGACCAGCACTTTAGAGGACGCGCCGATCGCTCCACCAACGCATCTCTCATTCAGCTGTTGCTATCTAATTATGGTGAAATTATGATGCCGGTGGAGTGACCCCGCTCTCCTCTAACACTAACAGCTTTTTTTTTCGTACCTGAAAGGTTGTGAGGCAGACACAGAAGAAGAGAAGCCTTATATAAGTTCTGTCTGCGTTTTATTCATTCAGATCTCACAAAGAGAGGCTATTTTTTTCAGATTTACAATATCGCCATCTCCACGAAAAATGGAGGTTCAGAGTCTGGGTCGCTGAAACAGACTGCTGAGAGATGAAGTTAAGGTTTTTCCTGCCTTATCCTCTGAATAAAAGCATCACAAGTCCAAAAATAATCTTAGCGGTAAAAATGGGGTGTCATTTTTTCTCTTCACCTCTACCTCCTCTCCTGACTTCCTTGTTTCCTCCTTTCTTCCTCCTGTATATCTACTTACATCTCTCCTTTCCTTTCCCCTCTTCCCTCTAAACCTCATTTCCTTCTCTCATGTACTTTTCTCCAACCTGTTTCTTCCTTCCTTCTCCTCTTCCCACCTTTCCCTCACTTCTTCCTTGTTTCCTCATTTGCTCTTCCTGTCTTTCCTTTCTCTTCTCTCATCTTTCCTCCTCTCCTCTCTTCCTTGTTTTTCTCCTCGACTCTCCCAGTTTTTTCCTCTTTGTCATCCTCCTGCTCTCCCTGTGTGTTTTCGCCCCTCTAGTGAACAGTTACGGTGACGAAGATGAAGTCACCACCTCTGACAGTGAAGACGAGGTCCTGAAGCAGTTCGAGATCTCTGTGTCGCGCTCGCAGAGTTTCCGTACGGCGGCCATGCACATCGGCGGCAGCGGAGGCGGCGGCGGCGGGGGAGGCGGTGATCAGCAGACCCATCATACTCAGCTTGCTTTGGGCCGGCGCCACAAGTTCACACGCCTGTCAGACCAAGAGGAGGGCAGCACTGAGCCGTCGGAGTGTGAAGGTGTGCTGGCAATCCCACGTGACACCATTAATATTGTTTACAGTTTCTCATGAACTATACCGTGTATCTCTTTGGGATAAAAAGTGTTCAAAAGTTTACCCTTTTGTCGATCTATCGAGTGTTTCCAGGCATTTCTACACCTGCCACAAGGTTTACAATCCAGCCACAAAAATAGGTGTTTGATCAAAGACGTTCGATGGTGAATACCCAGTGATATACCGGTGAAAACATGATTATTAATCGTTAAATGCCGCTAATGTCTTCCAGGTTTAAAAGCTGTTTTGATAACGTCTTTTTCAGTCAAACTTTTGACCAATTACATGGTCTCATATTCTTCTTCTTCTATTGTTCCCTTGACAGTAGTGTCCAATAAGAGGCAACCAAAGATCATCTGTCTCATCCCAGACAGGAACTGCTTCAAGGAGTGGCATAAACAACTGTAAATAGCAAAAAACGCCTGGAAGAATTTGTGTAAATATGTAAATAGTTTCTGTTGTGTGTTTGTTCTGATCCCAGTATTTCTTCTCCTGATAGCCAAGAGTTATCAGAATGATGTGCAGATGAGAAAAGGCTTGGTCACTGCAGATTTATGTGTTTTTTGAGCCAAGTACTGTTGGTATAAACTTCCGTTTTTGTTTTTTGGTTGACTTTGATGGTTCTGAATCTACTGTCACATTCATACTACATAATCTTTGCACCCATAAACTGACAGCTGAGGTTGTCCTGAAAAATAAGATGTGTATATATTTGCTGTGCTTGAAAGGATCGAGTTGCTACATAGATTTTTATCAGGCGGACCAAAAATTGCAAAATATAGCTGGGAGTTCGAACACAAGGGAATCTCTTTTGACACAATCCTTATTTCTCTTTATAATGAACCCCCCTGATATCATTTAAAGCCACTCTGCCTGATAGATGATCTCCATTTGTGTCCATCAAAAGGAACTAACCCTGAAGAACTTAAAGAACCTGCCTGTTATAATAAGCAGCAGGTTGGTGGTGGTGGTGGGCGGTGACATTGTTAGGTTGAGGTCACTCTGTCTCAACCTGTCTTTATTTTCCGTCTTGAACCAACATGTAAGCTTTGCAGAAACACAAACAAGCACTCTCTCTCACACACACACACATACACACACACACAGGCGGATGACTCACTTCCCTCAGCCCGTTGCCATGGTCAGCACTGTATGCAGCCGTTGATATAACAGTCAGACCGACCTTAATGATGCTGAATTGGAGATAATTGCTATTGATTGGACTTCGGTACGGCCTGTTCTTCGAGTGTCTCTGTCTCGGTAAAGGACAAGGTTTGATGGATTAGACAATAACTCCCCCTGTTAACACACAGCGTCTCTAAATGAGGTTCAGGTAATTTCTTTTCGAGTGCACCAGGAGAGATAACACGCCTGTATTTCTCATCTCTACTAAATTTAAGAGTGTGTTTGGAGGTTTCCTGATGGTTCTCGGTGAAACCTCAATCTGTGACTTCTTTGTTATGACTTGAAAATGACCCAAAACTGTAATTAGTTGAGTATTATGTCTGAGTCCATCTTGGCCTTGTTTGCATGTTATAAATTAGGTCAACATGATATTTATTTAACCTTGTTTTTTTGACCATTAGAAGACATTTTGTCTTATCTAGGTCAACCCTGGAGGAGCCCGATTATATTATTAATACAATAAAACAAGAAGGGAGGGAGGGTTGGTTTTTATTTACTTTTAATTAATTTTTTTAAATTAAATTTATCAGTACATTTAGGATTATACGCACTGGTCTCAAAGCTTAGCGTTGTGTCATATGTTATTTGACACCTGTTGATAAACACAATTGTTGGTTGGGCGCCTGAGGCTCCTCTACAAACAGACTTTTATCACGTACACAGTGTTTTCACAGCATCCTCAAAACAGGTTTTTCATATACATGTAAATTTTTAATATATAATCGTAAAAAAAGATAAATTTGATATGGTTTGACAAACCTTCTAACTGTTCCAGCCAATATGGATGTGCTGAAAACTGCAGTTCCTCAAGTGTCCACTAGAGGCTTGCTCCAAAAGTGAAAGAACTCCCATTTACACCCTGTTAGGAATTTTTTAACTGGCTTTGAAATTGATTTTAACTTAACTTAATGTCTTTTTATGACATAAATAAGCAATCAAAACCATCAACAAGCAACCATTTTTTTTTACAGTTATTGATTAAGTCTGAAATCAGTTTGGATAGGTCCGCATTTTTAGGATGATGGCGTCCATCATTTGTCTTCACAATCCCGTAAAAGGAACAACTCACTCAGACTGTATCTGCGTTTTATAAAGTCTACGCTTTGGAAAAATAGTATAAATTTGATAAGTTAATTAGAAACTTAATTGACTTTATTGAAGAACGCTGACAAACCCTGGCCTATTACTGACTTTCTGTCCCTATTTCCTCCCTTTGCAGAAATGGACACTCAGAACCGACAAAGTTTTAAGGACCCGCTGACGGCGGCGGCGGAGGAGAGAGATAAGGCGTCCACGCTCGCTCTGGAAAAACCTGCAAGTCTTGAGGTGCTGGATGTCAGGGACAGTCCCACCCCCAGTATGAGACGGCAGGCGGCAGACGGCAGCGAGGAAACGGAGAAGGCCGTCGATAACGAGAAAAATGACGCGACAGACAGCTCCTCCACCTGGAGCCCTGAGGTACTGCAGCTGTGCATTTAAAAAATATATATATCTTTTTTTAATGCTTAACAGTGTCAGCGAGAGATATTGAAAGATAATTCAACCAAATTGGATGGTTTGGTAGACTCCTATTGTAATGAATTTTACTCTGGTAAATGTAAAAGTGTGTTATAATCAGATAAATAATGTTTATTCCAGCTTTTCAATAATAGATGCAGGATTTTTGTTTTGAATCTGCTAAAAGATCTGAAAACTCTTCAGAAGAGGATGACTAATCTAAAAACGACCATTAACTACTAATATGCTCCATCGCTAAAATAGGTAAATGTGCAGTGGAGGTAAATGCGGGTTGTTTTCATCTCGGTTTTCTCTGACTAAGGCTTTTTGTGCTTTTAGTTCTTGGAAATAAGAGTTTTCTCTCTGAAAAATAAAGCTTTTAAGAGCAAGAGGAAGTCTCTCCTCCTGGAAATGAGACTTTTCTTGAAGAGGAAGTTTTGCAGGTGTGCTAAACAAAGTTTGTCGGCAGCAATTCGACAAAAACTTGTTTAAAATCTAAGGAAGGGATTACTTAACAGGGTCAGTGAGGTGATGGCGGCCCCGCTGTTACCCACCATGCTTGGCAGAGGTATCACCGTTACACGGCTTTGGGAGGATTATCAGTGTGCCATGTTATCCTCTCAGGTTTGATTTGGAAGGAAAAAAAACAAACACAACCCACCGAGGCCTCGAGGTTTTGTATAAATAGTTGATATTTCCTTCGCTCTCCACGCTGCGTTGGCTAACAAACAGAAGCTCATGAATAATAATCACTCTGAGTGTGTGTGTGTGTGTGTGTGTAAACGGTGTGCAGAAATGTGCGCATAGATCTACAAAGCGTGTATTTCTGTGTGATTACGGTGTGTGTGTGTGTGTGTGTTTGTGCGTGTAGGAGAGTGGGAATGTAGAATCTAACAACCTCTCAGTCAGCGAATCACACTTTGAAATTTGGAGCAATCTGTGCTGTAAACACCTCCCACACACACACACACACACACACACACACACACACACACACACACACACACATCTATGTAGACTCAGATCAGGATCCAGAAATGCTTCATAAATAAGAAATGAGTTTGGATCAGTGGAGCTTCAGAAAACAGGGGGAGAGCCATGTTGTAGCAGTTTATTTACAGTTATGTAACTGTTGTATCATCGCGAATGTTTCAGCTTAATAAACACTTCTGCTGATAATAATGATCATGAGAATAATGCTTTCATCAGGATTACTACGAGGACTCACTGAAACACAGATATTGACCCATAATCAGCAAATTGAGCTGTTTTACTTCAGCGATGAACACAAACGATAATTGAAGGATCATTTGTGAAAGGGAAATAATATTAACAATGACAGAGAATTGGTTTGTGGGAATGTAAGTAGTATTGTGATAAAATAACAGTAACACTGTGCATCATAATGACTGATGCACATGAGTCTGTTGAGTCTGTGATTGCTTCTATAAATACAAGCGAAGAGTTTCTGCTGCACTCTAAACAAACAAAGTCATCCTCCTAACATTAAACTATCTCCATCATCTCTACTCAAGTTTGCTTTTCTTTGCCGCTTATCAGGGTGAAAAAAAGTGATACTGAATCGTTGAAACTCTTCTACTCTAAAAAAAGAGTTGCGAGTAAAAGTCTCAGAGATTAAAAGTTTGGGTTTAACATGGTCAATTTACCGTTTATATGGTCTAACTGGTCGATCTACACTCCCACCCTCATCTATGATCACGAGCCGTGGGTAGCGAGATCGCCAGTACAAGCAGCTGGAATGAGTTTCCTCCGCAGGGTGGCTGGGCTCTCCCTTAGAGATAAGGTAAGAAGCCCGGTCATTCAGGAGGGGCTCGGAGTAGAGCCGCTGCTCCTCCGCATTGAGAGGAGTCAGATGAGGTGGCTTGGGCATCTAATCAAGATGCCTCCTGGACACCCTGCTGGTGAGGCACCCAGGGAAGACCTCACATTCTAAAAACCCCTGGGTTGAAAAAGGACTGACTACTTATTGGGTTATTTTGACCCAGAATGTTGGGTTATTCAAATTAACCTAAATTTTGGGTTGACTCAATAACTCTTTTCAAAGGTCAAGTTAATTCGGTCTCAGTACTGAAGAAAATTCTAAATCAGGTATCATGACAATGGCCAATTTATTCAGTCTAACTCTCTGCTATGCGCCGTGAGTGGCATCCAGGGATAAACAAGCTGAGCGGACTCTCACATTGTTTTTAAAACGGAGCGAGCAAAGGGATCTGAACTTTATCACAATACCTTAGTCTACAAGCTCGACGGCCACTTGCAATACCTGCGCAGTAAACGCTCTGGGGGGGGGGGGGGGTGGTAATACTTCAAGTTACAACAAAAGGTAATTCAGCGCAGCTTTTCTGTATCGGAATAGGATCGGTGTCGGCCGATACTAAACTGTAGATATCTGTATGGATCGGTGCAGCCCTGTTCAGAAGTTAAGTATGTTTTGATGTTTTGTTGATTTACTGCAAACTACAATATGATACAGTGCATTAGAACAGGATACATTACAATATCAATGGTATGTACCATACTTTATAAAGTGACAGGATACAATGCAACATGTTTTATTTATAACTCATAAAATGGTACAACATCAAAGAATTTGTGCGTATCGCTGTAATTGTGTGCATGGCGATAAGTAACATGAGTGATATGTAAAACATCCCGTCTCTGCTGGAAGTAATGCTTCGTACTTGCTGCACTGTTTGCAGAGGGAGAGATAGTAAACATCCACAGCTGCAGCTCAGGTGAGCTCGTGCTTCTGTGTTTTCTCTCTTCACGTGTGGACCTCCTGACCTACACGTTGAATAGACTCGAGCACCCTCATTATCTTATCTCCTCTGCGGTTACCATGTCGACGGCGACACTCAGCCCCTCTCTGTCAACACTCGACACAATCGATGTTGTGTTTGCAGACTGGATGGGAGAATGAGATTGGCTGCACTGAGGAGAAGAGGAGGAGGGTGATTATTTCTCCTTTATGACAGAGTCTGCGCTCTGTCTCTTTCTCTGAAATCTTGACAGGCTTTCAAGAATTATGGCACCGTTTTGTCTCTGAGTATGACAGAAGAAAAATGAACTCACATAAATTCGCCATTCAATGTGCCGTTCAAAAATACAGGTGCCTTATGTATTACGTTTACGCTTCCACCCTCATCTCTAAAAGCTTTTACATTAAGAAATCTTTTATTTTTGTTTCCCTTTCTCAGCAAGAGCATCCTCATCCCGCCCTCGATGAAGTCTCGTCTCAGCCGGTCAGCTCCTCCCCTCGACCTCCCATCTCCAAATGTGGAGACCTGGTCCTCTCCCTGGAGTACCGTCCCGACACAGAGAAGCTGCTGGTCACTGTGACCGCCGCCCGGGATATCCCCGACAAGGCCCGCAGCGGGATGGACTCCTGGCAGGTGCACATGGTCCTGCTCCCCTCCAAAAAACAACGGCACAAGACGTCCATACAGAGAGGTTCGCAGCCGCACTTCAACGAAACGTATCGCTTCTCGCGCGTGGATCCGGCCGACCTGCACATGTTGGCCATCAGGTTCAGGCTGTACGCGCTCGGGGGCAGGATGTCCCGGGAGAGGATGATGGGGGAGAAGGTGCTGCGTTTAGGAGGGCTCGACCCAGATGGGGGAACGATGGAGACGACGCTGGTTCTGGAGCCCCGCAGTAACCTTAAGGTGTCACTTTTACGTTTTAATTTCACGTCACATGGTCTGTTTGTTTACTCCTGCTCACACTCTTTGTTTCTTTCATTTTGCAGAGCGTGGACTCTCAGCTCAGCCTGTCCGCTGTGTCTCAGAGCGACAGCGCTTCGTCCACCCAATCCCTGACCCATGGCGGCGTCCCCGAGCTGCTGGTGGGTCTCTCTTACAATGCCACCACGGGGCGGATGTCTGTGGAGCTCATCAAGGGCAGCCACTTCAGAAACCTGGCAATCAACAGGCCACCAGGTGTGCAATAAACCCCTTAGAAACACAGAGACAAACACTCATCCAAATGTCATTTATATCACAGTTCAACTGAGGATACATCTCCTCTCTCGGTTTCATAATCTGAGCACGTCTGCCCACAAATGATTTCTCATAACTGCATTTTTAATCGTTTTTGTATAAAATTTTTCTCTTCTCTTCTTCTTCTCTTCTTATCTCCGGTGTAGACACCTATGGGCGTTTGACTCTGTTGAACTCGGTCGGCCAGGAGATCTCTCGCTGTAAGACGTCAGTGCGCCGCGGTCAACCCAACCCCGTCTACAAGGAGACCTTCGTCTTCCAGGTGGCGCTGTTCCAGTTGTCGGATGTCACGCTGCTGGTCTCTATCTACAACCGGCGCAGCATGAAGCGCAAAGAGATGGTGGGCTGGATCGCTCTGGGTATGAACAGCAGCGGGGAAGAGGAGCAGCTCCACTGGCAGGACATGAAGGATAGTCGAGGACAGCAGGTCTGCCGCTGGCACATCCTGTTGGAGGCGTAACGCATGCAAGGTTTAGTTTTTTCTTCCTTTTTTTTTGGTTTTGGGTGAATGGAATTTTATTCTGAAAGTAAAGGAGAATGAGAAACCTTGACTTGATCTTTGCACAGGGTGATATGCGTGGTTTCAAAGCCGATGGATTCAAGGACTGAAGCTTTTTTCTCAGCTGTTGTCCCAGCAGTCTAAAGCTACACCAACACCAAACCTTGCTGATTGTGTTGTAAGAACATGAGGACGAAACTCATCTGCTTTTGGAGGCCGTAACTTCGAGTGAAATCTTTTTGTCGAAGTATATGGCGGTAAATTAATGAAAAGGAGAAAGAGAGACTTCAGCAAAGTTACATGAAAAGAGGACATTGAATTTGGATTCACTCTCATGTGGCTCATTCTTTCATTTCAAGTTCACTCTTATGTTTGATAAAAATGAAGGATTTTATTGGCATGTGAAACCTTTAAATTTTCGAAGGTTTCACGCAGAAAAAGTCACTTCTCCTCTTCAGTGAAAAGCTTCGAATGTCCTTCGGCCTCCACGAGGAGCTGACACTTTGTTCTCTCTTGTTAACTTTTATCAGTGAAGCAGCTTCATGTGAGAAGATACAGCTGTGGTTTGGTTTCTTCATGAAATGCTGTGGTGAAAAATACACAGATTAGAGGTGTGTTTGTGATCTGTTATATCTAAATCTTACTGTTGTTTTTACTTTGGTCAAATCAGTAGAGCTGCAAACAAAAAACACTGAAAGACGTCATTAAATATAAAGTTTTTATTTCCTCAGATTCTCACAAAACTAACACTTTCACTCGACTTAAAGCTTCTCTGTGGATCATCTGCATTGCGTCTTTTTGGCGCCCCCTGTCGACAAAATATATATGCGCCACTTTTTGGCTGATATTGTCCTGAACTTGTTTAAAGCTCCTGTGAGGAACTCTAAGTTTGGGTCAACTTTGGCGCCCCCTGTGGACAGAGCAGTCTTTGTTTATTTTGACCTAAAACATCAGAATGAGGAATGAATATGTATGTGGAAAACGTATAGACTGTATTTACTATGAACAACTTGGTTCCGCCTTCCGTCAGTATATGGATTTTAAGCGGAAAAGCTCTTGGTAATTCTGCGTTTTTCTCCACTTCCTGAAACCAACATTGAGCAGTAGCGTTGTACGCATTTGGAGGGAGAGTTGCCAAGAGTCATTGTGATGATGCTGTAACTATATGACAACATCACAACCAGGTCGGAGAAAAATTTACATTCTGTGTAATAAATTTCTAAAGTTTAAACTCCATTAAGGATGCCTGGAGGCAGGATTCACGACCTGTACTGCAGCCCATCACCAGAGGGTGCTGTCCTCGCGGCAACTTCACCAAGCAAGGAGGCAGATAGTGTCCATTAGGGCCCGACCGATTTATCAGTGAGCCGATTAAATTGTCCAATTTTAGCCTGTTTGAGACTAATCAGTATTCGGCCAAAACTCCCAGATTGTCGCCAATATTTTCAGAAATAAAATGTGGAGAATAAGATTCGGTTTCACTTTGAAAATGTTCCACGATTTGAAAAGATCCCCCGACTTATCCAGTAGATGGCGCAGATGGGGGGCTAAGATGATAAGTCGGCATGAAGAGCAGTAGCCTACAGTTTATCGAGTGTTCCTCATTTTTTACGAAGTACGTGAGTTAGCTTTGTTTTTATTTATTCATGTAGGCTATTTATTTTAGAGGATGACGAGTGTGTGAGTTTGACAAGACAGAAGTCGACAAAATAATCAGACTCACACCCGCTACAGTCTGAATAATAAGCTGAAAAGAATTAGTTTGTCTTCTTTATTACAGTTAAAATAAATAATTTGAAATGAGTTTATATCCTTTAATTCTTTGAAGAAGTGGTTGAAAGGCTCAAAAGCAGCCATTTGTTAAAAAAATAAGTAAATATGTAGATATATTACTTACATTACCAAAATTTTACAACTTAAAACTTCAAACTATAAAAGATTTGAAAAATTGGCTGATTAATCGTTAATCGGCCCCCAAAAAATCCATATCTGTTCCATACACAGTCTATGGAAAAACATAAAAACAGGGCTGTTTTTTTAAATGCTAGTCTGACATCTACGGTCCCGCACGAGTTTCAGGTATTAGCGTTACAACATGGAAATCCTTAACCTTCTCCTATGGGGACCCCACCCTGTTTGTTTGTGGTTCAGGTGAGGCGCCCCCTTCCCTGAGGAGGCTCGATCCAGCACTGGAAATCTCCTCTTGTGTTGTAGACGTGTAAAACGCTAAGTCCAGAAAATGTCAGGACCTGAATGTCTGAAAGTAGCCTTGAAATTTGTCTGGATTTGCATGAGGTAATGGATAGAGACACGATGAAGTCATCGTCAGTGTTGGCGCTGAGGAACCATGTGACCGTAAAACACTGAGCGCAGAAACAAACACGAGAGTAGAAGTGAAGATATCTTATGATTCAAGTGGAGTAGGAAGGTGCCTCATTCATATTCAACACTCATTCATATTCTCCTGACACATGTGCTACTACAGGCAGGAAAACCGGCAGCTGGAGACTCTTAACCCCGTTGGGATGAGAGCTCCCACCCCCTCCCTTCAGCCTCTTTGACACTGAATGATGTTATTTGGCCCCGGCTCCATCTTCTTCACAGGGCAAAGCTCATTTCAGCACCCATCAACGCTGAGCTGAAAAGAGGCTTTAAATATCTCGCTGCAGCTGTTAATAACATGCAATGAATTACCCTGGAAGTGTGTGTTTTTTTTTCCTCCGCGCTCTCTCTGTGGTTAATTGGTAGTTACAGCTGCAGATACAGTGTGATGACTGTAATGCCGCTGCTAATGCTCATCCTCTTCCACGGAGCATCATTGAGCCACAAGGCTGCAGTTCAGCCTGGAGGGGGGATTATATTTGTTTGTGTCGACAGATACTGTAGCTCCAAACCCCTCGGGGGTTCACACACAAGAGCAGAGATGTGTTTATTTGAGTGTTTGTTTGTCTTTGGATGGTTTTCTGCATGCAGGTGATGACTAAACCTCTTCAGAAATGTTGAATAGCAGCACGGTTCGAGGACTGTAATCATAGGAAATGTAGAGAAAATGACTCAGAAATGTAAGGTTTAGGAGTACAATGAGATGTAATTACTTTTGGAGAGTCAAGCATAACAAATGAGCTGAGGGCTCATGCTCAAATCCAAATCCCTTATTTGAATTAAAGGGTCAGTTCACCCAAATAACAGAAAGAAAGTGTGTATACACATCCCTAGAGGCGATGAGGAGTCCAGATGTTGTTTTTCTCTACCTTTACCTCTTGAGTAGCTGAGCAGTTTTGATCCTTGAGATGCTCAAACATTATAGATTTAGTGCTAATTTGCACAGATGTTGTGGACTGTTTTAAATGAGATACAAATCTAACTCTAAGGGGTTTAGTGAGGTTTATTTTTGCAGCCTCGGTTTGGGAAAGATGATTGTTAATTGTTGGTAGGATACAGCCTGGTAACCGCAGTCCCCAGTGTCAAATTTAGGTTTACTCCCTCCCTGGTGTCCACCCTAATAGGCACCGGTATTGTTAGTGTGGTAAAATAACAATACCATCCTGTCTGTGTTTTGACAACAGTCATTTTTTTAGATGGTGAACACCCTGGTGGTGCTGTAGTTTCAATTGTTTTAAAGCTCATTGTTAGGAGTTTTTATCAGGTTAACAAGAGACTTAAATGAATGCTGGCGCCTCTATATGAGCTACGAAAGCAAACCAGAACATCTGTATCTATAAAGACTGAATATTTGCTCATTTACCAAGACATTAAAAAACAAACTTATGCCAAGGACAAAATAAGCAGAGATAAAATGTATTCGTTTGTTCACACAAGGCGGCAAAATCAACACAAATCAAACGTTTCTTGCAGGAGCTTAAAGTGAAAAATCTTCAAAACAGTCCATATGTCTATTTTTCCTGGATTTTATTTTAGATATTGTGAGCTAGCTGTTCATAAACCTCATTTTGAGTAATTTTCCTAAAATTTATTCTGACATATTTTATAGCTTTTGAAACTTAAAGCTACTGTCAGGAGTTTTCGATAGCATATAGCTAGACTGAAATAAGCAGTAATGCACCTCTAGGATGTACAAAAGCAAAAGCAACTATAATTTCTTTACTGTAATTTTTAATGCTTGAAACTTCTATAAGAATAAGAATTTGGGCCCGATGCCAATACCGATTATTAGGGTGAGGTAGCTAGTGGGTGAAGATTGTCATGAGGTCGCTGCACCATCTACAGGATAAGTCGGGGAACTTTTTAAATGGCGGAACATTTTCAAAGTGAAACCAAATCTTATTCTCTGCATTTAATTCTGAAAATATCGGCGAAAATTGGCTAGTTTTGGCCGATTACCGATTAGTCTAGAACGGGCTAAAATTGGCTTGCTATTAAATTGGTCGGGCCCTAAGGGAAATTCAAGGTGTGCTAAATAAACAGCCTCTGTTACTTTTCCGGTTACTTTTCATTGTGAGGGATAAATTTCTCTTAAAAAAGACATTAGAAGATTTTTCTGTCACTTGTTGAAGGATGAGATGAAAGTTACCAGTTTGTCCACAGGGGGCGCCAAAGTCAACACAAGCTGAAATTTTCCCCACAGGGGCTTTAAAGAGCTCATGGACTTAATGAACAATAGCTTACCGTCACACATCCTACACTTCAACACCAACCCGTCACATCCTCCACATTGTGAAAAAGACTTTTTCTTCGCTTCGCTTCAAACTAAGTTAAACAAGCTGAAGGTCGCACACGGATGATCATGTTTGAGTGCTTGTGGAGATCACGAAGATGATTCACCGCGTCAAAACGCTTTCCTCTGTTACACTGAGAGCACAGTGGTCCATTATGTCGGGAACTGATTCAGGGAAGCTTTCAGCAGAAGACAAGGTCTTCGATTCAAAGATAAATACTGTAGTATATTGAAGGGCACAATAGAATGGATCAGATCTATTTATTTTAAAGAGGAAGTGCGCTGTAAATGCTGAATGTTTCATGTTTTAACTGCGGATGCGTAAAGATAACTACTTCAGGTATAAATGGAGCATGCGGTGACGAATAGGAGTGCTGCGACTGGCTTGATGTTTTGTAAACTTTAATTCAATTTCCTCTAAAAGTTCAGTTATCGTTCTTGATCATTTATTGTTGATACTATTATTTTTGAATATAAAAATACTTAAAAAACAAAACAAGAAAATGAGTTGAGCCTGTGTACGCAGAGTAAATTTAGCCAAATAAACCAGATAATTCTTGATTAGCTTTTGTTCTGTTCACTTTTTTTCTTGTTTTATTATCAGTTTTTTTAATCGATATTATGGCGTGAATGGATGCTCTTGCCAAAACCTACTAGTTGACTGGGAAAGGGGGCTCACAGGTAGGCTATCTAACTGGAGCTTCTAGAAAACTGTTCCTGTGGCTGTTTGGTGCAATTCTACGTTTATTTTGTCCATTTAAGCACCAGGAACATTAAAGGTGTTTATTAAAGTAGGACAGAGTGGAACATTATCTGAATGTAAGTGTAAATTATGTAAATGAATCGTAGAGAAACCTGAAAAAAAAATCATTTTACGAACATTTTCTCACACAAGAACCCGAGCTAAAACACTTCCTGACTTTCACAGTCCTCAAGCTTCTTTTTTAAATCAATAATTCATCTTTAGTAAATGCTCGCCTACCCGATCCACGACTATTAAAGTTTACTCCTGATTGGCAGATGAGTCCAAAGACCTGCTATCAGCACTCCTATTCTGCAGGCTTCATTCATGTGAGTGAGAATAGTGACATGAACTATATTAACTGCACAAACTGATATATTTTATGCATGTTTGAGTTGTTGTACAGAATCTATATTATCTATTCTATATTTTTAAAGATAGTTCCTGTGTTCTTAAGTATATCCCAGGATTTTTATTATAGATATTAAGACCACACGTCTGCATGCTCGGTTGGAGATCCCTGGTTGTATTACAGATGTGAGACAATCAGATTGTGCTGCAGATGTAATACAGTTGTACATACTCTGATGAAGTGCCTGTAACATTTTGAGATGAGACATATCCACCACGACAAAGAGACGATCCAAATTTGCATGAAGCCTTCTTGTTGTTCCCTGTGAATGCTGCTGTAGGACTGCATGCATGGACGGCGACTACAGGGCAGGCCTCTCGATGTGAAGGCCAGGATCAGGGCTGAGTACAGGAACTAAAAAAATCGATTTTAGATGGAGCTTTGTGGTGTAAGTACTTCATGAAATTGACACCCATCTGCCAAATTCTTGTATGACAATGCTTTGTTTACAGTAAATCCAGTAATGTGTTGTTTACTACTGGGACGTGAAGAAAACAGAGCGGTCTGAGACACCGTCAATATCAGACTGGAGTTATTTCACAGCTCGCAGACTCTGCATTACTTCAGCCCTGGTCCAGGCCGTGCATGCTGAGCCCCAACGCCACCCAGAAAGCACTTTTTGTACCAAGTTTTGTCGTTGCCAATAAAACCCTGAAGATCCCTGCTGTGGGAACGTCTGCCTGCCATCTGTTTTTCTTGAGTTTCTCTCCCCATCCTGCGCTCTGCTCGGATGTCTTAATTCTGAGAATGAGGCCATATTTAACAACAAAAACAAAAACAGTTTATCCCTCTGTGATTAGTGGTGGAGATCTCCAGTTTCAGGCAGAGAATCACACAAAGTGGATCAAAGATCGAGGGAGGTATTTTGTGGTTTTTAGAGTATTTTAGATCTTTTTTAACAGATGCTTTGGCTTTTATTTTGAAATTATCCTACACACATTAACCTATAGGTAGATAGGGTTGAATCACGCTATCATTTACACACTTTAAAGATGGGGTTGGCAGGATCTGAGGATCCCCTCCCTCTCTGCTCCAGCAAGCCCCGCCCACAAACAGACAACAGGACCTGAGGTAAACAGTTTGTTAGCGCTACGACACGCAGCAAGTCCCGTTTCACAAGAAACACTTCTGTTACAGATACTTGGCTTACTTTGTTAAAGCGGTTTACCTGTCCAGTTACAGGGTTAGTAAGATCCCCAAGCGTCCCCCACCGTTTTATGTTGACCCGGCTTTTTAGCTCTTGTCCGGTCTACCTCCTTTTTAAGCGCCCGCTTGTTTGTACGGAGACCTCTGGGTGAGCCCATCGACTGCAGAGGGGGGGCACAGCTCAAGGAAGAACATTTATGATCATTACTTTATCATTTTCTTGTTCATCCTTGAGCTGCGTCCCCCCCGCTGCAGTCGGTAATGGACTGGCCTGAGGTCTCCCTACAAACAAGCGGCTGCTGGAAGAGAGTAGGTGAGTTGTGTTTGGTCTCTCTGCTAAAGAAATCAGGCAAAGTTAAAAACATGTTTAATGGCTAGTCCTATGGTTGGGACCCTATATGTACTGTTGATGAATCGAATTATTTGTGGCTATAGAGTGGCGTTTTATCTGCGGTTTTTACTAAAATTGGTATAACTAGAGAAGCAAGCGGTCGGCAACATTCATCTCTCAACGGGGTGTTACTTGGTGTTAACTTAATTTTACGCCGGAATATCCCTTTAATAATTGTCATTTTTTTATCACTGTAGTCAGTGTCCATTTTTTTCCAATTCTATAAATACATCATAAAACCATAACATATATTTTTATAGTCACTGACAGTCATTGGAGAAGTAATCAAGCATTGATAGCTACTAAATTACATGTAAAAACTCCCATTTCTTTTTAAATTTTATCAATGAAAGATCCTGTGTTGATATATTTCGACTTATTATGTCTATTCAAACTTTTCTAAAATGTCATTTAAGAGAAGAAACATGGTTGAGGAGGATATTCGACAGTCTGTGGCTGTTTTAGAGGTAACACGATCAGACGGCAAGCAAGGATGAATGCAGGTAGACGGAGGATTGATGCTGCAGCGTCATCGCCGTACTTTACTCAGTCTCCTAGCAACAGGAAACATCAGCCTCCGCGAGGACCAATGAGGGCGCGCGCGGAGCGGAGCGGTGTTGTGTCTTGTTGCCGTGAACGAGATATTTTAGGAGGGCTGGAGAGAGCAGAGAGAGTCTCACCCCGACCAGAGGAGCTCACGGGCTGTCTGCAACCCACCACCGAGGGAAGCTCTGACTCTCACACCGAGCGGGAGCGTCGCTGAGTCGGTGTGAGGACAGTAGATGTCGCGGTCAGGAGTGGAGGGTATCCACGGAGAAGGAGACTTAAGAAGCTGGGATTTACTGACCCCGCTGGTGCTGCTGGACAACATTATTTAAAGGTAAGACGCTTTAAGAGGCGTTTAAGAGATTTGTTGGTGGTAGTTTGCATTTAAAGTGAAGCTTATCGTTTTTAGCTTAGCATTAGTAAGCTTATATTTTATAAACATGGAGGGAAAGGTGAGGGGTTGCATTAAAATAGTGTTTACAGAATATTAAAAACAAAAAACTACCCATAAAATGACTTAAAATGAAGCCCACTGGGAAAATAAACTCCTTAAAAATGTAAAACACAAAATTAGGACAAAAAAATATGATTTTAAATATATGCTGTAGTATTTTTGGATACCAGATCAAACAAAATCCCTTCTATGATATGCATTCATTTGCAAAAAAACTGCTAAAATTAAGGTTGTGTTATTTTCGGTAACGATTTGCAAACTTAAACTCTCTTGAATCAGGTTCAAAACACTTAAATTAGTCATAAAAATACATTTATTTCACAGTAAAACCTTAAATTCAGTTTAAATCTGAGGGATTATTCAGTCATGACCTCCTCTACAAACACACTTTTGCCTTCAGTGGCAATCCTCCCTGCAGGACAACATTTATAGCGAGTGTTACATTCAAACACACACACACACACTCTTCTTCCCACGCAGCCTCCCTCTCTTCATGAATCCATCATCATCGTGCATCATTCTCCCTCAGATGAAATATTCAGGCTGCAGTTCAATGTTAAAAACGGTGTGAGTCACTGCAGCAGCTTCAGGGGGGAGCCGACGTGAGTGTTGTGCAATGATAAACCTTCCCACTCTGTGTTTATGATGGAGTGATTGATTTGTGGCGTTTTTGTGCGTATGCGCCCTCTCGATATAACACACACGCGCGCACTCACCTCACACACAAACCACGCTCTGTTTTTTTTCCTCCTCCTTCTTCTTCCTTCTCGAATTCAAACAAGATTGGTGCCCTTTAACGCAACAGCAGAGGGTCACATAAGGATATAATACAGCCGTGCATGATTGTGACTGCTCTCAGGGTGTAATTGCATCAAATAAAGTGCACATGTGTAAGTAAAATGACTTATTTTATGAGAAGAGTAAAAAACACTGCTTTGTTTGCTATTTTAAGATGCATTTCATCACTGCTAGGATGCTTTTTTTTAATGTGCTTTATTATTCTTGACTTCTCTATTTTTTGCGTTTGTGATCATTAATTCCCAGCTTGCAGATGCACATACAGAGTTCATATCCTGCTGATTGCTTAATTACATGGTGCGCCGTTTACAAAGAGAACAGGTCTGATGAAGGCGTCACACCAGGACATGTCAGCCCAGTGAGAAAGCAACTAAAACCCTCTCTGAATTTCTCCTTATTATTCAGCGATGTAATTATAAAGCACTAGATATGCACTGATTAAAAGTAGGAGGAAATTCAACCCAGAGAGGATCAAATTGAAACATCAAACCATCGCTTGGCAGCTCCAACAGTCACATCTTCTTTAAACAATCTGTTTGGTTTCTGCATTCATGCTCGCTTGTTTTGGTCCTCCTCCTCCTCTGCCTCCTCCTCCTCCTCCTCCTCACTCGTCTCTCTCTGTTTTCCCTGCAGGAGCCTGAGGGCGATGTGGAGGCTCAGATCAGCTCAGACACACTGATTCAAACTGCGGTCAGAGAGCTGTGCGCCGGCTGTGGAGCATCAGCAGCAGGTAGTCAGAGCTACTATCCGTTACAGCGGTGACCTCACACAGGGTTTCCGCTCGTTTTATCTTAATTCAGTGTACGCTAGAGGATCAGTATGCTGAAAACAGATTATGGAAATATGTTGGAACCACATATGAGCAACAAGCTGCTGTAACATGTTGACGTATTATCACTTCAAAGTCTGTTATGGTGCGCATGTTGCTCACAGTTTATTTAAATATCCCAAAGACACAGAAATCCAGTCTTTAGAGATCTTTTTACAGCTGCCACATGCTCCACCTTTATTACCAGTTTATCCCCAAATGGATAGTGTAAAGTGGGCTCACTATAGCTTGTTTAGCTGTATGAATGAAAGCAAGTATTGTACATGGTTTAGGTGCATTGTTAGGAGACACTTATCCTACTTACACTGTGAGATAATGCAGACTAAAATTATAAATGTGTCTAATTTTATTTTATAAAACTTGGTTTGGTTTTACGGTGTCAGACCTTGAAAAAACTACAGTGTTTAGAGTCGTGTCTTTGTCATTTGTAGTTTTATTTAAAGGAGAAAAAGACACAAAATGGAGGTTTTATTTTTAGCCCATATTGTTTAGCCCTAACAGTAAATATGTCCTGTCTGAAAAGTCATATAATCTGAAAAATGACTCAAAAGATGACAAAAGTTCAGCTGAGGTGATCTGTAATGAGGATATCACTATAAATGACACCTGTAACATAATGCAGTCATTGATTATTCAGGTTTAGTATGAATTACAGACGCTTTTAAAGTAACTGAAAACAAACAAATAGGAATATTGATTAATAGGTAGGTCTTTAATGGTGACTTTGATGATCCTGGCCGATTAGAAAACACCTGACATCTACCACATATTTGCAAGAATTCAAAATTAAGCTTATAACAATTTGGTCCAGAGCTTTTACAAATTAAAACGATCAATATGTTCGACTTTGTTTCTATCTTAATGTCCTTTTTTTTTGTTGTCTTTTTTCAGCCCCTTCCCTGTGAGGGAGACCAAACCATTCAACAACGTCGAAAGTTGCTTACTTCAAGAGGAAATATGCGGAGGAGGAGGATTTACACGGAAGCCTACATGGATATTTTCAAAAAGTATGAACCTCTTCTCTCCGTCTACTCATTCACCAGATATAAATTGTGTTTTTTTCCCATCCGCCTCCTCTTTTTTGTCATTCCTGGCCCTCCCCAGCTCCTTCATCAGTGCTTGTTTTCCATTATATTCCTTTCACTCTTTACATGTTGTCCTCTGAGTCCTTCAGCTTCTCCCACAACACACAAAAGAGTTTCTAATAATAAGCATTGCTTTGTCTGCTTCTCTGCAGATGATAGAATGACAGACTAAAAATCACTGCTCATATCAATCAAAATAGACAAGTTTTTATGCAGTTATCCAACAGCAGATAAATAAGAATAAGAGAAGGTTTTGCACGCGTCACAGCTTGCTCCTTTGTTAGAAAGTCAAAAAAGTGTATTAAATTCCCAAGCTTTGGCACGATTGGTTCACGGTACCTTGGGCTGCGAGTTTAGCTGACTTGGTAGAGATGGCGCCCCATGTACAGAGACTCTCACACAAGTTTCAGGCATTTAAGATTAGGATATCAAATAACACAGAGCTTTTAAGTATCATAACAGGCATCTGTGTAAATTTCAGTCTCAAGAGGATTTGAAACTAATCCCATCTCCTTGTTTTTGTCGTCTGTAGCACCTGATACTGCAGGAGGACCGGGGCTGCATCCTGAAGCTGTCCCTGGAGAAGCTGAGGTTCCTCGAAGACCCCGAGGCCTACCTACGTCGCTCCGTCCTCATCAACAACCTGCTGAGGAAAATCCACCATGAGGAGGAGGAAATCGAGGCCGAAGAAGAGGAGGAGGAAGAAGAAGACGACGTAGAAATGGAAGAAGAAGAGGATGAGGAGGATGTCGTGGGAGAGAGGGGGCAGCAGAGGCTGATGTACCCGGACCGGAAGAGGTTGAAGGTGCTGGTGATGGACTGCTGCTCTCCGGCGTTCAGCCTGGAGGAGCTGCAGCATTACCGACTGGTGCCGTGTTACCCGTCAGCTGGGTGCCTGTACAGCCTGGGTACCTGCCCAGGCCTCACCCCAAACCACCAGGTCCTTCTGTACAACCTGGACGACAACGGATGACTGTCCCGACCTTTACTGTCATGCCTCTTTTCACAGCTGCGGGAGTGAACACCAGCACTTGTCACAGGCATGCAGACTTGTCATACGTTCCTCTTAAATCTTTGAGGTGCAAGCGAAACCACCTCTTTTCACTTTGCTGAGACACAGTGGTGGATCTAGACTCTTAAAAAACCCTGATTCCTCTTCTCATCCAGGATCAGCAGGGTCTCTAAAGTTGATGTCAAGTACAAACTGTTGCAGCCTCACTGCCGTTTCTTAAACAGTTAGAGACCTGAAACAGGCAGGAATCTTTTTTTTTTTTGCTGTTGATGTTGTGTTATTGATTTCCTTCTTTTTGTTGCTCATGTGAACCGTGAGCGTATTCAGGGATTTACAGACTGCAGGCTACTTTTGATGCACCTTGGCTTGCGTGGAGAATTGACGCCGATAAGCTTCTGTTATCTTTTTATGCTAATGTGCGATTTATGAATTATTCTGTGTAATATTCCCTGGACTGTGTGAACTGTCGAGCTATCTCAAAACCTTACATCCTCTGAGGGTTATTAACTGCCTGTTTGAAGACTGTTTCTCTCTGTGTTATTTGATGTCCTGTTCTCATTTAACATGCTGGTTGTTTTCATTTTGCATAACTCTGCTGCCCTCTGCTGGTGGAAGAATTCCTCTTGTGATGAAATCTAATAGAAAATGGTTAATGTCACTTATTTAAGGTTTAGGCTGCATAGGAAAAATTTGCAACAGGTGATTTAGGAGTTGATTGTTATATTCTTCAACAGCTATTCACAGAATAAGGCTGTTAATTTCAGACATTATTAGCAAACACATAAAAATATCATTAAATTGTCATACACTTACACTATAATGTGTTTTAAACAATTGATTTATTGTTTGTTTACATCTGTAATGCCACAAAGTCGTGGTTAAAATGTAGGTTTACTGAAAAGGGGATTAACCTTTCTTTCTTTCACCCCTTGGAAAAAAAGTATTTATTACTAAGACTGATCTTGTTCATGACAAGCCGATTAATGAGTCATCTGTTTTTCTGTGTCTCAAACTGTGTGTAACTGTTCGGTCTGTGTCCAGGAGATTTAGCGGGTTCGGAAATTTGCAACTTGATAACAATCACTACAATGTTCAAACAACAACAACAAGATACTGCAGGCAACTGTTAAAGAGACGCTTGATATTTTAAAATAAGAATTTATATTTTGATGAAAATGTGTAATCCATATTTAAGAAAAACTATTTTGAAAAAGGGCCATTAAACTTTTTTCAGGTGATTGATTATCAATAAAGTATATAGGCTGATCATGTGTTGTGTGTTTTGATGCTCTCTCTCTCTCTCTCTCTCTCTCTCTCTCTCTCTCTCTCTCTCTCTCTCTCCATAGATTGTAAGTCGTGCCTAAAAAATTGGTTACAATGAAAGCGCGTTCACGTTACGTCGTAATGTTTTCAGTCAGTCTATTGTACGTGCGCGCCGGAACCAGTGTTGCATTCAAGTGCTTCTGCTCAACTTATATTTTAGAGGCTTTCACTAAACGTATTCAAAGCTTACAGTTAAAAAGAAAGAGATTAATTTCCACAGTCCACTCTGTTTTTTGTTATACAACATTTCTTGTGTAGACATCTTAAAGCTCGTTAATAAAATGGACTAAAATTCAAAGTGATCATTCTTCTACAATATCTAAAAACAAGCAAGACTACTTGAAGCAAGACTGATGAATTTCATACCATAATTTTTATTTATTAAAACCAGTTTAAGAGGTTGGTCTGATCTCAGCGGATGAGGAGAAAGCCCTGATTTTACAATTTCACCATAAAATATTATCAACTAACAGAGCCAACCCAAGCCTCAATGGGGCCCTAAGCAAAATTTGACTTGGGGGGCCCTTTATTTTATTTTATTTTTACAATTATATACATTTGATCATACAGAAAGCATCACTCATCCATGCGGAAAATAAAAAATATTTGAACATTTTTTGTTTGATTGCTTGGGGGCCCCAGATTGGCCATGGGGCCCTATGCAGGTGCTTAGTTCCATAGACATAAAATACGTAGACGCCTCAAAGCCTGACGCTGCCTATCGGAACTCATGTTTCAGCGCGGCCGCCATCTTGGATATGTCCCCCATGCGCCCCCAATGCATTAAGGTAGGTAGGAATGCCCAACCATATTAATAAAAACTCTACATGGCAAGGCGCAATGCATGACGGGATGCCCACCACTGGTGAGTTACCATCAGATGGTCACTACATTTTGCAATGCTTTATGGGAAATTTTGAGTCGCCTACATGGGGCATTGGAATTGATAACTCATGTTTCAGACACCCCTCAAAATGGCACTAACCCCCGTATAGTCGCCTATGTAGGGGCTAGGGATCCATTTCGGACACAGCCTGTGCTAATGCCTTGGGCTGTCAACTAATCATACTTCGACTGTAAAAAAGTCACCAGGTTGGGATTTATTTTGTCCAAAACCACTCAAGGATGTAGAAAACAAGATAAGCATAGGCAGCTTTGTCACCAAAACTGAATATGAAAAGTTTCTTACAGGAGCTTTAAAACTATTTTAAATTTGGTTCGCACAAAACAGCATTTTCACAATTCTACAGTCTTTATATCTACTTATTACAGTAACTTATACTCAATAACACCCTAATATTGATGAAAACTTGTGAATTGTTTCTTTGTTTTTGAGAGAAAGTCACCGAAGAATGAAGAAGTGCTATTTTCCCAGCTGTACTTGAACGCCTCATAGAAGGCGCGCTCCCCGGACTGCTCAGTGGATCTGTCAGTTGCAGAAGAACAGCACTCAGGTAGCGGGACACTGAACGCATCTGGACACGGTCGAACAAGACCCCGACCCGCTCGGTTTGTCCGGTATCTTTTGACTGGAAACTGCACTGTAACCTTTGTGGAATAACACCACTTGTCGTTGTAAACTTGTTTGAGATTATAAAGCGGTTGGGGGTTCACTTCTTAGTCGCACTCTGCCATGATGCCTGGAATGGCTAGCTATCGTTAGCCGGTAGAGCTAACGTTCATCATCCACCGTTGGGGGAAAGTAGCGGAGTCTGTGCCCGTTGTTTCTGTCGTGTGTGGGAGAGAGCAAACCGGGTTAAACATGGAGAAAAGTAACCGTTTCGTCGAGCTGTTCCACCATCTCCAAGACCCCCACCTCGTCGCCCGCTTTCAGGACATTTGCGGGGTTCGCGGGACTTTTTCTAGAACCGTCGGCAGCAGCAAGGAAGCGGACCGGACTCACTCGCTCAATAACGGGGCTTGCCACCATCACATCACCGGGGAAGAAGAGAGCGGAGACAAGGCTAATGTTGGAGCAGGAGAAGGGGAGCAAGTGCAGACGGGTGTTCGGAAGAGGGATACCGGTTCAACCCGCGTGGAGGAAAGTGAAAGTGCCACCCAGAATGGGGCTGCTGTGTCTGCGGGCACACCGGGGGGAGAGGCGGCTGCTGCGGGGGGTAACGGTCGCAGCGTCGCGGGGACCGGGCCGGACAAAGACTCGGGTTCTCCTGTGAGCAGCACTTTGAAACCCCTCCGCAAAAACTCTCTCACTGGCGATGCCGGGCAAGAGTTCCTGATAGAGAACCGGTTCTTGTACTACATGTTCACTTTCGGGACCGAGCTGGGCAACGAGTTCTTCTACATCACCTTCTTCCCTTTCGTGATGTGGAACGTGGACGCCTTTGTGAGCAGGAGGCTGATCATGGTGTGGGTGTGGGTCATGTACCTGGGTCAGTGCACTAAGGATGTGATCGGGTGGTCTCGGCCCGCTTCACCTCCTGTGGTCAAAGTAGAGATGTTCTATAACTCGGAGTACAGCATGCCGTCCACACATGCCATGTCGGGCACTGCTATCCCCTTCTCCCTCTTCTTCTTGACCTACGGCAGATGGGAGGTAATGTCAATCTATTGTTGATGTTGTTAAAGTGTTGAAAAATAACTAAATCTGAATTTCAGGAGAGAAGGAGTAGTTGGCAGAAGTTGCTTCTCCTTGATTTGAATAAGGGAAGCTGAGAAAGTTCCTCTTGTGTTGTTACATGACACTATGTTCCTGTATTTGCCCATTTGGAAACAGCAGAAAATGGTGAGAATCATTCCCTAGGAGTCGGGACTGTCCAACATGACACTGATATTCCTACTAAAAGTCATTTTAAAGCGCTTCATCTTTAAAGGGATATTCCGGCATAAAATTACTGTAGGGTTAAACACACTGCAACACCGAGTTAGACACCCCCTCGAGAGATGAATATTGACGTCCGCTTGCTTCTCTAGTTATACCAACTTTAGTAACAACCGCAGACAGCAAGACAGAGGACCACGTGCTCAACCAAAACACCACTCTATAGCCACAAATAATGCTCAGAACAGCACCTAACTTCCTCAACAGTACATATAGGGTACTACCCTATATTATCTCATATATATGACAAAGATGGACAGAGGAGTGAGGAGATGGAGGACTACCTATATATTATCTCAGGAAATTATCTCAGGAGTAAATTAGAAACGATGTCACCACAATGTTTTTGCACAAACCATGCACAGACTACACAGTTTACACGATACTCTTAACACTGTCTGCAGCACAAATTGCAGACTATGACGGCTAATTAAAGGGGCCGCTCAAGCCAATTAAACATGCTCAGTTCATTTCTGTTTCAAGCTTTTTAAGAAGTCTCTTGCGTGACGATGTGCAATAGAAATGTAAACAGGCAAATAGACCCTCGTCACAGTTCTTATCTATTTGGAAATACATCACCAGCCATAATTGTAAGTTCAACAGACCTCCCAGCGATGGTAGTTGCCATCTTGGTTGTTTTCAAGCAGGCCAATGTGTCATCATCTGAAAGAGCCTGAAGAGAACCATGATTGGTCGGACATGTCTGAGAGTGGAGGGACATTGTTTAGAATGGAAGCAGGTCCAGATCCTCCTGCTAGCACAAATGAAAGGGTCTGACAATGACGACACCCGGCTGGAAATGTGGCCTGTAGGAGCTAAGTCGACACTTAAAGCTACTGAGATGCTTGACCGCGAGTAACCTTGTTGACGCACCGCGCTACTGAGTTTTACCGTGAGTTGTGATGATCGCTGAAAGTCCGGACGCTGTTCCTCAGATTCAGCAAACAAAAAATGTATAGTTATGAACATAACCAAATCTATTTTGCATTATATATCCAACATTGAACAAACAAGGAAAGCGCCGGCAGTTAGCGCCACAACAGTCAAAAACCTTTTTCCCTTTTGGGTCAAACACCTGCCCACAACAGTGACATGGCTACCAGATAACAAGACAGCGACACCCAAGGCACATAAAGTGAACTGCAACTCATTATATGGTGTTACATTAACATATTTGTCTCTGTTTGCGTATTCATGCATTGAGTCCTTTAGTAAACTTGTTTAAGACGTGTTACTGTCCTCTTACACACAGCAGCATGTCCTCTACTGTCTTCCTTCTTTATGTCTGGTCTTTTCACAATATATATTTCTTCGGTTTCTAAAGGTGATCTCCATGGGAACAAGGCTTGTGCAGTTCGCAATGACAAGAAATTTGTTTCAAGCCTAACCATGACAAAAGATGCACTTGTTCACGCATTATCACACAGAGACTCCCCTTGTTACATTAAACACATACAGACATGAGAAGTGCCAACTCTTGATACAGGATCAGTCAGACTCTGGCCTCTGAAGTCAGTCCTCTGAAGCTGCATCATTAACAATTAATGTGCGGTTGGCCGAGTGGATACAGTGACAGCAGCCATGGCAGCTGTACAGCTGTATGAGCACATTTGTTTACTGCTCGGAGTCGAGTGTGATCAGGCTCACTGCGGTTACAACAATAGTAAAAGGCTGACACCTCACTAAGCTTTTTACACAGCAGGGAAGACAGTCATTAGCTTGATGATATTTTCTGCAGATAATGGCTTTGTTTATATCACTAACTCACTGATCATTGATCTCATATTCCACCTTCTGCTCTTCAGGAGTGTTAAACTTCATCAAAAGTCGCTGGAGTGTCTAAAATCATTAAACTAACACGCACGCAGGAATTTTGTTTTCACAAGCCGATCTCAGTTGTTCCTTTCTTCACCTCCTCCTATTCACTCTAGAGGAACAACCCTCCATTGTGTCCCAGTCTGTAAAAGCCAACAAGAAGGTCTGTGTAGTCCACTTCTATTGTCCTGCTCCTGTGCATCCACACAGATGAGATCAACAAACTGCAGGGAGTACATTTGATTCTCGTAGATCTGAGACTCGAGGAAAACTGGAGCAGCGAATCCTCAGCTGACTGAAAGTTTTATGCCTCGTCTTAGAAAGTAGGATCAGTACTTTCACCTTTTCTTTGCAGTTAAACAGAAAAAAAACCTTCACAATGTCAAGTTCAATATGGAAAGACTAACAATAGATGCTCTTCTCTTTTTTAGTATTCGTCAATATCTGAGCCGCTGGTGCTCCAATGGTCTGCTCTGATTAACAGTTGTTGATAGGCATACAAAGGTATTGCTCCGACAGCCACAATTCCCATAGTGCTTATTTATATTCCCATAGAAATTCAGTGATGTTACACCCATCGCTTTGATGTGAGTTGGGGTAACAAAAATATCCCAGACTTTTGAAGCAGAAAAGCGTGGGATCTCTGTTTTTTCGTGGCTCGAATCACAACAGGGCGAGAGCAGAGGTGGGACTGATTTACAGCACTCAACCCCCCCTGCCCGTCTGCTGCAGCAGATGATAAGAGAACCGACACCTGACCTTGGAGTGTGGGACTCCAAGATAACACAGACGTATTGTCTGCAGCTCTCTTATATCACATTCAGTCTGTACTTAGAAAACTGAGTTTGAAAAACACCACGAGTCACGGAAAATTTCAGAAACTGATCCTCAATTTTCCAGAGAATCAGTTTATGTCTGGGTGAACGCTGAGCAAACAGACTCCACATGCTGTCTTCAATTAGAAAGTGCTGACCTGTTTGTGCCTGTTTATCTCTGCTTTGCCTTCGCTGTTATCAGTTTAGTGGAGAGCATGTGAAAGTGCAAGCACCGTAATCTGACTGCAGCCAGTCACATTACATGAAGAGGAGATAGGATGTAGCGAGGAGGTGAATTCACGGATTTTAAAGCAGTGAGAGCCACGAAACTGAGTTGTTCTGTCTTTATCTCTGAGAGTAGACTAAGACTTTTGTGAGATGTTTCTACGGTCTGTAATTTCCAAAATGTATCTAGAAATAAAAAGGATATTTTGGTTTCTAACTATGAAGCAAAAAGTAATTTAGCTGATGCCAGGAGGCTGGGATTATTTCTGTTTGGATTATAGTACAACAACCCTTTACTTAAATAGATAGCAGGCAGCTTACAGTTAGCTGTTGTTGTATTTACCCTACTACAACTATATACGTCTGCAAATGACAGCCAGGCCTTCAGGGAGCTGCAAAGTTGCAATTAGAGAATTCATACAAATTTAATCTACACACCTTATCCATGATGTTGCAAGTTTTGCACGTCTAAGCAACTCTTTTACGAGTTTACCCCTCAAACCTCCCCTCTGGTTGCCATGTTGACATGTAGTTATTGTAAGACTGGTTTGTGCTGAAGTCCTCTTTTTTTCTGTACAGCTCCATTTTTAAAAGTTATTAGGGTGTTTGTGTTTTCTATGATTGACATTTGATACCGCCTATAGGCGGACGAAGATTGTGAGCTCACAGGGGGATAAGCTGTTTGAGCCGAGCGTCATCACAGCGACTCTCAGCGTTTCCCCTGCCAAGTGGAGCTACTGCACAAGTGGTGGAAAGCGTACAACGCTACTGCCCAATGTTGGTTGCAGGAAATGGAGGAAAAACGCAGAATTAACAAGAGCTTTTCGGCTTCAAATCCATACAGTCTATGGTTTCAACCAACAACTATTCTAATAGTCGGCTAGTCACCGACTAGTCGGATAATTATGAATTTTTTCTTAAATTTAACATGAGGTTGCTCTCTAAGCTAAAATGGTCTCGAACTTTGGAGGTTTTTAAGCGCGCACTCGTAGCTGTTGTATGGGACGCTGGCGCTGCAATGTTTACCCTACGGCTCGGCGGAGATGCTATTGCGCATGTGTGACTCTAGGCAGAGATCATAATGAAGTACGACGCCTCACTCCACAACAGTCGTCAATGGAATTCATTGTTGACTTTTTTCATTATCGATTGTTGTTGACAACGTTGACTGATCATTGCAGCCCTACCGTACTCACTCCTTTAATGCTCAAAATATTGATACTATCAACCTACCTACCTTGGCCTACAAACCAGAGAGGTAACTACATACAGATAGGGCTGGGCGATGTGTCCTCAATTCAATATCACGATATATTGAGCAGTTCACCTCGATAACGATAAATAGACGATAACTACTCTACAAGCTGCTCACCCCCTCCCACTTTAACTTCGTCTACTTCAGCCGCCGCTCCAGCCGCTACAACTTTAGAACCATCCTTCATCTCCTCACCCTTCTGTCCGTCTTTGTCACAGACTGGATGGGGTTGAATCGTGTCTCTGATGTAGGACAGCATCTTAAAGGGACATGAGACCATAGCCTACCTACACACATCCAAAACCAACTTTTATTTACCGAATATATTGACATATGCAAAATGACGTCAGTTATTGTCGTACACTTTGGTAAATTTTAGGTGTATCGCCCAGCCCTACATAAAGGCGTTCATTGTAAGCTGTGTGTGTGTCCTCCACATCCCCTAACCTTTGCTGTAGTTTCCCAGCAAGCTATCCTGCCTCAGCTGACTCGCCTGAGCACAGCTGGAGTGTTGGGATTTGCATGGGCCAGAGTCTCACCCTCCTCCTCCTCCTCCTCCCATCCTACCCCAGCCCAGACAATAACCAGATCCAGATGTCTCAGTATGGAAGATACTGGTAAGAGTGAAATAAGGGAGAGGATGCGGGGGAGAGGAGAGTGTTTGAATGAGAGAAGATAGGAGAGGAGGAGGAGGAGGAGGCAGAGGAAAGATTAAAGAAGATAGTAGATGAGAGAAGATTAGGGAGGAGGAGACGTGAGGGCAAGAGATGGAGAGGAGAGGTTAGGGGCAAGGAGAGAAGAGAGGATTAATACACAGTAAGAAGCGATTGAAGAAGAAGGATAAAAGAGAAGAAAGTAGACCAGAGAGCTGGAAAGGGAGATAAGAAGAGAAAGTATAAGCTGAGAAAGAGCTATAAGAGGGATGAGAGTGATACTCAAGAAGCTCAAACTGACATATCAGAGCAGAAAAACACGGAATCAACGCCCGACTGAGTGATACGACGTCTCATTCTGTTCTCCAGCGGAGCCAGAACAGAAAACATTCGAGTCAAGAGGCTTTGTGTGGGACTTCCTCTCTCTCTCCTCCTGCCGGACCGTTACATGGGAACTGTGCAAACACGATGGAGTCCAACAGCTGACCGTTTCCTACGCTCCGACCCTTTATTTACATTGCAGATAAATACAAAAGCTACATCTCATTGTTTGCATTCAGAAGGAAATGGAAAGTCATGTTTGTTTGTTTTATAAAGCTATAGCGGTGCATTGTTGGCGTCCAGCTACGACAGATCTATGGATAAGAGGAAAAAAATGAGCCGTGCGACAATAGCCGTTGTGTCGAGTCGAGGCAAAATGTACATCTTTCAAGTGGAATGACTTTTAATGCACACCCTGGGTGGTTTGGATGTGCATGTGCTTGTGTTTGTGCGTCCGAACGCACTGCGTACACAAACCCTACACAGTCAATAAGCAGTGTGCAGAGAACCACAAGCCACACAAAAAAACACACCACGCTCATAAAACTCCGCTTGAGACGACCGCCGCAGCACCGCAGTGGTCACGGGCACGAGGCCAGAGCAAGCGTGCAAACACGGCCGTGGGACCCGCTGACACAAGCTCTGTTTAGACACTGATTGGGAAACATGTCCTCAGTCTCGTCTTCCTCCCTTTCCTCACCTCAGACACGAAGCTGTCTTTCCCTAAACATGGAGCTTCGGCAGTCTGAGTCTGACCCAGCTTCAAAGCTAATCCACACACACAACGCAGAAAGACCCCTGTTTCTCAACCAAAACCTCCCTCTGCTGCACTGACCTCGTTTTTCAAAGAGTTCTAATTGACACTTTGAAGCAGAGCCTGCTGGTTAGAGGGACACCTGAAGGAGAGTCTCACAGGGGCTGTCTGACTGGAGCTAGACTGTCATCTTTAGCGGCGAGCTTTAGAGTAAAACAGGGTCTGAAAACCTCTTGACAGCCTTCTGCATATTTAAAACATGATGAGTTTTGATCTGGTTTTCTTCATTCATAGCAGGCTTCCTTTGAATCTTATCTAATGCTGTGTTTTCATACACCAAACACTGTTTAGACTACAAATAATCAGTCATGAGGGAGAAATCGGACTGTAGGCAGCCTCTCCTCCTCTTCCTCCCTCTTCTTGCTACAGGCCGAGTGTGTCTGTCAAGAGAACAGCAGAACTGCTGAAATATTTATGAGATCCTCTGAGTCGGGGCGCGCACTTCAGCCTATAATCATTCTCATCATATCACAGGAACGCATATTATTATCAACTCTAGCTGTAAACTGAACACTAAACTGAGAACTGCTGGACGTGAACCCTTTGACACTTTGATTATGATTTTTATGATAATCTTTATGTTTGACCAATAAACACGCAGAGATGTGATAGATTTCCTTTGAAAGGGTAACTCAGTACAGATAAAAACACTGTATGCATTTGAATAAGTGTAGATAAAATATTTCGAAATGTGCGACTCCACGTAAAGGAGGGCTGATTTACTGATAAAGCAACCTTGATAGAAGAAGAGGGTGAGGGTTTACATTGATAACAATGTAAACTTTGGACATCGTTGCTTTATCAATAGACTGAACAAACAGTCTGTCGCTGAAATAAAGATGCACAATATAATCCACACATTGTTAGAATCAGCGAATAAAAGCTTGAATAGTTGCAGGTAAGAAGTTTTACTTAGATTAGAAGCATTTGGACATGCGCTGAGTCGTCTGATTTCGCTGAAACAACCACAGAAGAAGAAGAGCTGTATTGACGCCTGTGCTGTCAACAATCCAACACACACGGTAGTCGCTCACTCCATCCAATTCAGAAGTTTTCTCTCTGTTAAATGTTGTCACTAGATGGCGCCCTTGCCTACTTATTTTACTGTTCTGTCAAAGATTGCGATGTGCGTGCAGATGTGACATCATTACGCTGTAGGTACGCCCTGTTATGTTAGCGGAGGAGCAGACACGGCACTTGTGGTTGTGTTAATAATGAAACCTCCTGTACTGGTCTCGATAAATAAAGAGTGAAGATTGAGTCAGGTAAGAGAGTCAAAATCGGAATAAGTGTTTACATGGACACGTTTCGGAATAAATATCGTCATAAACCACCTCTTTCAATCGAAATAAGTGTTCACATGGACACGTTTTGGAATAGTGATTGGCATAAACCACCCCTCTTGGTCGGAATACAATGTATTCCTGATTGAGCTGAATTGGATTAAAATCTTGCGGACGACATTTTTACAAGACGCATTATTCCGATATTTGTACCCGTGTAAATGCAGCTGTTGACAGCAAAGCACCTGTTTGTAAGGAGGAGCAAAACAACACCCCTTACACACCGTCACTTTAATTGTACATTTCAAGACTGTCACTCTGAACAGCACTGAGAGTTGCTTTATTAATATTTGTCACTCACTGTTGGTGTCACTTTGTTAAGGCTGCACTAACAACGTGTTCTGTCTTCTTGTCCACAGTACCCCTTCTCACTGGGCTTCAGCTTGGCTCTCTGCTGGTGTTTACTGGTGTGTGTTAGCCGAATCTACATGGGAATGCACTCTGTCCTGGTGAGTACGCACACACACACACACACACACACTCACATTTAGTGCCAGAAGGTTTGCCACCTTCAGTGCCAGCATGGCCCCATTCTGTTGGCTTGAACCTGATAGCTGATATCTGGGAAACAGTATCTGACTGGTTAACACCTCAACTCCAAAACAAGCGGCTTCAGTTTCTGGCGTCATCTCCACAGTCACTTGTTGAATTTAGTCGTGTAGTCAAAGTAAAACACTAAAAACAACCACATATTGTTTACAACACAACTGATTTCTCTGGAAAAGTTATGAAATATGCTGAAAGCTAATTTAGGGACTTAAAACCGCCTTTGTGGAGTCGTTTGTATGGCGTGTTGAGCAGGCAGGGTGTGAAACAGGAAACCTTTTCCACCCATTGATTTTAAGCAGGAGGTGGAATCTGAACTTAAGCCTCCAAACAATAGTTTTCCTGCATAAAGGCGCTGCAGAAAAAAACAAGCTTATAAACATCTGCCAGGTGTCTGTTTACACATTTGACCAGCTGTGGTTATCAGATTTGTAGAAGAAGAGTGCTTCACTATATTTTGCATTTAAAGGGGATTAATGATTTCTGAAGAGCCCTCTAATTCAGCATGTGATTGGGGTTTTGACTTTTATGAAATCTTCTCCAGCCTCCGTCTGTAACACATGGCTAATCAGAAATACGCCTGATATCCCCGTCATGCTGAGACCTGACTCCGCCACCATCTGATGCAGACGTATGTCGCCGAACGTCATCATCGTGGCCTGCAAAAACTTGCCTCTGCCTGCACCTTTTGTCTGCTTGAAATCGTCTGCAGTTGGATGTGTTCGCTGCTGTACAGTGCAGGTACAGTCATGAAATACAGAATCTAACACCCCTGGGAGGAGGGCGTGTTCATCGCGGGAGCCCTACAGTGATGTCCTACTTCTCAAGAGTGTGGGCTCAACCTGCACGAAGAACAGAAGGCTGCTGGTGCCGAGCTATGCAAACCAACTCGACGGTGTTTACCTTAAGGCTTTGTGCAGCCATGTTGAATGAGTTGTGGAGGGATCCTTATGAGGGTCTTAGCCTCTATGCATGGAGGGTTAGATTAGTTAGACTGTGGAGCCACAAATGGGTGTCAGATTTGACTGTTTTTATTGTTTTCTCATCTTTAAACTTAAGTTTTAAGTCAGAACATCCTAAATAGAGAGAGCTAACAAGTTTGTACTGCTGGCTAAAGTTCCTGCACCGACCCCCGTATGGTTCTTGGTTGAATATCTTCTATAATTTCAGCTTATTTGGACCTAAATCATCTGACACTTCACCACAGCAGTGTACGTCAGCTCTCCTGTCCACGCTCTGGTCACATTAACCATCGTTTTTGTCATAATTTCACTCACGGGGAAAATTATCTCAGTGTTGATGCAAGAGTGTCTGTCGCCACGGCAACACGCTCTGTGGTCACAGCTGTGTCAGAGGGATTGATGGATGGTGGGAGCAGCAGACATTACAGTTTGCTGGCCGTCCTCCCAGATAAACTCCGGAAGGTTAATTCCACATCAGAGACGTCCTTTAAGGGCTTTCTGTGGTCGTCAGCGGGCGGTGTAGTGGTTTAGAGCTCCGCCGCAGGATTCACACACACATCAGTCCTCGAGCTCCACTTTTTATCTCCAAAAAGTGTGAGCAGTAAAACTCTCAACTTTCTAAAGGTGTGACCAACAGTTCTCCTCAGATAAACACCGACTGACCTAGAAACAGATTGAAGAGGACTGGTTCATTTGAGCTTCTAATTAGATTTATTATGCACAGAGAGAAAATTATAAGACACAGACTTGACTCAGCTTGAGGAACCGGGCAACAACTCCAGGCACGCCTAATCTATCCTGGCACTGAACCAGATTCAAGCGCATCCCAATGATGACAACACAGCAGCTATAAATGGTAGCTATCAGGAATTAGAGATCCCCCCCAAAGGATCTTCATTATTATGACTCAAGGATTTTATCAGCATTTATCTCTGCTTATCATCATGGAGGATTTAACCCTCTTCATCAGAGGTATCTGTAAATGCTTTTAAAGAAGTAAAGAAGTCTATAATCATTTAAACTTCAATTTATATTTAAATAATTGACAGTTCAGGTAGCCTGGTGTTCTGAAAATAACTTTAGATGACATGTCTGGCTGGTAGAAAAGGCGACGACTGCATCATGACAGGTTCATCCTCATGGGTTAGTTTAGAGTTGAGCAAAGATCTAAAATTCTCCGAGACTTTGGGACATTTCTCTTATTAAAAATATGACATAATCTCACTGAATCATTCAAAGAAGCAGATTATTATAGATTAACTGTGATGATGCAGTGTGTAAAAATATGATGTCTTTGAGCCGACTTCAGGGGACGTTCTGGGGAGGATCAGACTTTGGGTATTATTAAGATCCTGCAGATAAAATGACATCACTGGTTTCTGACGGAAAGTAAACTAAAAATGAATGAAATGTATTGGTTCCCGTGGTTACAGACGCTGTTTACATCTTAAAGAGATTAAGCGCAACGAGTAGAAGACTTGAGGGAAAAGCAGAAGGATTTTTAAGTTACAGACCACACGGTGGGTGCAAGCAGTGGTCACAGCCATGCCTTGAGTGGCAGGCGGGAGCAGGACGAGGCAGAGGATGAAGAGGAGAAAAGGAGGTGTGGAGTACACACTACAACAGGAAAAAGAAGTAAAAGTACTTTGTAGGAGGAAACAGATGCTTAAACGGTGAAAGACTGCATCTAGGGGTAATTTATTTTTAGACATTCTCAGATTTCTGATTTTTGCAAACTCTGCTTGTGGTTAAAGAGGGAACAATGGAGGTTATCAGTCTACAGGCTTTTAGTGAAAAACTGACTGTCTAGTCATCAGACCACAGTTCAAAAGTCAGCGTACATAACAAGAGCCAAAGGTTTGGGTGCTTCCACCAGTGGGAAGTAGGTTTTGCGCAGTACACTGTTAATGACACGGCTAACAGTGTAGCAAGGCTAATAGCAGATGGCTAACTCTAACTTTAGCGTGCATATTACATGGTGCTTCACCGTTAACTCGGCGTGACCGAGACCAGCACAGCAGGGAACATTATGAAGTGGGTTGAACTGAAACTTTCTGTAAATATTGGTAAATATTGGAAAATCAGCGAGTTTTGGCCGATTACCGATTAGTCTCAAACGGGCTAAAATTGGCCGATTTAACAGACTTGCCGATAAATCAGTCGGGCCCTACCAAAAACTCGTAGAAGAATCACACTGGGAGGGTAGCATATCATCCCAGCTCTACTTTGAGAAGTCATATGTCGTCATAGGTGGCTACTTCATGCTTTTTTGTATTCTCTGTATGAACACTAATCTCATACACATCGTTCTAGTTAAGGCCTGAGAGGTAAATGTGAGACAGCCCCACGTGTAGGCAGCTCTCTCCCACCTGATAACTCTGCCTGATGTAAGCTCTGAGAGCTGAACACTCCGCCGCAGTCAGGCCATGTGGAAACTGTTGCGTTTCAGGGAGTGGAGCGGGAACACATGGCGAGCCATTAGCGGTCTGCTCTGCCTTCAGGCCTGCCGGGCTCTTAATGTTCTCTGGAAATCATCACACCCAATGAAACGACTTCCCTCGTCTTTGTTCTACAGGAAGAACTCGGAGACAAAAAGCCGATTTGCTGCTGACAATGTTGTTGACATCTATAACCTTTTAGCAGACTGCTCACCGGGCACTTTGATTTACGTGTTGGCTTATGTGACACTTTACATCTTTTACGTTAACACCAGAAGACGCTCCGGTCGAAGTTTAAAGGCCATCTTTAGTCAGTGGATGGATGCTGATTGCTTCACATTCAGGGTTTTTAGTTCTTGTGCTACAACGTGTGCATTATTTTCATTGTAGGGCGTTTTGAATAAAAGCTTTCACCACTTAAAAGCTTGCGCTCCATAGTGTCCTCGATGCACCCATCCTCATGGGTTTTACACTCATTGTGGCGGTGCTGCTTCTAGCTGTGTCAGTGGAGGAGAAAATTACAGACAGCTGAAAAGCTTGTGTGCGCTCACTGTGTGTGTTTCACTGAAAGGGAGGGAGCTGATAAGAGTTTGCAGCGGAGGCAGTTAAATCACAGTTCCTCCGAGAGGTTATCTCGCTGTGTCCTCCCTTCTGCGTGTGTGACGTCAGCTCTGTGGCTCTGGTAGTTCAGCGGGTTTAATGACTGACTGTGAGAGAAGGGCTCATACTCACCTAAACATGCATTTAAGCAGACAAGTAGATATTTAAACTGTAACTGGACCTTGGTTCTCTCCAAGCATGGAGATCTAAGCGGGCTAACCTGCTGAAACGTCCTCAGAGGCTGGTGTAAATTTACAGTAACCCTCATCGATTTCTCCACCAGTGTAAGTGGACACTGATAAAACATGTGCTGTCAGGCACTAATGTAAGGTAAATAATGTACACTGTCAGGTCAGCTTGATGAAAGGCTATTACAGGCTGATTTACACTGTCCTCTACAGTAAACACACATAATGTAACACTGCAGAGAGCCTTTTAAACACGCCTACATGACTCTGAATGTTATGATAAACGGCTTTTTAGCGAGTTTTCCCAGCAGACCTTAATCTATTTTTCTCATTTTCCTGACTTATTTATCCCCTCCTGCTGTTTTGAGACATTTTACAATACAAACATGATCAGCTTAGGAGGATAAATTGCAAACTTACAAGATTTAAGATGTACTTTCATAGGAAAAAGTAATTACAGGGTTTTATTGAAAAGTCTGTTTTTCAGCATCTTGATTCTTATAACAAAGTGGTGCTGAATTGCATAAAGACAGCTCCTCTTATCTCCCTTTTTAAAATCACATATGGTTTTTCCTGAGTCTAAATTTACAGCTTTGTTCTCATAAATTTCTGACTTTATTGTCCAGATCTGGAAAGCTTTACGTCTACAATATTGCCCTAATACTTCGCCGTGCAAAACAGCCTTGAATAAAGTGGAAGTCTGACCTCTGTTCCAAAACAGAGAACTCAAGTTTCTACATAATCGGCTTTTTGTAAATCTCAGTGCTGACACTTGAAGGTTATTACAGCCTCCATTGTCTTTTAAGAAGTGTAGTCAGTGTTGAGCTGAAGCAGACAGATCTATACTACTATCATTAGATTTATGAATCAAAATGAGCCCAGATATAAATAAAATAGAACCCCTGTGAGTTCAGTGCAGATCTGTAAAGCCTCGCCAAATAATCTCCGTAATGAGGTCAAAGAGAATCAGTGTGATGTTTCATGCAGAGGAGAGTAGCTTGACATTTGGAGGAATCTTGTTTAGTTTCTTAATAAATATCACAAGTAACAGGAAGAAACAACAACATAGAAGAAGCACCACTCTGTCCACAGGGGGCGCCAATACTCAGTATGTTTACATGACACTTAAGAAAACTGAATTATTGCCTTATTCCGATTAAGACCAGACAACTGAAGTGAATGTAAACACCTTAGTCCGACTATAATTGGAGTTTGAGAACTCTGATTGCACAGACCTGTTGTTGTTGTTGACAGTCGTATGGGGTCGGAAACAGCGCAGCTAAAAAGACCCACATCGCCCCCTAGGTTTGGGGAGGAGGACACGTTCACATCATTAATTCAGTTTTCTCAGCTGCATATTTACGGGGACAAGGAGCGAAGTCCGATTAGGCGAAAATACCGAATTATGAGCTTAGTCTGATTAAGCTGTGCTTGCAAACGCACTGACTGACGCTCATAGAAAGTTCCCAGTAGGAGCTTTAAACGACTGTTTTCTACATCCTAAAACTTCTCACAGTTCTTACAGTTGACTAGTGTGTTAAAGATTCAACATCTAAGTCTTTGCACCAGTTTAACTCTCTGGATCGTCATGCTGAAGTGGTTCAGCAGAGGTCCCCCTTTGGTTGAGCGCTACATCCAGATAGAGATCTCAGAGGTCAAATCCACACAAACAGGAGTGTCAGTGTTGCTGCAGGAAAGCTGACCGTCAGGTCAATAAACAACCCTGATAACCTTTGTGTGTAAGTCCAGAGTTCATCAGCATTTTCAGATTTGCTTATTTCCTGTTTCCTGTCAACACTTCCGTCATTCTTTAGCAAGAAAATGCAGCAATAAATATTTTATCTGTACAACACAGGTCCTTATCAGACAGGGATTATAATTCTGATGCAATATCTAAGAAAGGTTGTCAAGGTTTGATTTAAGTGAAGTTTAATCGTACTTGAACTTCCTGAAAGCCAAAGGTTAAGACGACAAGCCTGCAGTTTGTACGCTCTGGCCTAAACTAATACTTGTTTTCAGTAAAGGTTAAAGGTCAGAGATATTTTCTGTGGGAACAAAATTTCAGGCATGAAAAGTATGAAAAACAAAGCAGGTAACTGGTACTGGAGGGCCCTGATTTTTTTTTAGCCTTTAAGCAGCGCTCATTAAAATCAAAAATGACTCTGCAGTGGAAATTTATTTTATTTTATTTAATTTTATTTATTTATTTATTTAACTTATTTGATTTATTTATTTAACTTATTTAACTTATTTGATTTTATATATTTATTTAACTTATTTGATTTCATTTATTTAATTAATTTATTAAACTTATTTTCTTTTCTTTATTTATTTAACTAATTTTATTTTATTTATTTATTTAACTTGTTAAACCTATTTTGTTTTTTTTTCTTTATTTATTTATCTAACTTATTTAACTAATTTGAGTTTATTTATTTATTTATTAAACTCATTTGATTTTTTTTATTTAACTCATTTGATTTTTTTTCTTATGTTTTTATTTATTTCGAACATGTGCCTACAACACAAGAAAGTAAACTGAAATCAACAAACAAAACCAATAGAAATATTCAAAACAACAATAACAATAATCAATGCAAACAAATAAAAAATTGAAATAAAAAATAATAATAATGCAAACCCAACATGTCACTTCAAGGACTCAATATTATAAACAAAAATCACAATCCTTCAACCTTGTTTTTTTCCTGCATCCGCAATAACAGGTTTCAGCTCAGTGTCTAACCCCCCCTTTTGTTTTTCCTTCAGGACGTCATAGTCGGCTTCCTCTACAGCCTCCTGATCCTGCTCTTCTTCCTGCCTGCTCTGGACACCATCGACAACTTCAACCTAACTTGCCGCTACGCCCCGCTCATCATCATCTCCCTCCACCTGGGCCTGGGCCTCTTCTCCTTCACCCTGGACACCTGGAGCACCTCGAGGGGCGACACCGCTCAGATCCTGGGCACAGGGGCCGGCATCGCCCTGGCCTCCCACGTGAACCACCTCCTGGGTCTGATGCCCGACTCGACGCCGGACCAGCTCCCCCTCACCATGCCCTCTTTAAGTGCCGGGCTGGTGGGTGCAGCTTTAGTGCGGCTCTTCTTGGGCGTGCTGGTTCTTCTGGCCACTCGTGCGCTGATGAAGGCGGTCACCATCCCGCTGATGTGCCGGGTTTTCAGGGTGCCGTGCGATGATGTTAGGAAAGCGAGGCAGCACATGGAGGTGGAGCTGCCTTACCGCTACATCGTCTATGGGACGGTTGGCTTCAACGTGCTCTTCCTGGTCCCACTACTCTTCAGCTACCTTCAACTCTCCTGAGTGGATGTCAGTTCTCTTTCTGATCAGATTCCTCCAACTGTTCCTCAACTTCCTGAGTTGGAAAGAAAGTCAATAAACTTTTATCTGAATGCTGGCATGTTTTTCAGTTTCCCTCTTTTGGTTCAGGTTTGGACTAAGAGATGATCCAGGAGCGACAGACGGCTTCTCAAAGCCTTCCTGTCTGTCCTCTGAAGGACAGGACGTGGCTAAATTTAGCCTTTACTGTTAACAGTTCTACCTGTGGTGAGTTATCGCTCTGTTTCTCTTTTAGATTGATTTAAGTCGAATCAAACGGCTCCTGGTGATCCAAGGAAACTCTGGGACGGAGCCAAACTTTCACTCCTCTTTAACCAGCTCCACCTGAAACAGCAAAAAAAAAATCATTTTTGTAGCGGTGGCCTCTGAGAGACTGGAAATACCACTGAGCGCTACTGATAAGCCTATGTCTCTGCATCTGTGTTTTACTTTTGTCGTAGTTAAGAGTTCAGACGAAGAACCACACGAGTCTCTTTTGGTGAAACGGAAATTTATCCGACATTTTGAGAACAACTTAGGTATTTTTTCATTGCCCATTTACTACACCCAAAATCGTCAGCACCAGTTAGTGATAGGCAGTATACTGGTTTCATTTCTGACTAATTCTTCACAATAAAAGCCCCTAGTTGTCATTTGACCGTTTGAAACACCTTTATTTTGGCGTGTTGGATGTTGAAGCTTCTTTTAAAATCTTTAAATCTGCTCTCAGGCACATTCATGAGCGCAGAATGGCATAACAAACTTATTTTAAGGGTAAGAGAGAGTCAAAGTGGATGAACATGCCCGGTCTCTTTTTATTTCTTAGTTTTGTGTCTTTACCTCTCCAAAATTAAATTTATTCGAGCTCAAAGTGGCGTTCAGTTTGTGTGGTTCTTTGTCTGAGCTTCTTAATTCGATCTTCCTTCCTCGCCTCACTTATTAAGCAATAAGCTTTTGATGAGTTTCAAATCTGTATTCTTGTAATAGAGTGTATTGAAAATGAGAAAGAGCTTTTTTTCTTTCAGCCTGTGGAGTGGAAACCTGTGATTAAGGGTACTTTGTTACCTGTCTGACAGAAATAGACCAGAGTCCAATAAGCTTGAGGCGTTTTCTAAAAGGGCTGCCTGCTCCCTGTCTGCTTTGTTTACTTCTTCTATCTTCTTTTAGACAGAAAACTGTCTGTTCTTTGCTCTGTGATTGATTGTTTTTCCTGTTAGAAAGCAATGACCGGGCACATACTGTAGGATCCAGAAGGAAGGAAGGAAGAAAGGAAGCATCACTTGTTCAGGAAATGCACAAAAAGATTTATTTTAGCAGTTTTTTTTTCTGTCTGCTGAGTTGCAAGAAAGAGGGTGACAGGAGTGTGTCTTCTTGGCTCAGCTCTTTTTTTTTCTTTTTTTTTTACACTGTAAGCCGACTTCCTGTCAGAGATGATCTTGATGGCACGCACCCGCTTCCTGCGCCGAGGACGGTCTCATCTGTTGGTGTCAGCAGGGAAGAGCAGAGGAGATAATGCCGCTCTCAGGAGGAAAGGCGCGTGGTGCGAGGAGGGCAGGATGACAGTCCAGTTCAGGCAAAGAAAAAAAAAGAAAAAAAAGGTTTTAAAGCAATATTTTTAAACACTTTAGCTCAGAAGTTGAATTTAAAACTCTAAAATTTACTATTGGGGTATCGCTGTAATCGTTTGGCTTTAAGTGAGAGTGTTCAAAGCTCGACAAAAACCAATGACTGAATCTTGATTGGAAACGCTATTTACAAAATATCTAGAGCCCCTTTTCTCATATGCACTCCTGACGTGTTCTAGGAACATTTAAGCCCTGACATTTCCAGGACATTTCCCACATCCACCTCAAAGTAGGAGGTCTTTTTGTCTCTCACAACTTGGAAAAACTTCAGTTTCTGCGTACCGTATTTTTCGCACTGGATTACAAAGCGCATTAAGCCAAACAAAACAGTCTGATAATTCTAACTGTATTTAACTCATTCAATAACTCCGCGAGGCTACGGTAGCTGCAGTGCTCCGACAAGCCATCAGGCTGTGCGGCTTGGTAGCTTAGCGAAGTCGTAATAAAACATTTCGACAGATTTTTGAGCGCCATGTACCACATAAAACTGGTTCGAGGTCAGTATGCACAACCAGAATTCATACGTAAGGCGCACTGAGGATTTTTGAGAAAATTAAAGGATTTGAAGTGCGCCTTATAGTGGGAAAAATACGGTATGTATGATAAAATTTTTGCTGTTCATGTTCAAACATGCCCACTTGATGAAGTCCTAAAATTTTCAGGAGTTTGTACATGTGAAAAAGAGGCTCAGGATGAGATTTTGTCTTTAAATGAACCTTGAAAGTGCAGAAAAATGAGTTGACATGCAATAACTGGTGATAGAGAGCGGGTCCACAGTTGTGACCCGTGATACCTGAGCATCCCTTAGAGACTACGTCGATTGAGAAATACTTGTAATCTGTTTCGAACATTTTTCCTATCCCGTTCCACCCACTTCGAGGTATCAAGGACTGACCGAAGCCTGAAGTTTGATCACATTCCTGCAGCAGTTGTGGGTGAAGTGCCTTTCTTAGCGCTGCCTTCTGCTGGTGACCTTTCACCTTTGAAACGAAGACCAACAAAGTAAGCGACAAACATTTTATGCTTTTCAATTTGCCTCACTGAAAGCAGAAAGCTCAGCAGGAAGCAGAGTGTAACAAGCTGACTTGTGTGTTGTTATTGTATATGGTACTGTCCTATTATGAATGCACTGTTCCCAGAATGCACTGTTTCCCCCCCTGAGCTGGGTAGATCGAGTGAATTTGGTCCTAAAGATTGTGGGATACTGGTATAAAATTTAAGAGTCAGGACTTACCCACAGTAGAATAAATGTTGGTATTTGTATTTGTGCTTTAAAAAAAATTAATTTAATTTTTTCCTTCCTCTACTTTAAAAAGCTGATTTAGTTAATAAAATATTAAAACTAGCAAAAAGTTTTAAAGGTCAAATTTTGCCTTTCAATACACCCTCTATCTGTGACTTAGGGCCTGTGTCCACTGACAGCATTTTTTGTACTATGTTTAAAACCAGCATAATTCATCATTCGAGCATCCTGGACACTAAAACAGTTTTTGCATAAGTGGAAAATAATTCAACACATTTGGCTTCACCATGCCATGATTACTCCCTCCTCTGTGACTAAGGGCCTGTGTCCATTGACAGCATTTTTTGTACTGTTCATGTTTAAATCGATCATAATTTTATCATTTGAGCATCCTAGGCTAAAAAAAAAAAAAAAGGTTTTTGCATCAGTGGAAAATAGTTCAACGCTCCTGGCAACACCACGCCATGATTACTCCCTCCTCTCTGACTAAGGGCCTGTATCAACTGACAGCATTTTTTTGTACTACTCATGTTTAAAACCAGCATTATTCATCATTTGAACATTCTGGGCACAAAAACTGTTTTTGCATCACAGGAAAATAGTTCAACGTTTCTGGCACAACCATGCCATGGTTACTCCCTCCTCTGCAACTTACCTAAAATGAGAAGGGGCGGGGCTTTGTTAACAGCAATGGTGTAGGTTTGTATAAAAGCGAAACTAACCACATTCATCTGGGCAACAATACAGTTTTCAAATCTGGCGTTACCGCTCATTTTTTTTGTTATATTCCTCTAAATAATAATTAAAAAGTTGAAGTGAAAAGAACCCGTAAGCTGAGGTTTGAGAAATGCAGTTGGTGTACACAGGCCCTTATAGAGTGATGTTTTTATTTCTGTTGGTCCGCTCATTGACAGTTTTTTAATTCGGGCATTATCAGCAAAGAAAATATTATCTGTATTAACTGGTATTAACTGGTATTGCTGATTATCCACTCAGCTCATTAATTAGCTGAATTTCTGCACCATAATGTATCATAATCACCGCAGCACAGATGGACCAGCCACGCCTTAGTGTGAAAGATTGATACTGTCAAAAAAGATGTTTTTCTCCTTCCACCCGGCATGTTTCACTTCCTGTGGCCTTGTTGTAGCAATGGTTTTCTCTTTGTCTGAATGTGGCTTCCCCTCTCTGCCTCTAAAAACAGGAAGTTTCGCTTTTTTTTCTGCTTTTAGATTCTGATTCAGACATTTAAATCCTCTGGTGGAGCTATTGCTGTGAAAAAACCTCAAAGTTGCTCAAAAGGTTTAAATGAAATCAGGCCCTCCTGCACTCATCAACATATACTGCATATTGAAACACGTCTCTAGCTCTGTCAGGTTTCTCTGAGATTCTCTTGATCTTGTCTTGGAGTCAAAAACACTTTGAGCAGAAACCACAAAACGCACACTTTGACCCGCAGCCAACTCCTCTGTCGGATGATAAGTAAATCAGTGATTAACAGGAGAAACTGTAAAGCGTTTAAACACATGTCGGCTGTGAATTATATATCTTACTGAGGGGATGTTTCCTCTGCAGATGGAGGAGCGATCAGAGTTATGAGATTGATAAGATTAAACCAAACTTCCTGACTCTGATTACAACCCATTCAGTTCGAGTTTACCCCCCGTTTCCTTGTGCGCGAGCGTGTGTACTACACTAAACAGCAAGTGTCTGATTACGGGAAGGTTTTATTTCATGTGCAGTTACTCATTTATTTCACAGAGGGTTATAAAAGATGCAGCTTCATAGTGCGGCATTGTGCAAATGATGAAACTTGAAACTCAAAACAAACCAGATTATTTGAAAGTGGAAAATTTTATTCAGGAGAATCATTTATTTCCTCAAACTGCTTAAAGGTACAATGTGCAGTATTTAGTGCAATGTAGCAGAACAGTGTTGGTAGAAATTGAATTAATTAAAGTGGCTTAAAGTGGACCTTAAGGAGCAAGATACCTTTGACAGAAACAGTTATCATACAACACCATATTTCTACAGTAGCAAGGAAGGGACAAACTACTATTTGTATTTAGTTTAGTGACCTTGTAGTTGGGAGCCAAGAGTGGTTGTTGTGCGCTAAATAACCAGTATTTCTAAAAGCTTTTGATGGTAAAAAAAATTGGACAAACGGAGGAGCTTTTTGTCCTTCAAGGCCTCCGTAACTTCACTGTCAGGGATGAGCAAGAGAGTATTTCCATCTAGAAAGTGACTGCTGTTTATTGCTAAATTCTCCCTTTTCTACACACTGTACCTTGTTGTCAATTGATACTTTTTTGTCTGAGCTTTTTGTCCTTGAAGGCCACCATACCTTCATTGATAGAGTGAGCGATGGAGGGTTTCATTGTACGAAACGAGGTTGAGAGAGTGGTGGACGACATGCCACACAGGGCTGCGTTAGAGTTTAGAGTTTTATTTGACTTTATTTGATCTTTTATTTCAGACCGAGTCACTAAGGAAACACCAAATGTGGTAAAGAAATCCCATATTTTCACTTTTATCCCCACTTTTATGTAGCACCTTTTATACCAATGTCCTCCCACCTTAATAAAATATCAGGGATTTTTTAAAGAATAAAGACGGGAGCCTTCGGAGAGGCTCTGGATCCTGTAGGCTTTATCCTCAAACACATCGGAGCGTCATTTTATCTCCTTTCTTCCTAAAAAAAAAACTGGATCTCAGAGACTTTTATATGAAATAATCTCTGTCTTTGACCAAATGTAAAGTAGGGAAACTGTTCAGCTTGTAGCTCGGTTAGCTGAAGTTTGCTCCACCTGTCCTCATAGTGCCTTTATTGATCTTCAGGAACATGATTTGAAGTTTCATGTAAAACCTCTGTTCTGGATTTTGTTCTTAATCTTCTTTTCCTCTTTGTCCTGTTGTGTTGCCTTTTTTGCACTTTGTATCTCTTATGTCAAACTGGAAAGACTCCCGGTGTTTCCTGGTTGGTTATTCAGTTTTAAAATGAGCTTTTAGTTCCTATTGCTGCTGCTTGTTTATTACTGCCTTCACAGAGAAATCGCAGCATGTGAGTCACTGTATTTTATGTCACTGTGGACTGAATCCTGAACTGTTTAATTCTCACTCTTGGTTGTATTTGCTTTCACTCACTGCTTGCATGAGAAATGAGTCACGCAGTTTTTGTCTAAATCAAAATGAAACAAGCGTTGGTTTGTGTGTGTGTGTGGTCTAAGCTGATTTATTTTCTCTGAATGGTCCCAGTCGGGATTTTTTTTTTCTTTTATTCCAGATAGCTTGATTTTTAACACATCTGCCAGTTCTCGCTTTGAAAAACAGGGTGTCGTTTTGGGATTAAACCCTTCATAGCTTTCCAAAAATGAAAGTAAACCCAGAATAACGTGTTCAGTAGTGTCCTGATTTGACAGATGGGAACATTAGAGAGCATTTTATGCAGTTGGACAGTATTTTTTTATCTATTTCTTCAGATTATTTTTTTTTTGTCTGATTTGTTTCAAAATGAGGATGTATTTCTGTAAGATTGTGTGAAATGAACTGAAATAAAAGTCATAATAAAAAAAAAAAATCCTGTTTCTTTTCACTTATTTTGTACGAGTTAAACAAGTTTGACAAATTGAGGACCATAATTGGCGAGAGATTTTTGTCCACAAAGGCCACCATCCCTTCACTGAGAGGGGTGAGTAAGGGAGCACATGTGTACCAGAATTTGATGGCACTAAAAATGGTCAAAGGTCAAAATTCTAATTTGCTGACACAGATTGGCGTGACATGGCCTGTGTCCGAAATGGACCCTTAACCCCTACATAGGCGACTGTATGGGGGTTAGCGCCATTTTGAGGGATGTCTGAAACCTGAGTGATCAATTCTAATGCCCCATATAGGCGACTCAAAATTTCCCATAAAGCATTGCAAAATGTAGTGACCGTCCGACCATGCAGACGTTTAACCAATCTGTCGTGGTGAAGAAAGAGCTGAGCCGTAAGGCGAGACTCTCGATTTACCGGTCGATCTACGTGCCGATCCTCACCTTTCCCCTTTCACCAAAGGGTTTCCTTTGCAGGGTGGCCGGGCTCAGAGTAAGGGTAAGGAGGTCGGACACTCGGGAGGCGCTCAGAGTAGAACAGCTGCTCCTCCACATCGAGAGGAGTCAGCTGAGGTGGTTCGGGCATCTGGTTAGGATGCTTTCTGGACGCCTCCTGTTAGAGGTGTTCCAGACATTTCCCAACGAGAGGAGACCTTGTGGCCAACCCAGGGCCATGTGGAGGGGTTATATCTCTCGCCTGGCCTGGGAGCGGCTGGGAATCCCCCCAGAGGTGCTGATGGAAGTGGCTGGGGTGAGGGCCGTCTGGACTTCCCTCCTGAAGCTGCTGCCCCGACGACCCGGACCCAGACATTGCAGTGGTGGCTGATTTGAAAGGTACAACCCCCTTGCTACATGTCTTCCCACACTCTCTGCTCCACACATTTATTGTTTGTCTTCATCTGTCCTGTAAATAAATAAAAAAAAGAGACTACTTTAGGAAATATTTAGTGACTTTCCACATTTGCATTTTCTTGTGAGGAATACTTGATTCATTTAGTGAGTTTCCTTCAAGGAGAACTGAGAGACCTCTGAACCATCTGTGGATAAACTGCAGCTGCATTGACCGGGAAATTAAATCAGACGTCAACAGAAACACTGTGGAGAAGTTCATGACGACATACCCCACAGTTCCACAACGTCTCCTTTGGGCAGAGGGCCAAACTAAAACCTGGTTAACCTCCTCTAATGCGAGACAGAGCGCATGTGACGCTTCTTGTGGCTGATCATGTCTGTAAAGGTCTGTGAGGGTTTTCAGAGGCGCTGTCTCTTCTCTGTTTTTATTCCTGCCTCTGCAGAGCCGCTCTTCATGCACAGATGGTGATGTGGTGATGTGGTGTGTCATAGAATGAACCGTTTTCCACGTCACTCTGCCAGGAGCTGCAAGGAGACACACTGCAGCTGCCGGCCTCGACATTAAAGACATTTCTTTTTGCTTCTTCTTCTTCTTTTTTTTTTTTTTTCTTGCTGCATGCCAACAGGAATGAGGCACACAGCACAGTAGTTAGTTTCTGTCAATGTTTAATGTTCATGAGTCACAAACTGGATTGAAACACCTGCTACCACTGAGGTCAAGATGGTCCAGACTTTAAAGGTTTCTTTTCTGCATATAAGCTTCTTCAGAGACATTGATCCTCTGTTTTTAGTTTGTTAGAAGCTGAAGTAAAAGAACCCAATACTTCTTCCCCCACTGAATACACAATGAAAAAAACAAAAAACAAATCCTGAATTATGATCCTAAATCTTTAAAGCTTACTGTGGGGCATATTTAGACTTATTGTCCTTTTAGCCATTGTTTTACTTGTAATCTTTTCTTATTTAACCTTTTAGGCCTTTTAATTGGTTTTATTTTATTTTATATATTGTATTGTATTTTTTGTTTTTTATTTTATTTATTGTGTCTATTATTATTATTATTTATTTATTATTTATTTTTTCTGCTCATTTATGTTATTCCATTTGATCATTATCACGATCATTATTATTTATTATTTTATTATGATTATTAATATTCTCTTTTTATATTTACTATCCAGTTTCCTGCTTTCTACCCCCTTTTTTATTACATTTCTTTTTTTTTAACCTATTTTATGTTTTTATTTTGGTCCTCATGGTCTCATTTTATGTCGTAGGGTTGTTGTATTGTCTGGGTTTCTTATGACAAATGAAATTGACCTTCAATTAAGGGCCTTGTTTTTCAGGCTGTAGAAAAGAAAAGCTCCAGGATTACATGGGGCCAAGTGTCTGAAACACTTAAATTTAAGTCTTATCCAAAATTCACTGTGATTTTTACACCTCATTTATCCCACCAGCTTATCCTCCATTTCATACATTCACACTCAGCACCTACTGCATCGCTTGTTCACTTTGTAAATATCTCCTTTTTCACTTGTAAATATTTCTCTTATACTTTTATTTGTCTCTAATACATATACTCCTTTTTAATCCTTATTTTATTGTACTCCTTCAGTACTATTGTGTGTTTTATGTCGAGCGGTCCTCTCATCCAGGGCATTTCATTGCACTGTTGACCTTGTTTAACATGCACATGACAAATAAACTAATCTTTATCTTGAAAATGACTCACACTAAACTAACAAAACCTTCAAAAGTAAAAGTAAAGAACATTTGTTGGGTGTGTTATATTTCTGTGGGTTGTTTTCTCTTTCTCCAGCTGATATAAGAGACTGAGGGTTTATTGAATTTGTCTCTGTTTGACTAAACTGTGCCACCTCAGATTTGGGTCAGCCGGAAAGCTTCAATCCTCAGTTTTTAATCCTTCAAAAACTAAAAGCTGCTGCTGCCCCCTGCTGGACAATCGAGGAATCACAGCTGAACTCAATTTACGGCACTTTAAATTGTGGTTTAGATATCATAGTTATGATATTCTTATACTGATAAAAATTAATAAAATATAGTAATAATTATGAAAATACTTAACGAAATGCCAACGAAATGTACTTCTTTACGCTTCCTATACGAACTGTAAAAACAGTACAAGAGGAGATAGAAGTAAAAATTAACGAGAAATAATTACATAAGCATAAGGAAGTAAGATAACTCAACTTTTAGGGCGTTGACAGCTTTTATTCTGAGGATTTTGTCCGCTAAACCTCAGAATATGCGAGAATATTCGCTTTCCAGCAATGGCGGAACCTCTTAGTAGGAGAGCGTTCCGACCCGGTTGTAATTATTGTAACACAGCGTGGGCATGCTAGTTTGTCCATGCGTGTTTTGATAGTGTTTTAAAGTAAAATCAGAGTACAGACAGCTGAGGGGTTTATTTAGCTCTAAATAAGGATAAAAATCAGAATATTTCAAGTTTTTGAAGGTGTTTCGACAAAATGGCGGCAGACGTTTCCCGGTGTACGGTTGTTTCTTCTTAGTTTGTGGACATTTGTATCAAATAGGTAGGTAGAAAACTATATTTTAACACTTTCAGAAATAAATGACACACATAATTCCTTTTTAACTGTCATTTTAACACGATTTTACTTGAATTTGGCAACAAATGAAATCGTGTCTTAAATCCAAAACAGAAATGATCTTTTTTATTTTCTAAGTGGTTTCTTTAAAATCAATTAAATCCCAACCTTCAGAATAAACAATTAATACAGTTGAGTTTATATGGTATCCACCAAACATTAGATTAATCTATTTACACCTTATATTGCTCATAACTTTATACGCAGAAGAAAACATCTATTTTGGATACTTCTGGAAGATTTTAAAAACAGTTTTAGAATAGATTTTAACGTTCGTAATGGTTTTGACCCATCTATTTAATTTTAACTTAATTATTAACTTTTTAAATGTATGCATTTTAATACTGTTTTTATTGTGTTTAGATCCTGGGGTGGGAATGAGGGGTTGGGTTGGGGTAAATGTGGGTATTCTTTGTTTCTTTTTTTCTTTTTTCCATGTAAAGCACTTGTGCTACATGGTTGTGTATGAAAAGTGCTATATAAATAAAGACTGATTGATTGGATTTCCTGATCCAAAACCTCATATCTGGACTTACTTGTTGCAAAAAAGCCACAGTGTCTTAAAAATGTGGTTGTGGGAATTTGGAGCTCTGACCTGTTTGAAAATTAAGTTTTTTTCTGTCTAGACCACCAAATCCTGATCCATAATCACAATGCCTAGACTTCCCCTTTAGACCACATTGAACCAGGTCCTGATCTAAAACCTCAAGATTCAGACTCTTCAGATCTGGCCTAGATAATCCTATAGAGGATCCTGTCGTCTTCAAACACAATACAAGATTTGCAAAACTTTAATTTTATTAGTTTAAATGCCAGAAAGTTTGATTCTCTGTTTTTTTCCGTGTTCAGATCAGTTGAGGTACCATGGAGGGTTTGGAGGAGAAGCTCAACGGTCTTTCCATCGCTCGCCGCTCTCACCCAGAGGAGCCCACCTACCTGCTGCATGTGGCCCTGCAGCCAAGCGGCCTCCTGGCTGTCTCCTGCTCCAACTTCACCGTCCACCTTCACAACAAAGACACTCTAACCCTGCTGGGAGAGTACCAGGGCCACAGCAAGCCTCTCTGTGGGGTTGTTTTCTCCCATCAATCCCCTGACTTCCTCTACTCCGGCTCTGCTGACGGGACGGTCAGGGGATGGGACGTCCGCCGCCCGGGGACAGAAGCAGCTCAGGTGTTTAAAAGCGACTCCTCACACAGCTTCTGCAGCTTTGACTTGAACTGTGGCGACACGCTCCTGTGCGCCGGCACCGAGCAGGTCAATGATGAGGACAGCTTCCTGGTTTTTTGGGATGTTAGGAAACCAGGCGCTGGGCTTCTGGGGGTGTACTCTGAGTCCCACAGCGATGACGTCACACAGGTGTGCTTCCATCCTCGAGACAAAGACCGTCTGGCGTCAGGCTCTACAGACGGCCTTGTGAATGTTTTCGACCTGAGCCGAGGTGCGGAGGAGGAGGCGCTGCTCGCCACGTGTAATTCCAACTCCTCTGCTGGGTCAGTGTGCTGGTCCGGACCTGACTACACCCAGCTGCTGTGTCTGAGCCACGACGAGGGCCTCCACCTTTGGGACCTGGGTCAGCTGGACACAGAAGAGCCCCTCACCATTTTCAGCACCTCTGACGCCCGCGGTCTGACTCTGCTCTCCGGCGGAGGAGGCGTGGATTACCTGGTGGGAGGGAGGTGGCTGGAGGACGCGCAGAAGCTGCTGGTGGTCGGAGGGGAGAACAGCGGGGATCTCCACCTGATGGAGTGTGACGACAGGGGGCTCCGTCTGCTCAGGAGCCTGAAGGGCGGCCATGCCTCCACTGTGCGCTGCTTCATATGGGACGCAGCAGGGGAAGCTCTGGTTACAGGGGGAGAGGATGCTCAGCTGTTGCTGTGGAAACCAGGAGGGGAGGAGCTTACGCCGGGGAAAAAGGAGTCAATGAAGAGCAAGTCAGCTTTGAAACTCAAATCAAGGCCGCATAAAAAACACGGCTACCAGAGAGAGAAGAAGGGGGCGAGACTAGACTGTGAATGAGATGTCAAAAATACTGAGTCATTTGAACTGGACTGTGGAGGCTGCTCACTTCTTTGGCAACACAAGATTATTATCCATATTTATTGTTTTATAAAATCACTTTGACAAACTCCCCCATGACATTCAGATCCTCTCTATTGATTGAAACCACTAAAGTGAAAGTATGCTCGCAGCAAGGGCGACTCTCCGTGATCTTTGTTTTTCTCAAGTTGATTCACTGCATTTTGAAATGTCAAAAGTAGTATTATGGGATATTTTAAGATGATAACTTTTCAGGAAAGACTGTGCCAAACTACATCCTGTGTGTAATACTTCTGTAGGGCTGCACAATATATCGTTTGAGCATCGTCATCGTGATGTACGTGTGCGCAATAGTCACGCTGCAGAGCCCCGATGTTGGAAGCGAATGAATTTATGTAATTTAAAGATACTTTTTCCAAATATCGTGCAGCCTTAAGGTCCTTTCACACCGGGACCGTATCAAAATTTGCCTCTGAATATTTTGTAAATTCGCGTTGTATATTTGCGTCGGTCCCGGTGTGTAAGGACCTTTATACTACAACATGGCTCTGTAGTAGAAGAGTCCTGTTGTGTTGTTGACAGAATTGGTGATGTTACACAATGGTAATGTACCTGTATGAACTTTGTGGAAAGGTGTAACCAGCATCATTTTAACAATGAGCAAATATTGACATAAAACAATCACACTTTTTACAGTTTCAACATTTTAAGTGTTGTTTTAAGAGGTTATGAACTTTTTCACCAGTTGTTTTGCACATGATCATGTTTGTCAGCTTTAGGTTGAGGCGTCTTTCTTATCAACAGTTCACAGGCTGAGATACTCCAATCAGTATTTATTACTCACATCAGAAACGTGACATAAATCCTGTATTTAACAGGGAGGTCAACATTTTCCACACTGAGGCAACTCAACCTGCTTTTTTATATCACCATTTGATAAAACACTCCGATTTACCACCAGTAGAGCAGGAGTAGGTTTAAAATTCATTGATAAAATTCTCTCAAAGTCATTAAAAATTGTGAGTGTAAAGCTCAAAAACAGGATTTAGTATCGATTTAGGATTTAGTCGAGTAAAAGAGGAACTTTTTAAAGCTTACATTTGAAGATGTTAGAGCTGGAAAGATAACACAAATGCACCTTTACACTCAGAGTGAACCTTTGTATCCACACCTGGTGTTAATATCTGATTTGTTATCTGGATTTATGGTTAAATCTTAGTGTACAGCTTTGATAGGAAGACCTGCAGAAGACCTTGAGGAGTTATAAGAAGACACTATATCACATATATAATGATTTTTGAGGTGTAAGCCTTTAGATTTATCCTGCATAGTTTGATCCATACATGCGTTTAAGATTCAGATTAAATGTCATTTTAAGGCGGCGTCTCCTGCTTGATGGAGTTTGTGCCTTACTATGAACCAGTTTCAGCTTGTTGTGAAGATCACCCATGCTGAAAAAGTGACAGAACTTGTGAACACTTTGCCAGTATGCAAATAAAGCCCCTTTAGTTTTTGAGTTTTCTTATCTTTTCATAATCTTGATCCCACACAGGGAACAAGAACCACTCTAGGCAGCTCCAAGAGGATATATCATATTATGATGAAGTGTTGTTTGTCTCCTGATGGGGGCCATGTCTTTAAAAAGTGCACAAGAAATAGTATTCTGTGAATCCATGAGAACCTCATCCTTCACATTTAATAAGAAACTGTTATTTAAAATGCTTTCCTCGTGAAATTAAATCTTGTACCAGGTTGTGAAAACATGCGTTGTTGTGAGTAGTTTTTATTTTCATTTTAAATCTGGTGGGCGGTCTTTTAAATATCCTGAAAGTCATTGGAGCCGCCCAGCACAGCAGGATCACGCTGAGAGAGCAGCTTTCACTCTCAAATGGCAAAGAGTGGAATAACATGATTGGCAGTGCAAGTGTGAGTCTGTGTTTCTGTTTGTGACTGAAGTGAAATCCTGCAGTGATTAAAAAATCTCATTCATATTAATATGGACTGACAGTGTTCCTTCATGGTGATGAAGTGTGTCTCTTTGTTTTGTTTTAATCTAAGTTTACACTTTGTGATAGTGACAGAAAACACACAAATCAACATCAGGTTCTTTTATTCTCATAATGCTTGTTTTAACCCTGTACTGTGTTGATTTCTTTGCAGCTATACGTCATCATTTAATTAGACACAATCAGAAACAGCAACTAGATTATGTTATTTTTTTCATATTCTTAGGTGTTATGATATTATGTACTTGTCAGGTTATGTTACATGCTTTGTCATTTACATCGCAAGGCCTCTGTTTATTAATAAATCCGATTATTTTCAATTCTTTTATGATTTGAACCAGCAGATCTGACTCATCTTCGCTCTAGAAATACAAACTTTTGCAGATTCGCCCTTTTTGACCAAAGAGTAAACATTAGTTATTTTAAACAGCAATTTGCCAGAATGATTTGTTGCACTTGAAAAAAGCTAATGACAATTTTGTCCTGAAGTGTCATCATGTAGTGTGCTAAAGTACGCCCTCAGGGTGGTTGTATATTACGTGGTTACCTAACTGTTATGCTGCATTATACAGTCAAGCTGTGGTGTTTGTACGGTGGCCGAGAACCGCCACTGCTGCCAATAAAAAAGAATGCAAAAAATGAAATAAGTCACAATGGAAGTTACCAATGCAGAAAAAAAAAGAAAGAAAGCTAAGCCCACTGCAAATAAAAAGAGAAACGGTGCAGATTTAAAAAAAAAAGCCACAATGGAAGTTAACGACACAAAAAAAAAATAGTGATGCAAAAAAAAAAAAAAAAATTACTGCAAAAATAAAAGGATGCAAATAAAAAAAGCCACAACAGAAGTGAGCTGCTGGGGACCAATAATGATGATGCACCGGTGTTTTACGATCTAGGCACAGAAGACGAGCAAAAAAGTAAGTGAAAAGGTTATTGATTAATTTCGCTTTGTAAACTTTTCAATGTGTCATTTGGTTAGACCATGTAGCGCCTGAGTAGATATGAAGTTGATCTGAAGCTAACGTTACATCGTCATCCTCCAGTTCAACAACGGCTCTGCTCCACTCCGGCACAGCATTATAATCAATGTGTGTCATTTCACAGAATCTGTCCGGTGTCCGGCTCCACTCCAGATTGGCTCCAGCGGCCAGATCAGATACACAAGGCTTCTACATTTGCCAGATGCCGGAGCGCGGCGCGTCAATTCAGTGCAGTGCAGCACGAGCAGCAGTGGAAGTTGCTTGCAGTTACAGAGTTAAATAGCCGATTAATTTTCAAAATAAAATAAAGTCAATACATTGAACTGTTCTTAATTTAATAATTGGAGAGGCCAGGGTTGTGGGATGTGGGTGTTTATATACACCGATCGGCGGATCTCAGTCTATGACTCCCGGGGAAACATGCGAGAACTCGTGAGATCTCATTGGGATCACCGGGCCAATTCCCAGGCAGGGAATCGGCTGGGAATCAATGTCTGCTCTGCTCCCGAGCTGATCGTGTTTCTTTCTTCTCCTCCCTCTGAGGCAACATCTGTAAGAGTTTTTCATGCTGTCGCTCTAAGATGTGATTGTTTTGAGTTTAATAAGGTTGCCTTTAGAAAAATCGACCGTGATCTGAAAAAATAAATGCCGCAATATCACAGGACGGGAAAACGTTGCTGATGTGAACGCTTGTTTGACAGGATACAGGTTCAAAAAATAATAATATTGACATCCGAAATAATCGCACGACAAAAACGCTCCCGGTGTGAAAGGACCGAAAGACTAAAACTGATTCCTTTGCCGGCATTTCCGCATCAATGTGTATCGGCCTGGCCTGGACGGAGTCAAACTCCTTGCTGGAATTATGGTCCCAGTCCACCCCTGCCTGGAATGACGTTGCACAGAAACCCGTCTATAAGCACTGTTAAATCTCACTTTTTATATTGTGATATATATCGTCATCGACTGATATGGAAAAAATATTTCATGATAAACTTTTTCCCATATCGCCCAGCCCTAAATGAAAGATATACACAATTTAAAAAGTAGTAAGAAAAATAGTAGATCACAAGGTCTGAGTAGTACAGCCATAATGGGACCCATATCTTTCCAATCCGTGACGCCCCTGCCCTTCACTCCCCTAAATGTATGTCCGTGGACGTGCTGTAACATAAGCCTCACGCACAGTAGACCTGTATATGTTCTGGTTATGTAACTCCCTTCCTGCATATAAACCCCTTTCTTGTCTCTGGGCTTTGCAGGGAAATCCACTCTTCCTCCACACGGACTAAAAAACACCCGAATCTCGAGTGGAGCTGGGTCAAAGTGTGGGTTAAAAGTATTGACGCGAAGGGCTGGGCCTCGGACAGGTTTAGCCTCATTCCAGCACGCTCACACACACACACACACACACTCATACACACACACTTTGCTTTCTGCCCCGATCTCTTTCCTTGTCCCTTCTCCTCCACCTAACCGACAGATTCAGAGCCTCGTTACCCTCTTTTGTGATTGACACACCCTTCTATCCAATCACAACGCGCGGCTCTTCTAACTACAACCAATCAGCGTCGTACGTAGCTCTTAACACGTCAAGCACGCTACGCTGCGTTTCTGTTATGTGTGCCATGGTCTCAACCCAGCAGTGTTGACAATAGGGTGAAAAGAAACAGCCCCGAATCCTCAACGAGCTAAGGAAATATCTCAAAATCCAGGGGTCTGGGGAAGACAAGCAATCGGATCAGTAACGGGAATGTAATTGCGTTAAATTGATCGTTTTATAAGCGTGCTTTGTCATTAATGGGAGTTTGAGGATTATTATTATTCCGTTGGAAAGGAAAAGGTACTCGTGGGTTTGGCTGTTTGAGGCCAGATTTTCCTGCTGGTCCGCCGCCGCTGCCGCTGCTGCCGCTGCTGGGGAAAGGCTGGAGGTAGCCTTAAGTTAGCCCGGTAGATTTTTCCCAAACATAGGATAAACTCTCCGCCGCCGTCTCCGTTGCGAACCGCAAAGGATCAAGGTAAAGTACCACCACAATTGGAGGGGCTCACAGTCACTCGGTCGGTCGGCTGCAGCAGCTTGTCGGACTCGGGAGTCGGGACGGTTGTGTGTGTTACCCCCCCAACCCAGTCCGCCTGCCTGTCAGTGTTTGAGCGCTAAGCGTACGGTGTATTAGCACTGTATTTACATCTGGGATGATGGGTGATCGCCCGAGCCCGCCCAGGTAAAGTTGTTTTATTAGCACACATGTTAAGTCAAATTTGATCCTTTTACTGCTTTGAAAATCAGCTTCTTGTTTTTGTTTTGCAATGAAAGCTAAGCTGCTGAAGCTAATGAAGCTACATCTTCAACTTGAGCTAACCCGCGATAGCCGCCGCACTAACGTTAGCTAGCGACCCCTAAAAATGCACTTTTTCTTGGATTAAACTTGACGCTTTTGGGGAAATTTTTGCAAAGCATTCAAGTTTGTGTCTTTGTAATGTTATATGCGCTCAATTGGGAGCTCTAACTTTCAATGTTAAATGCATTAGCCGTTGTAAAGGGGTTGGTCTGGATGCTAATCGGCTAAGCTAGCTAACGTAAGTGAGGTTATCGCGCTGTCAAGTTTGAGCTGCTTTTCTGCTGCTGCCAGGCCCCAACACGGCCAAGATCACACCAGATCTCATGAAAAAACACCCTGATTTTTGACCTTATGCGGGTGATGGCTGCTTCAGCTGATAACAGTCAATAAGTAACGCTTAATTGCACTGTAAATGAATACAATCTTTATTGTGGTGGTTAATGACTGATCTTTCCAGGTCTGAATGGCTCTGTTGGATGCAGATGTTTTAGTCTCTTTCTCTTGTAAAAGTGGTTTTAAATCTGATTTTTAAAGAAGTTTGTTGTTCTTGTCAAGTGTGTGGTGAGAACTTTAGAGAATTTGATCCAAGATACTCAGTTTAAATCAACTTGTGTCTATGAATGTGCCTCTGGCCTGTCATGTTTTCTTGTTTTAACATCATGTGCAGTGTATTAAAGGAACAGTCCGTATGTATTATCCGTCCATTCAATTATTCCATTCAATCTAGTAAACGAAAAACAGAAAAAACGAGTCAATATTTTGTTTATTTGTTTTTCCTGTATAACCAAAAAACAAAAAAATAATGTTTGTTTTCGTATTTTCAGCTCAAAATCTTACGTTGTGATTAAGGATGTAACCATATGAAAATGTCACATCATCATTATTGTAACCAAAATTATCACGGTTATCAATATTATCACGGTATTGTTGAATTGTGTTCAAAATGTTAAAAAAGTACTTATACATGTCCTGAAATCATTTTATTTTGAAAAAATAATCAAAATAACTCACAGAATTAACTTTTCCTTAACCCTAAATAACAGAGGAAAGATGAGCTGAAAAAATTAAAGATGGGGCCTTAAAAGAGCCAGAGGTAATCAACACTAGTACTAGTAATAACAAAGTACAGAGTAATGTGCCAGTAGCATAATCATTAACATAATAACAAATAGATATATATTACCAAGACAAATAGATGATCTTCGAGCACTGAATAGCCTCTCGGATGGCACGCTGGTTGCTGGGATGCACAAAAGCTTCGTGGCAAACCTTATAACCCCCTCGGACTTTGTTTCTTTGACGGCGGAAAAATCTCTGCAACACGGTCGGCAGAACTGCCCACAAAACTGCCCTCCAACATGTTTGCAAGTTGTATACTGGGCAATGTTTTAATGGTAATTAAAATTTGGAACGGTAGTACTAACCGTCAGATCATTTTACCAGTAATCGTTACATCCCTAGTTGTAACAGAGCTCTGGTTGTAATTGTTTCTACAGTCATATCTTCCTTCTTCAGCGTGACCCTCCTGGCGGCTTTGAATAATATGTAAGAAGCGTCCATCTCAATGACAACAGGTTAGCCTTTCTCTACCGCTCTGGCCTGGAGTTTTTGGTCCACGTTGTTAGCTACTCTGTTGCGTAATGCGCATGTGCGAACAGTAGAAAGGTGCTGTGGAAAATGGGAACATCAATAACCCGAAAACAGAAAGTAGATTTATTATTTTGTTTTCGTTTCCATCTCTACTATATATTCTGTTATGAACTGAAAATCCAAAAAACAAACACTAATCTTTTATTTTTTGGTTATATAAACAAAATATTGACTCGTTTTTTCGTTTACTAGATTGAATGGAATAATTGAATGAACGGATAATACAGAGACCGTAGTATTTAGTGGTATTTGGAAGAAAAAGGCATGATGGAAATGGAATATGACATTCATAGTATGTTGAATTACTGTGTAATCATCTGATTACTAAATTGTTCTGGTTTGGTTAAGTGACAATGAGGCTTTGATATCTACAAAGGAGTGGGCCCCTTCCACTCTTGCACTGCCTTGTGGAACAAATGGCTTGTAACATATACATGCATTTTAGTAATGAGTGAATGTTGTGCAAAATGCACCGTTAGTGGACAAAGCAGGAGATAGTGGTTGTTGTGCACATGACAAATATTGATAGATTTCTTGATGGTAAAATGTTGGCCAAAGGGGGATTATACTTTTTCTTTACATAATATTTAGTTTTATCTTCATGTGATCAAACATAAATCATATTAACACATAAACAGACATTCAGGACAAAGCAGAAAAAATAGAAAGGAAAAAAAAAGTAAATATGTGCGTACATCAATAAATGACACCCAAAGTGTGCTGTAGTGCGGCAGGTTTGTCAGTTTGCTCAGTATCAAAGTCATACTCATATAATTTTTTCTTTCAGTTTTCTGGAGAGATTTTTGAGGTTGATTTGCATCAACTGATAAACTGCAAGACGATTTCATGATTTATCACATATTTTATGACATGAGTGAGGACAGTGTAAATGCTTGCATGGATTTGAGTATCTTGGGTATGATCAGGTGTTTAAGATGCACTGTTTTTGTATTCGTGCATTGGTTGATGATCATATCTTGATTTCAGAAACCAAGATAGTGGTGCGTTTTGTTTCATCTTGAAGATCAGAGATCCTGAGACGTCAGCCAGATTGCCCTTGTAAAGTCAGAGCTCTTACTAGAAAACTCAGTAACCCCAAGCTTGAAACCCAAGATGGCCATCAGTAGAGAAAACGTATTTTTGATAGTTTTTATCAGCAGCTTAGTTTTGCTCTGTGTATTTAAGCCAATCAGTTTAATTGTATTGTGCAAGTTCTTACTGAGGAGATGTCGACGCGTTGCTTTTGCTAATTTTCAGGTCGTGTCTTGTCATTGCCCGGTAGCTAACAGCAACTTTCCGACTGTAACTGGAGTGCAGTCAGCTCATATGTGACATCATGTGTCACTCTGACTCTGGAGGTAACTGGAACACACTGTAAGCGCAAATTTTTGCTCAGGCAGACAACAGGAAACTGTGGGATTCACAGGTGCAGCTCAAGAATGTGTTAATAAATTCAGTCAGTGAAATTTCGATTCAGCACACACCAATTTAAATATTTAGACTTTTTTTTTGTTTGAATCTTGATAACCGCAGACAACAATAAAAAATCCACGATATCAAGACGTTAAAATATTTTAGAAAAGTCTGGTTTCTTGTCAGTTATATATAAAATAAATGGGAGTCTTATTTTTTTTAATTAAATCCCCCTTACTCAGGTTTCAGACAGCTGCCAACTATTTGAACAGGTTCAGTATCAGCCAAATTAAGTGTCAATAAAATAGACTTGGCAGCAGCATCGAGAGTGTCTTATTTTTTAAGTGATGCAGACACCAGGTTTTGTCTTTTTGGTAGAATTATATATATCAAATAAGGGAGAGGACACCATGATGATGACCTTTTCCACCAACACTTGCTGTATATCTTCAGTCATCGCCGCCTTGTCCATCGTGGTGGCGTTAAAAGGCTGACTCCAGCCTTCTCCTGTTGCTGGAGATGTGGTGAATTAGTCATATTTGCAACATGACGTTGGGTATCCAACACTGCTTGGCGACAGTGGTTTATTTTTCTCAGCTTTCAAAGTTGCAGAGGTTTGTTTATCACAGGCGTCTATGCAAATAAGAAGCTAGTCTACAAGTATTTATGATACCATCAATGATACAGACCAGGCTTGTCTGTATACATGTAAATGACATATCCCAAATATGATCCAAACCAGGATAAGGCTCACAACTGGGAGACTCGAGTCAGTATAAAATAGTTGGTAATATATCTCTGTATTGATATTTATCCCACCCACAGTGACGTCGAAGTGTCATGGGTGAGGGATGCAGAGAGAGAAAGAAAGCTCCAGGCAGACTGATCGTACTGGACTGAGGAAAACAAGCTCCTTCTTCAACCTTTTTTTTCTCTTTTCTTTCACCTGGCCTCTGCCCTGTCAGTCGTGTAGGAATGGCAGCGGCATGCCAGAATCCAGGTGTGGCTTTATGCATTTAATGTGATGGTATTTGCAGTGCGTGTAGGCGTTTCGTCACGTTTTGATACCGTCAAACAGACTCATCTCTCCAAGGTTTGCAAATGTCACGTCACCTTGAAGGGAAGGTCCTGCCGCGGCTGAGGAGGTTCAACAAAGTCCAAAGTCTCTGGTGTTTTATGATGGCTCTGGTGTAGTAACTGCTCCCTTTTTATCAGCAGTGTGTGTGCTGAAAGTTGCTGAGTTCATTTTTTTCATGGCTGTGAAGAGTGTAATTATCCCATGAATGAATCACTCCAATTAGACGTGCTGTCAGATTGCAGCACTCAATGAAAAGTGGAAATGGCAGACTTTGGGGAGAAGTGAATGGTAAAAGGATGAGAAAGAGTAGAAGTGAGAGTCATTCTTGTTTACCACTTCATTTGTATTTTCTATTTTAAAGTGACTCTAGATGTACATATGTGTAAAACAACCTGTTCCCACTGCTTTGCATGGATAATTTGTTGGTTTGAGAGACAAGGGGACTCTCTTAGTTGAGGTTCCTGGAGGACTTGAAAATGAAGGACATTTCTAATGCTGCTGTATTTCTCTGAGTAAAGTGGGAATCATCAGGAGGGTTTGAACACATAACACTAATGACTGAGGTGTTAATTAGCGAGAATCCAGGGGTACAGTGTGTATTATGATAAAGGGAGCACAATTCTAAGCAGGTCCATTTGTTGCCATTTATAAAAATCTTCAATTGCAAAATCTTGTGCAGCTTTTCTTACAGATGAAAAAAGTAGAATTTGCATTTTGAGTCCTTATAACATCCATTGTCATCGCACATTTGCACCATGAAATGGATATTTTCCTTTGTGAATTGAGTAACTTGAATTGTTGCGTGTCCTATTAATCAAAAATAGTTGAGCAATTTTGCAGTTTCACTCAACATAATGTATTACAATATAATATAACCCAGCATCAAAATCATTCTATCATCTGGGTTTTTCTGTTTGAACAAGTTGTCACAAACGCTCCCCGGTGCCAGCTTGTCGTAATGTGACTAATAGATGGTAACTTTTTCCCGTAACGTCGGATTAAATGTTCTAATATTTTGGACCGCTCATCTGGAAAACCAAAGTGGGCTCTTAGATGTTATTGATTAAACCATCAGTCAGTTGAAAGGGAAGATAATCAGGAGATAAACTGATTTGTATCTGGAGACATGGATGTGATTACTTTCAGAACTCGAATGTTTTGGCTTTGTCACAGTGTTTTTCAGTGTGAAGTGAAGCAGAAGTGGCTCGTATGTTGAAATCTTTTAAGACCAGTTGTGAAATGATTGGTAGTTGATGGTGAAGGTGGCGAATCTTTCGAGTTCCTACAATAATAATTTGTTTGACCACAATGTTGCAGCACTTTCCAGTTTGTAGCATATTAGATAAGATTATATTAGATTTTTCCTTTATTTTATTATTAAGGAGTTATCTGTGGGACATTCAGTATGCGTTCATTATTATTTTGAGTTTTTAAATATATGTATATTTTTTGCTTTGATTATTATTTTTGTTGTTTTTAATATTCTCATTGGTTTAGTTTGTTTTCAATTGACTATCTTGTGTTGCATGCACATGTCCGAAAAGGAATAAATAATTAAAATGAAAAGTGTAATGAAAATTATGGATACCAATTGCAGAGCTAGCACCACCAGCCTTCAGTCCTTTTGTAAGGTAAATTCAATCCTGCCAAATTGCGCCATGCTTCAAGATATGCACCTGTCATATGCGCTTGTTTACATCGTGGTGGTAGAGAATAGTCATCGTTGTTGGAGCTACAGCCCCCACTAGTGGCAGGGGGCTGCACTACAGCTTTTACACGACACATGAATAAGCACAATACTAACTTGTTTCACTGAGTTTTGTCAGTGCTGAATTTTTGTGCTGACTTGTAAAGATAACAAGAGCTTATCTCATAGCCGGCTCAACATGCTCCATCCTAGTGACATCTTTGTCTTCGTCATTGTTGCACAAAGAAAACATGATGTTTGAAGACATAACTAAAGATTTATGCTTAAAATTTGTATTTTAGCTCAGAGAACTTGTCATTTGTGTCGTGCAGAGAATCTACTAACTATCTCTGCACTGTTGAGCAGCTTTGGAAACTAATATGGCTTATCCAAAAGTAATATAGCATGTATTTAATTTTGGAGTGAGCTGATGGCACCACAGAGTTTATTAGTCGTCGAAAACGACTACCATGAGACTGTCTGCATTAATATCAGGCTTCCACTAATACACTGTGTTTGTGGACTGAACAGCTGCATCCTTTAATCCCCTGTTGTGTTCTGTAATAGCTGATTCCAACAGGGAATGATCCTTTTACCTGCTTGTTCATGTTCTCCGTAGTTCGAGCTTCTTAAGGAACCGCAGGAGGCTGAAGTTTTACAGTAAAGGAGCCAGAAGTCCGACAATGGTTGACTTTCACGGCTCTTCTGAGGCGGTTTGAATTTTAACTCTGGACCACAGGCGAGATCCTTGAGCTCTCCTCCTGCCAGCCTCCCTTTTATCTCCTATATGTGTGTGTGAGTGTGTGTGTGTGAGTGTGTGTCCCTGTTCGTCTTTGCGTGTGCATTTTGTTCCCTCACTTCAGCTCCTCTTGCTCTGCCTATTTGTTGACTTCCTGTCGAACAGCAGCTCCTTCCCTCCCTCCCTCCTCTTCCTCCCTTTCTGTTGCTCTCCCTGTTGTTCGCTGCGCCCCCTCCTCTCTCTCTCCCTCTCTCCCCTTCTCCTTGTTCTTTAATCCCACCCTCCCCGCGCCTGTTCCGATGTCATCTGGTCTCTTATGTAAGAGGCATGGGAGGAGAAACGGCTTTGGTGCTTGGGTGCCATACGCCCGACCTGCCGCCGTAGTCTCGCTCTCCCTCATGCGTTGTGGTGGCACCGGAGCGTTTTCTCGCCATTAGCCGGCTAGTCAGAGACACAGAGATAGACAGCGTGGCACTGATGGTTGTACATGGGGATTCCAGTGCCCCTTTGCACAGGTAAGAGGAGCTCCTGTAACTCGAGGATGACGGCAGTTCGTCTTCTCGTAGCGTTCAGCAGGTGGCGAAAGCATGAAAGCGTTGACAGCTCTCTTGAATATTCATGTTGCCTTAGGTGATGCTTTTCTCTCTGCTTATTGAGACGTGCAACTTCACAGATGCATCCTAAAAGGCAGTCCAGAGAGTCTCTTTGATCAGAGCTGAATCAAGCTGACTGGCTGTAAGAAGTGGTTTGTGCGGAGTAGTGCTGCGACGTTGTTGTTTTAAACGAGGACAGGATATGAGAAATGTGCAAGCTTAGTTTCTGTAAAAGTCCTTTTTTCTGATTCAAGCGCTTACATTGTTTAAAGAATGGAAAAATTCCCACTGTAGTTTCCAAGATGTCCTCTTTGAATGTCTTGTAATGCTTGACTAAGAGTCCAAAACCCAAAGGTATTTATTTAAAGTGGAAACAGAAGATGGATGGTCTCATCGTTTAGAAAGGATAGCTAAATCTAAAAACTGATCGTTGAAATAGCTGCAGAGTCATTTATTTATCCTTCTCTTGCATAACGAGAAACTTTCCCAAACCTTTTAACCTACGAGTGAAACATTTCTGGACTCTGAATGTCAGCTGCATCTCATAGCTCCAGGAATTATGGATTTACCCGTGTAGAGGCATAAAAGCTGCTGGTCTTAAATGCATCAAAGAGTGTGTGTACGTCAAAGCTGTTCCTCCGTAAGCCAATAGCTGGAGGTAATCTCACAGCGAAGGTGATTTTGACCCGCTTTGTCTGGTCTTTGGAAGGCGTGGGGGGGTGTCAGTTTGCAGGTTTTGATTGTGTTTTCATTGACTCGCTTTGTATGAGATTTGAATGGATCCGCGCTGTAGTCCAAGACAGCATGTTCTCGCTCATGCGTCACGCTTTCTCTCCAGCCACGGGTTTATTTTTACCTCCTCATGACAGTTCTCTAACACCTCAGGACAGTTACCTACCAGACTGGCGGCTGGAGGTGTTAGAGCCGAGCAGCCAGCAAAACCGCCTGATCGGTGTTCAGCTGCAGAGGTATTTTCCCAGCCTGCTGATGATGCTGATGCCTAACAGAAGGCTTTTCATGAGGACGGATCATTAACAGCTGTTTGGTTATGAAAGAGAGGACAATGAGCTGTGTTGACAGATGACTCCCTGTCATCCACATGTAATTGGGTTTGTCATATGTGAATCTGTGCTGCCTGTCTGCCTGTCGGGCACCATTTAAAAAATCTATCCTCTTAGAGCGAGGGATGTCAATCTATGTAATTATTACATAATGACTGACAGAAGTTTCAAACGTCCATCAAAAGTTGTTTGCCAAATCCATTTGTTGGTTCAGTAGACATTATGGTTTTAATTAAATATTTGCATATCTGTTTTTTTGAAGTGTCAAAGTGGTTTGGAGTCCGAAAGCTGAGATATGGATTTTTAAGCAGAAGTGTCAACACTCCAGTACAAAGCTGTAACGAGTCTTCAGAGTATATCCTGAGCAGAGCACACACTCATGAAGGAGAGCAACACGTCTTTAAAGCGCCAGTGGCTGTGAATGTTTATAAACTAACAAAGGGACTGAACATTTTTACAACTAGTGCTCGACTGATTTTAGTTTTTCAATGGCCGATCCTGATTATGAGAGAGCAGGTTGGCCAATGGTTGATTTATAAAGCCAATATCACACTGACCTATACTTATTTATTTGATATTTAAAGTACTGTCCATGAGAGATGGGAAAAAATGCATTTTAGTCAGGCAAGGGTATTGGTGGTATCGCACTAATGAGGGCTGATACCAATAAGAAAGAAACATTAGAGAGAAATTTACTAGGGATGCACAATATTTCGGCCAACATTTTTTTTTGTCCGATATTTATATTGATACTAGGGCCCAAATCGGCCAATTTCCAGCGTAGAGAACACCAAATATCCTCTGTAATAGAATTTATCTGTGACTCTTATTTTGAAAGTCTATTTGTTTTGGATTTGTTTTCATAATTCAGAGCAAACATTCTTGTTATTCTTCTTGTTAAAAACAGACATTTGATAATGTACCTTCTGCCTGTTTATGACCCTTCAAAATAAATTCACACAGTCATGTATAAGATAGAAAAATAAGATAAGATATTCCTTTAAATTCAGAATTACAGCAGCATAAAAACAATTACATAGAGAGAAATTAAAGAATAAAGAAACTAAGAGTTAAAAAAAAAGATGCATACATGAGTCTTATTTACTATATACATGTGTACAGCATATACATAGAAATATGATTTATTGCACACTGAGGTTTGGAATGTATACTCATATCATTTTTTCAATCCTTATTTTTTGCACAGGTGTCATTTATGGCAGTGTTGATATTAACTTTTCAAAAGTTTCAATTTGCGTCAAATTTACCAAAAACTTCACATCTGCTCACAACAATTAATGAAACTCAGCTTATCTGAACACATGCGGCTGACTGCTGGAGCCTGTTACTGTAATAACCAGCAGCAGCTCTGTAGTCTTCAACACATGATCCTGTGGCATGCATAAGACCACCCCCCTCCATAGTGAAAGACTGAACAGAGGGGCAGACAGACTGAAGAAACCGTGATCAGATAAATTCCTGGAAGTTTTTCTGAGCGGCATCCTTGTTATGTTCCAAAGTTGCTTTTTCATACATGTCCCTTACAGCATGTGGTCTTTCCTCTCAGATAAGAGGGGTGGCGGGTGAGTCTCAGCAGACAGGACACGACACAAAAGCACGCAGCAGAAAACAGTGTGTGATATTAACAGCAGACAAAGCAACAGAGACCTTTACTGTGACCTAATGACATAACTCCTGTCGCAATGTCACATCAGCTTACTCTCAGTTTTTGCAGAGATTTAACAAGAGGGCTGAAACTTCGCATGTGTGACTACAACCTCAGAAACAGCAGGACTAACTGATTCTTACTGATGCATTTGTGCAGAAATTAGCCAAAAAATGACACTTTAAACTGCGTATTAAACATGCTTGTCAATTCGATGCAGTGGAATTACATCAGCGCCCTGTCAGACTGTATTCACAGATGGAATCCACGCCACTCTACAACTATTAATCACTCATAAACTGGCAGTACGCTGTAAATGATGATGGACGATCAGCTGTGCAGCTTCACATGTCTAAGAAATGCTTTCATCATTAGTTAGTGCTGTCCATATCCTGAGGCAGCAGGATGATGTGTGTGTGTGTGTGTTTTATTGAAGCTCAGTATCTGCTCTCCTCCTCTATCCACCGTTAAGTACGAGGTCTGGTGGACAGACTCTCCGACCGCCTGTGTGACTTTGACAGAGCATTAGAGAAGCAGCCAGCTCAGAGTGCCGCCCGCAGCAGCCTCTCGTTCACGTCTTATTACGTAACCATTTGCGCCGGAGCCCTTATTCTTTTCTTCTCCGGCCTGCGTGTCATCCAGCTGAGTTAGCAGATTTATAAATATTTATCTCACACTTCACGGTATAACTTTAAAGCTCACGGCAGCAGAATGCCCTCAAGGTAAAGGGCAAGTGCAAAAATCTGTTGGAAAAGTTTGCACTTTGATCAGATCGTGTCCTCATAAACAACATTTACAGGATGCATCACCAAAGAATAATAAACATGTATTGAGGACATATGTTCTTATAAACCCTCTGTAAGAAATGAAAACAAATATTAATATTAAGTAAAAAATGAGTTATACCTTTAAGGTTGACCTGATTAAAAACCTTTGTCTTCCAGATTAATCTCAGTATAGCGTGTCAACATAAAGACATTAAATAAATGTGCAACACTGTAATGCAGAATGTAGCATTTAGCTTGGTAAATGAGACGATATAATATATCACAAGACATAATATCGCAATACTATGCTGTATCGATTATTTCTCCCACCCCTATTTATTAGCATGAAAGGTTATGATTTCATACTCTATAAAACTGCACATGTGCGCATAAAAAATCAGCAGAGGCAACAAATGTTTTTTCATGTAAATACCATGGTGAAGTTAGTTTTAGGTTCGATATCTGACGAAAATTAAGTGTGGATCTACTGGTGTCTTCTCACTCTCCATAACCGGGAAAAGACACAGCATTGCAGTTTAATCTACTCGGCATCCTCGCTGTCAACGTTGGGTGTTGAATAAGGGACCGTCAATAAATTACCGGGTGATGTTCTCAGAAAAGGCTGCTTTCCTTCAATAGCTTCCATGTCATGTGACCAATTGACCTAAAATTGATTTCAAATAATATTACTAAGGTCGAACAATAAGACACACCTCTTTATTTTATATCGTGATACTATGCTGTATCGATTTTTTTCTCCCACCCCTAGTATTAGTATTAAAGGTTATGACTCCATACTCCATAAAACTGCAAACCACTGATATTATAAACTCCAGCAGCTCTGTCATAGATATTTAAATAGATTGACACATATCACAGCAGCTCTATCTGTACATATACTACATTGAGCCAATCAGAGATGAGTTTAGTGAGAGACCAAAGCAATAGTAGTAACCCAAACCACTGCATAGTGAGGTGTTTTTTTCCCAAGATCACAAGTTGACCTTGAACCTCAAAGTCAAAGCCAGCAAGGATCTTCAAAGTGCTTGTTGTCATAATGTTAGCATAAAAACATCCGTCATACTAACCCTGTCATTCTTTGTGGTTAGGTACTTTTCTGAATTACGCCAGTTTGTTCCTAATGAGCCTCACAGCCTTAGACATACTCTCATACTCTCATACCCTGGTCGTGTCTGCCAGCTGAAAAGAAAAAACAGACATCTTGGATTTTACTCTCCTGAATGTTCCCTCCTGGGTGTGGTTCAGAGACGGAGTTTTGCAGTGAGAAGTGTTACCGCTCTGACCGCCTGGGTCGGCAGTTTGTTCGAAGTTTTTTCGACGTAATCAGCTGCAAACACACAGCCGTGGACGCTTCCTCGGCTTCCTCCCACTGAGGCGACGCCTCACAGCCGCAGAACCTGCTCTATTGTTGTGGGTAGACGCTGATGTTTTTAGTCTGTGTGTGTGTGTGTGTGTGTGTGAGTGAGTGAGCAGTGTGTTTGTGTATTGTACCAGTGCTCAGCTGAGGCCCATGCTGGGAAAATGAGGCTGTCTGCTGCTTCTGCACAGGTTTGCTGTGAGAGTCATAAAACATTACAAGGTGGTGGACTTATCCAGAGCCGAAATAAAGTCAGCGGGGATGTTTACTCTCTGTTTTTATTTTTTTCCACTTGTTGTATTTGAAGTTTGGCTTTGAGAGCTGGCTTATAAATGAAAACTCTGCTGTCGGGCTGCATGCTAACGGCTGAACATCTGTACAAAACTCTGGTCATCATTTTTCATTCGGAGCTCCTAATAGTTCACTGCTGATAAATAAGATGTCAGAAAAAGACTCATCTGTGTTAATGCAAAGCTAACTGTATTAGTTAGAAAACAATTATAGTAAAATTTTCCAAACATAGAATTGTATGCTGTATTCAAGTTAGAGCTAAAAATGAAAATATGAGCAACAAGTGAAGTTTTTCAGTTGATGGAAACACAGGAGAAGACGACTAATTTTAGCAATACCTGATCTGAAAAACACAGATTTTTATAAATTAAAATTCAGAAGCATTTCAAGTTTAAAATCTGACTAAAGGTCCTTACACACCTGGAACGACGCAAATGTACGATGCGAAATTACGAAATATTCTGAGGCGAATTTTGGTAATATGGTATGTTGTATCTGAACAGGTTAGCTTACGAGCTAAGGTTACTTAGCACAGATGAAAGTTAAAACAAAAACGTTTAGCAAATTGTTAAAGCACACAAACCATCGTCATATGAGAAATCCAACGCTATGACTCTCCACAAGTTGTCCTTCAGGTCGTTATCTTTGTAATATTTGTGTTTTTTATCAAAAAGTACTCTGTTCTCCGACACCTAAACAATCAGCTGGTCGGCCATGTTGGACATACCGGTGAATCAGGTGTTGCAACAACACGAAAGCTGATTGGTCAGAAGTGGACACACAGTATGCCAAAGTTTAGAAAATTCGACCGTGATACGAAAAAATAAATGCCGTAATATCACAGGACGGGAAAACATCGCTGATGTGAACGCTTGTATTGACAGGATACAGGTTTAAAAAAAATATTGATGTCCAAAATAATTGCATGAAAAAACGCTCCCGGTGTGTAAGGACCTTAACAGACACACAAAGGAAAGGCAAAACACTCCAAAAAAAACCCCAAAACACTCATGTTCCTCATCTTCTGGATTGAAATTTGAAATTTTAAGCACTCAGTCCTGTTTTTTGTTTTCTTTTAAATTTATTTCTTTATTAATATCTTTTTTTACACCTCAGGTCACTTCTTAAAGTAGCTGATAGAAATTATGTCACCCTTTACTTAATATTCTATTTTGTTCAGCATGTCTGTATTATATTAATACAGAATAACTTATTTATTCAGCATTGGACACTTTGGGAGCTCCATAAAATCACTTAATCTTGAAACATCTTCAATCTCAATCACTTTTATTGGATTCATCCTAATGAAACCAAACTATATTTAAGTTTTCTTCATTTGATCACCACCTGATTTTTGCTTAAAAACTTCTGAAATTAATATCTGCCGTCATAAATCCTCAAAGCCCTGATCCACTTCTGTAAAACTTTGAGTATTTTTGGGTTGATCCCTCTGTCCTTTATGAGCCGAGACTCCTCCAAACCCCTGTGTCTAATGTGATCGCGTTAACCGCTCTCCCCTCCCCCTTGTGTGTTTCTCCCAGCAGGGCTATGTCCTCGGCAGCCACCACATCTCCATCTGTGGACAAAGTGGACGGATTTTCACGGAAGTCTGTCAGGAAGGCCAAGCAGAAGCGGTCGCAGAGCTCGTCCCAGTTCCGCTCTCAGGGCAAACCTATAGAGCTCACGCCCCTGCCGCTGCTCAAGGGTAAGTGTGGAGGAGGGGGAGGTGTAGCGTGTGTTATGTATGTTATATGTGGGTGCGCTCGGGCTGAAGGGGTGATGATTACTCAGCTTTAACACTGACATGAGCCACAAATATAGTCCCTTCAGTGAAATTCGCCAGCTTGTAGCATCAAATCATCCTCTCGCTCTCCAAATCTAATGAGGGGTAATCCGTTCAAACTGTCCCCGAACACCTTTCTCTGGATTGATATTGATCACCCCGCTCCACAAGTTCACCTCACAGAAAGGTGAGAGTTTCTCTCAAACAAAAACTTCCCACGAATCCAGCGAGCAGACACTTTTTGTCTTTCAGTTCCTGCTCAGTTGACCGGGGGGAAATCTCGCATGCAGCAGATCAAAGAGCATTTCAAATAAAAGCCGACAGCCATACTGTCGAACGACCTGTTTGCTCCGGCGGGCGGAGTAGTGGAATGCAAATTATGGAGGGCAGACAAAAACAGAGCTGGATGTACAATCTCCTTTCTGTCATGCGTGTGAGACGGGCCTATACATAGAACATGTTTTCAGTGGTTAACAGAGGTGAGCTCAAGCCTTAGACAACCCCACATTACAATACAGCGGACCGTTTATTTATCTGCTGACAGAAAATGACAGGTTTGAACTTCTCTGAGCACCAGAGAGGGGGATTTAAAGCGTGAATATAACCTCGCTGAATGTCCAGTATGGTATGTAGTTTTGCAGCATTTTCACACAGCTAATCCTTCAACTCATCACACCTTTGCTTACTCAGGTGTCCAGACTTTGACATGTAGTTTTTTATCTTTGTGAACATGGAAACATTTATCCTAGTCTGTTTAGGGATGCACCGATCCGATATTTGGTATATGTATTGGTCCTGATACTGAAGAAAATTCTAGATCGTGTATCGTGACAATGGGCCCGATCTATTTGGTCAAACTCTATTCAATGCGCTGTGAGTGGCATCCACAAGTAAACACGCTAAAATAGAGCAAACAGAGGGGTCTGCTACCTCGAACTTCGATACCTGCACAGTAAACGCTACAAGTTACAACAAGAGGTAATTCAGCGTAGCTTTTATGTATCGGAATTGGATCGGTATTGGCCGATACTCAACTGTAGATATCTGTATCGGTATCGGAGGTGGAAAAAGTGGATTGGTGCATCTCTAGTTTGGTTTAGAGCAGACTTAACGTGACGTTTCATAGCAATCTCATAAAGAGCAGTGAATGAAATGTCCTTGGAGTGTGCCTGTCCAGGGGCTTATCATGAATTTAAGGACATTAGGGGCTGTGCATGGACCCCCCACACCCCCTACACTGAAACAAAATCATGCAAAGAAAACCAGAACATATTCCTCTGTATTCTTCTGCCTTGTTCCTGAGTCTGTCTCATCTGTTTGTCTATTTTGTGCACACTTGTTTGCGCCTGAGTGTGCGTGTGAGACATGCCGAGACAGGTATCACAATCAGGTGATGACACAGACACAGACACAGCCAGTGCTGCTTTCTTTGTCTGTGTCACCAACAAGAAAAGATGCCAGAACTTTTGATTTCCTGATTCCTCAACGGTCGAGTGAAAAAAAGGAAAGTGTTGATTTCATACAACCATCAATCCGTGACTCTGTTTTGGTGCTTGTCCTTCAACAAGGATGTAATGATGAACTAAGATTTTGTGTCAACATGCGGTTGGAGAAGTAGAGGCTTTGGACAGTTGTTTTCTTTCTTGGGATTTCTCTGGTAATCCTTTTGGGATTGCCTGATCCTCATTTTGGAGTATTTCTCACCAGGGATTAAAGTTATTAAAGCAGATGTTCAGATGTTCTCCCATCCTCGTTTTCAGGAAGCAGAGATAGCAGTGACCTCCAGACGTGATGATGCTCGATTGTTTCAGGACACTTTGGGTGTAGCTAACACAATAAGACACCACCTTCCTTTTTTGCTTGTGTAAATACAGCGTTTTTATGGCGCTGACGGCAGGAATGCTGCCACACAGAAACCAGACAGACTCATCCCCTGTCTGTCTTTGAGGGAGAACCCACTTCCTGGTTCCTTTCAGGCTGAGGCCCCGCCCTGCTACCACACAGAAGGCGGGACGTAGAGTCTGGACACTTTGTATACAGTATGTGTGTGTGTCCATTTGTGTGTTCTCGCTCCTCGCCTACTGTCCTTATGTAAACATCCACCTGCACACAGCAGCACACCTGACCCACACACTCCGACTTACAGTTGATCCCATTAGTCGACACCATTAGTTAAAGTACACCGTGTTTGAGAGAGATCCATTCATGCCAGGCATGTGAATTCTTTAAGAGGAAGACAGAACTGCTGTTCCTAGAGAGCGTAATGACTCAGTTCCTTTTTTTTTTTCTTAAATCCACCCTGACAACAACCACAGTTTTCTCAAAGACAAAAATATAAGACACATGGATAAGATTCACTTGTGAGTTATTTTGTAGTTACTGAAATTGTTTGAAATCTTCAGTTTTTTTTCAAGATTGAAGCAGTAAAAAATGACGCCTTGAGCAAAGTCATTACCAGTCATTCCCTCTAAAATTTGATAGTTATTTGCTCGGGTAAAGAAGTGATTCCCTTTTCTCAAATTGTTTGTTTTATATTTCTCTCAATCATGTTTGGGCTTTTATGTCCTTATTGAGAGACGGCACAGTGAATGGAGTGTAGTATGAAACTCAACGAGAGAGTAGAGTAAGGAATAGCTTGTGGTAGGGCTGGGCGATAAACTGATAATTTATCGATAGCAAAATTTATGACAATAACCAATGTCATTTTGCCCATATCAGTATATTTGGTGTCAAAAAATTAAATAAATAAAAGTTGGTTTTGGATGTGTGTAGGTAGGCTATGGTCTCATGTCCCTTTAAGGCGCTGTCCTACGTCAGAGACGTGACTCCACCCCATCCAGTCCGTAACAAAGAGGTAAAGACAGGTGAGGAGATGGAGGACGGTTCAAAAGTTGTAATTATTGTCCATTTATCGTTATCAAGGTGAATTTTTTAATATATCATGATATTGATTTGAGGCCATATCGCCCAGCCCTAGCTTGTGGTAAAGGGTTGAGGGTCAGAATTGCATCTGGGCTGCCTGCTTAGAGGACTATAGCCTCTTTACATGGGGAGTGTCAGTTGAAATAGCACCACCTCATTGTGCAAATTCACAGCATTTCCCCCCTTGGTCAGTATCAAGATTTATCAATAACTATCATTAAAAAGCACAGCAGAAGGGTGAGACATGAACTGTGTTGGGGTAGATATCAAGGACTCAAAAAGATATTTGTTTAAAGTCACAGTTTAACGCGCTATCAATGAAAAACTCCTCATTTAAACACACAAAGAAAGCTTCCGGTGGGGCACCAATACTTAATTTTACCTTTAAACCCACCTTTGAAAAGGGAAATAGCTGCTTATAGCTGAAGATTTTTGGGTAGCCAAAGAGCTTTCAAAGGGGGTCCAACGCTGCCCCTGACCACCCCTCTGCCTGGACATGCCCCTGCCCTTTGTAATTTTATCAAGCAGTAACCTTTGATTTTGAAAAGTGAGGACACTGCAGTTCTTCAAGAGTCCACTTAGCCAAAAAAACCCAATTAGAGCTCAAATTACAGCTCCAATGATAAATTTTTTACTGTAACAACCTTTTATTACATGTTTTGCTGTAAAAATTCTCATGAACTTGACTGTTAAAAAAGAGCAGGATAGATATTTCGTCAAGGAACATTAATAACACTTGTAGGTCATTACCAGCAAAGATAGCTCGGTCTATAAGGGTGCAAAAATCACAAACCAGAGCTTTAAAATGTCTATTTTTATAACTGAATTAAACGTGTTTACAGCCTAAAAAAAAAAAAAAACAGATTTGATATCTGATCTTTTTTAAGCAGTTGTATTTTCAGTCTTGGTTACAGTGTAGTTGAGCAAGATACAGTACAGTACAGTACAGTAAGAGCATCAGTCTAAATGTACTTGCGGTTCCCAGTCGGGTTGTGGTGTATTTATCGATGTCAGCGACTGAACTGGCACATGGTCTCGTCTTTTTTCAGCTCCCCCCTCTCCCCCCCCCCCGCGCGCTTCAGTTTCACACGTTCACTTCACATTCACACGGCTCCACTCATTTCTCACCTCCTCAGTACAATCGCAGTCTGCTGCTCCCCTGGAAACGCTGCTGTCGCCCAGCACAGCGGCTTCAGGAGACAGTTCACTCACAACAGAGTTAAACCACCCTGAATACGGAATAAAGTCGAACATGCACCCAGTCGATGTAGCCTGTAGTGTGTAGGTCTGTTTTTAGGGTGGTGTAAAGCCTCAGCTTAGTCGTGCAGATATAGGTCTTGTCATTATCTCCAACTTTCTGCTCGGTTAGAATGAACCTGAGAGTTTCAGACGGTGGAGTGTGCAGGTTGGCTCCCAGACAACCTTTAATAAGCAGGGTTGAACATTTTTAATGACTCTGGGTTCAGCCAGAGGTTTCTTTAGCACCGAAGAAAATGTTTTGGCAAAGCAGGACCAATGTCACGCTGATATTTGTTGTTTGAACGGTAAGAAGGGTGGTTATATGCACATCACGTCGGGTCAGGGCTATCAAAAAACAGCAGAGAGGGAAAGAAGACAAGTCTGCGTGCTTACTCAATGCCGCAGGATGTTTGGTAATCACAACGTTTTGACACAGTATTTTTTTTGTTGTTGTTTTTGCCTTTGAGAGAAAGTGTAGAGAGTACCGCCAATACTTGTTTGATACTTAATTTAGTCACTTTATTACCTCAGAAAAGAAGGTCTTCATTTGTAGATTCGGTTCACCGGTGGGTCAGGCTGATAGACTTTTATATTCAATAGCCTTCAGCACCCTTGGAAAGCATGTAGCTGAGTGCTAAATGCATTTATTCAGTTGATTCGTATATAATTTTAATGAGATTTTGATTTTAAGATTAGCCTAAATTAGGGTTCCTACATAAGTATGGAAAGTATGGTGAAGTATGGAAGTAATTTGATCAACTTCCAGGTCATAAAAGGTACGAAAAATGAAAAATAAAGTATGGAAAAATATTTATGTTTACAGACTATATCACCACAGATACAAAATATTGTTTTTTAAGATAGAAAAGAAGGTATTTCCAAGAATAATTCCAAGTATGGAAATTCCAACAGTGTAGGAACCCTGCTAAATGAAAATGGACATTTTCTTGCCCACTTTTCCCTTTGACCTCCTCGTAGTTAACCAAACACAAACACAACAACAACCAGCACAGATGAAGCGTCTGTTTCCTGAAGCGTCAGAGCCTCATGAGTTGTTTTGGACTGGTCTAGTTTGGCAGCGTTAGACCTCCAACCTTCCACAGTCTGCTGTCAAATTTGCCCAAATTCTGTTTCCACCAATTTACTCAAATATCTGAGACAGGACTCTGCAGCCAACTGGAATAAATGTGTCTTAATATGAGACGCACAAGACGAATTTAATGAATTACATCAATTAGAATCTTAAATCTCAGATTAGGACGTATCCCCATCTCCAGATCTACCAAAACAAACAGGAAGTGTTTTTTTTCCTGGATGCCTCTGTGTTTTACTGCTAGCAGTTTCACAGTAAAATACTATTAAATGAAGCTTTGCTGGAGATGCTCTTGTGTTCTGTAGTTCCTTCTGAGCACCTTCAATATAAAAGTGTACCACAGTCTGTTGTTTTCGAGGGAGCAGGAATCTCTCACATCAGGAAACCTTCACTTCGGTCACAAGACGTCTTCCTCTCACCTCCGCGCCTCTCTCTTTACTTCCTTATATGTCTGCATAAACCAAGTGGAAGAAGAGGGATTAAGCTGGCTTCCTCCTCTTGTCTGTTGTGAACTTTAAGCTTCAGATAAACAGAAGACTCTGTGACGAATGCCAACAGGCCTGCGTTGAACCACCGGGCAGTAAAATTGAATTTCATAAATGAAGTCAACCGCCGTGGCTCGTACGACCCGAACACGTGTGAGGCCGTCAGGTGCGCCGCACAATGACTGTCTTTTGTTGTCTCCTTTTACTTACAGCCTCCTCCACCTTTAATCTCTCAGCGTTATATAACTGCCAGGGAGATGTGCGTTAGGCAGAGATGTATTTTATTAACAGGCTGGCAGTCTCTGAGGTCGCCCCAAGGCTCAACCCATTTGGGAATGTTTTAGTGCGGCGTTCTAGAAAGAGGTCAGGGATATAGATATTTCTGTACTCAAAGATTTGAGTCTTTCCAAGGTTGTTTTCTCCTCTTATTTTCTACCTCCTTGTCACACCTTTAATTTCAGATCTAACATTTTAGCTCCTAACCGTGCATTCCTGGTTTATTTATGTTTACCAAGACTATTTATTTAATGATAAAGAAATGAGGATACAATAGTTGTTTTTTATTTTTAGGACACCATAGAAACCAAAACTTCCGCTGTAACTCAATCGGGATTTCCTGTTTTCTTGCTTTCTATTCATTTTTGATACCTGTAGAGGATGTTTTAAAAACTCTGAGGGGATGTGACTCCTTTTTTTTTTGTATTTTTAGGCGACACCTCAACGTAAACAAACACACTCTACCGCCTGTCCTTCACTTAAACTTTCTCTTGGGGCTTCACATTTTCATATTTCCTGTTTTCAACATTTTGAAGAAGATGCTCATAGCTGTGTGGCTTTCTCTCCATTTCCATAATCTCTCTGTGTTTACCTCCCGCCTTGAGGTACACATCCACATCCACACAGCAGCAGCAGCAGCAGAGGTAGGCGGATATATCCGGACAGCTGTGCTCGGTGCTGCTGGTTTCTGAAGACTGTGAAAGTACATCATCAGGATGCACAAATCACATCTTTTTTCACCCAGCCTCTCCAACTCCTCTTCCTCCTCCTTCTCCTTCGTCTTCTTCTTCTCCCTGTGGATTAATCACAGTTACAGGTCAGGCCTGTGCAAAGCAATCACCCAGAGGGTCTCGGTGAGGTGCACTGGATTACATAAATCCCACCGCTGGCTGCTCAGCTCATTCCTACACTCTGAGAGGAAGATGAGGAGGGTGCAGTTTCCTCAGGGGGATCCCTGGGCACTGTTGATGACGCATGCAGGAGGATTATTATTATATTTATTTCACAATGGAGTCAGTCAGTGTCTCCTCATGGTCAAAGCCACACCCTCAGTGTGCAACAGATAAAGACATGCCTCTTTTTTCAATGGTTAAAAATACCTCCAATACAGAATGAAGATTTTCACCCAAATCCCCAAATTTTAATGCCATGATTCATATTGAATTAGCTTGTTTTGTGTATGTAGGAAATCAAAGTTTAAAGACTTTTTTACCGCCGTCTCAAGTCGAGAAACTTAACCTTCAGTCATGAAACAGGCTTATTTTAAGAGTCAGTAAACAAACACAAATATGGAAGCAAGTTTGGATCATAATCCAAATGAAAAAAGATAAACAGAATTATGCATTTTCATAAGGCGAGACTCTCAATTTACCGGTCGATCTACGTGCCGACCCTCACCTATGGTCATGAACTTTGGGTAATGACCGAAAGAAAGAGATCATGGATCTCCTAAGATGTAAAGTGTCTTTTGTTTCCTCCATGTTTTTATTGAGGCTGCATTTGCAAAAGGAAAAAGAGTTTTGAAGACATTTCAGGGGCCAATTCAGAGTCTTGTTGTGCAGTTTTTTTCGCTCAATACTTCAATACATGTCTGGTAGAAATATTAAACTTGCATCACGCAGAACGCTGAAATTGTACGTGGAGGGATATCTCTATAAAGTTAAGTAGATACTCACTTTAGCTGGTGTGACTCCCAATACCGTACATGAAACACAAACATTTGGGTTCAAATCTAAATCACATGAACCCCCTGGATAATACCATCCCAGTGGGCTTAGGTGGGACGTTGGAGTATTTTATCTTCACGGGCCACATGATGGCTGCTTTGAGAACTCAAACTGAAGCAGTTTTTGAACCCACTCTTGAGAACTTTTGGCAAACCGTTCTTGAACGAGGCTCTTTTTCTTCTCGTACAAGGCTCAGGTCTGACTACACAGATCCCAAGTGTGCCTGTAAACAACTTTTGGGAATGTGAAACAAAAACAGACTGAACATGGACACCCTGCCGGAACTTCCTGAATCAATAAAGGTTGAATTAAAAAAAAAAGAGAGAGGAAATTGGACACATTACCTGCTCCAGCTCTAAAAGTCATAAACATTCATTAGAGGAGGTCAGGAAAAATTGCCAGCAAGCTCTCTGGTTACCCCCTCGGTTGGCATGGCAACAAAGCGATATCTTTGCATGGACAAATCTGCTCCGTTTGAACAAAAAAATATCTCCACAGTGATATTGTCAATATACATACAGTAGAGTTACATAACCTCATTTAAATACATGTTGCTTCCTAGTTTGAGCTTCTCGTTGCGTTACCATGGAGATGTTTGCTTAAGGAGATAGAACAAAGAGTGCAAATAGGAGAAAGAGAGAGGAGAGGTGAAGAGGCTGGCGGGAAACCTGGAGGAAGGATTAGGAGTGCTTTAATGTTCTGTGGCAAAGGAAGGACAGAGGGAGGAAGAGGAGGGGAAGGAGAGAGTTCCTGTCAGGCAAAGGCTAAACATAAACAAATGCAACTCCTTCTCTGTTTGGGAATCGCTCCATCCACTTATGCTCCTGTCCCCTTTCTCTTTTTCTTTACAGGCATATTGGCAGCATTTAAATACTTAAAATGACACGTCAGACTGTCAGGATGATAATATAAAACAAGGAGCACAAAAGTGTTGCATAATCAAACGCGTGGCGCTGGTACCCTGGTGAACCTGTAACAAATAAGAGACGCTCCAGAAAGCAAAAGCAGAATGAGTGAATATTTTTTAAGAATTCTTTAACACTATGTTAACAAAACACGTCCTTAGTGCTGTAAAATGAAGAACCAGCGCAGACATTTTAAAAAAAAGGAATGCTAGCTTTAATCTCATTCACAAATATTCATGTCAAAATAACTTTATCAGGTCCTGGAAACTCTGTTTTTTGGGGGGTTGGGGGTCTCTTTAAAGCTCCTTTGCAGTTTTTTGTAGGTTTCAAATTAAGTTAAATTGAATTTTTGGGTCTTTTTATGATGTTAACTAGCATAAAATTCCCCTAACTATAAGAGTGACTGTTTCTTTCCAGCTACTTTTAAAGTCGAAAACCCTTTTGTGAGGGGGTAGGTGTCAGAGAAGGTGGCTACTGTCGATACATGCGACATGTTCCACGGCAAATATTTTGAATGAGTAAAACATGGGGCTTTGTTTACGGGGGCAAAATCAACTCAAAGCAAAAGTTCCTTACAGGATCTTTAATGTAAATATAGTGTGACAGTACAATGTGAATATTTCTGTGAAGTAATTCAGGGCAGTCTTATCGTATAGAGAGTTCATCTTTAAAGTTGCAGGTTATAGTCACAGAGATAAAACATGAATATCAAATTCCTACTGGAGTGTATGTGTTGTTACATTCTCCAAGTGTTGCATATCAGAGTGGCATCCCCTGAGGAAATTGCACAATAAAAAGAAAAAAATTGTTAGAAGAAAAGAAAAGTTTGAAAAAAAAAGTTGAAGCTTCACACCATGACAGTAATCCAAAAAGTAATTTGTTTTTTTTGTTTTGTTTTTTTGTAACCTGCGTGTAACACAAAAAAGTAACTGATAGCAAACAAACAAAACCAGTGAGAAAAAAAAGCAAGAAAAAAAACAATAACAATAATCAAAGCAAAAAAGTGAAAATTAAAAATCAAAAATACTACTAATAATAATGCAAACGCAACATATCCTTAAAAGGAGTAGAATGAAGCATTATACTTTTGTTAACCTACCCTTTCTCCTTTACTCAATAAACAGTCAGTAGCCAGCATATTTACATTATATTAACAAAAAAAATAGAACATAAATAGAGTAAATAAGTACATTAATCATTTATGAAAACACCCGATCGTTAAAGCCCTTAAATAAAAAGAAAAAAAAAATTCACTCCAAAATTGAGAAAAAATTGCTGCTTTTACTCTGACAGTCAGTATCTGCCTGATGAGTATCGGGTGAATTTGTCGTCCTATAAGCGTTTGTGAATTCAGCTTTTCTCTGACTGTTCTCCTGGAGATGATCTTCTTTCTCACTGCTGCTCTGAGGTCTCACAATAGACCCTGTTCTAGTCTTGGATGCTGGGGTGAAAAATAGGGGGAAAAAAAAAAACACAACCAGTTGGATCACATATCTGATTTCAGCATCAGGTGGAGGTCCTCTTGTGGGTGAAGGTGTTCTCTTGTAGGTTCCCCTCGTGTCTTCGGCTCACGTCCACCTCGCACAGGAGGACTGATGTGTCTCTGACCTCTCCGGGCAGCAGGCTCTTTAAAAAAAAGAGAGGAGCAGAAAATAGAAAGAGAGAGACCGAGACGTACAATACTGCACAGCCCGCCCCTGTCTCTCCCCGCGGCTTCCTCCGGTCTGATCGGCCAATGGAGCCCACCGACACGCTGCCTCGTCTTCCCTCCCCTCCACGTCCTCCCTTCAGGAGAAACCCGATCCACGCGGTGTCTCTTTACATTTTTCCAGCCCCACTCGCTACAAACAAGCCACAAGAGGAGCGTGGGGTTAGCTAAACTCCTGTTGTCCACATGTTTGGCTCAAATCAGCCCACACTGCGACGTTCATGACTGTCGTTTTCTGCTCTTGGTGCCCAACAGGGAGAGGAGACCTGATAAAGTGAGTGGCAGGAATCATGAATGTGAGTGTCGGTGTGTTTTTCTAAAGAGGGGGTGCTCAGCAGTTAGCACAGTAGCATTGAGAGTTAAAGTTAGCCTCTGCTGTCAAGGACTGTCGTCTGCTACCAGCCGGCCTGGCCTGTCATGTGTTTGTGTGTGTGTGTGTGTGTGTGTGTGTGTGAGGCAGAAAGAGAGGTGGACTTAAAATGGACTGGGATTGGTAACAGAAGACGAGTGTTTTTACTGGCTGAGAGGAGAATGGAAAGTTCAGCGGTGGAATGAGTGCGTTTTTATTTTTGTGAATCCACTGGGCAGAATGTGCTCGCTTGTGTTCAGGCAAGTGTGGCGGCGGCATAGTGTTACCAAACCTGTCAAGATTTGGACGCAGTTACAAAGACAAAACATGCACACGCACACCGCTGAGTAAGTAACAAAGCTTTTCATATCCCTTTAGGAGAGTTTAGAGAGGATTTTGGGTCTTCTCAGATTATATTTACCTTGATTTTAGGCATGCTCAGTGAGTTTGATCATATGAAAAATTCCAGTTTTAAGATACTTAATTCAGTATATGTTATGACACACAGGGAGCACTCGTAAGAAAAACAAAGCAGCGAAACTGAAAATAAGTTTTTTTCTGACCATTACGCTCCAAAAACCTCATCTCTGCAAAAACATGCAGAAAAAGCTGTATTTGTTGGTTTTTGTGTTAAGTTTTGTGTGTCTTCTCCAGCCTCTGTTGCAGTTTCGTAACTATACCAGCACAATGTTCAGGTTAGAAATAATAATACGGACAAATTTCAGCAGTTTTTGGTGCCCAGGAATCAAAGATTAAAACAAAAATTAAAAAAAAAGATGATTTTTGGTGTTTCTGCCTGAAGTTTGGAGAGGGGAGGGAAAATAACATGCACCAAATCATGCTTGACCAGGAACTGACCCTACAACCAGAGCAACAAGGGTTGTATTCTTTGAACATGGGGCACCCTAACGTTTGACTTTTACTAGAATGATATCAAATAACTAAAAACCGTCTTTTTGACAGTTCAGTCAAGAGAGTTTTGACTGCAAAGGTAGATTTTTAGGTGTTATTTTTTATTAAGAAATATGATCCTGCTTCCTTATAAATGTGTTAAAGTGAAACTAACTTTAAAATTTGTTGTTGGCTGCATGTTTTTGCAGATGTCGAACCATCCAGCAGGTCTGACAGGCGTATGAAAGACAATGCTCGGTGCGATCACATTGTGTAAGTCAGCACCAAAGACGTTCCAGCGACTGTTGAGGGTTGATACTCAGTCCTAATCCCTCAAATCGGAACAAAACCAACCTAATCCAGGTCATGTCAGTGCAGATTAACATGCACTGATTGACACACATCTCCTCCCAAAACACACAGACACATGTTGATCAGCGAGCGGCTCTGCTCTTGTCTTAGCAAAAAGCTGCAGGAGGAGCTGGTGTTGACTGAGGCGGACAGGTACCCCCCCAGTGTTGCGCTACAGAGGAATTCCTGCTATGTGGTCCCTGAGAGCGATGCAGCCCTCTCACCTGGAACCCGTGAACGCTGTCTTTGTGTGAAGTGTCCAGCTGCTGCTTTTAAAAACCTCCATCTTTGTGCCATTTTCGTCTGAGCTGATACTGTCAAAACAGCTTCTTACTCAAGGAAACCTTTGACGTGGCATATCAGCTGTCCGGAGCTCAAACCTTTGACCGGTCAGCAATGTGAGGGTCTGACTGTCCAGCAGTCTGCCAAATAATCTTCACTCCCCTTTTTGAAATACATTAACCACTTAAGTCCTCGTCTCATTTGTTGTTTATTGATACTTTTTCATAATGATTGGTTGACATATATGTGTCATGTAAGGTTGTATCCACCGGTGCAAGGAGCATCATTAGCATTAGAAGAAGTCACTTAGGTATAAAAACACTCAGAGTGGACAGGCTTACTCGTTGAATTGTAAACAGAGGCGACCTTTAACCCTGATGGTTTTTAATAACTGCTGATCAGAGATCAGAGAAACAGAAAGGACAGGTTTTACAGGGTCCTACAGTGCGACTGTTTAACTCGCATTTGAGACTAAAAATAGATGTGTGCGAATTGTTTTTAGGGGCACATGTGCGCATATAAAAAAAATCAGCCCAAGCAACAAGTGTTTTTTCATGTAAATAACGTAGTGAAGTTAGTTTTAGGTTGGATATTCAACGGACATTCACTGAGGATCTACCGGCGTCTTCTCACTCTCCATTAGGGCTGAAACGATTACTCGAGTAACTCGAGTAACTCGATTAATAAAATTCCTCGAGGCAAATTATATGCCTCGAGGAATCGTTTAAATCCGGAACCATGTGCAGCGCACGGTGTTTGACACGGACGGTTATTTCTGTTGCGCAGAAGCGTGCTCTTTCCGCTCCTTCCGCTGCCGCGCGTTTGGTTCAATCATGGAGGGAAACGAGGACAGACAGAAGCTGTGTCCGAAATGGCATACTGCCTGCTATCTACTTACCTACTCAAGCAGTAGCTACTGCCTACTGACTACTCAAAGATGATTTGAGTATGCCGCGGCTGCCCGAGCGTTTACACACATACATACTAAATACCCCAGAATGCATTTCGTGCCGGCCGGACGCAGCGCCGGGAAAATTTAAATAGTCCTACCACAAGCTACATAGAACGACTGCATACCGGACAAATTATATAAATTCATTCAATAATAATATTTTTTCTAGCGAGAAAGTAAGTGTTTACATCACGATTATGAGCCCAGTTGTTTGAAATAGTGGCTGTTTGTAAATTTGTCTCGGCGTTTTCGGAGACCGAAGCGTCCACTTGGTCGGTGTTTGCGTCTATTTACCGTAAACACCGGGCAGCAGCAGCTCCCCCTTCACGTTTCCAAATTATTGCGAAGTGTTTTCATAATCAACATCTACACGACACAAACCTGGCGGCAGTGGATGAAAAAAATCACACAAACATCCGTGTATCCATGGTGATAATGCTATACACCACCTGCTAGGCGTGTGATGAGCAGCAGAGGGCTGCAAAATGACCAACACACAACAACATGTAAATAAAAATGTAACACTTTTATATATTGAATAAATGTACATTTGCTTGTCAAATTATGTTAGTATCCAAGAATTATATTATTTCAGCCTATTAATTAAACAAGTAAAATTAGATCCAAAGCCTGGAAATAGTTGTGACTGGTTTAGTGAAAACTGCAAAGATCATTACCATAGCAATTAAAAGACCATCTGCAGACCTTGCCTTCAGTAGTTTCATGTGAACTACATGGTAAAATGTAAAACTTTTGGTTCCTGATTTATGCAGTAAAAATATTCATTTGAAAGACCTGGCCTATTTCAGTTTTGTGTGTTACTGATGGTTTTTAATGAGGCAAACGTGATTCAATGCAAAGTATTACAGTGAGAGCAAAACATTTCTTATCCGATTACTCGATTAATCGACAGATTAATCGATAGAGTACTCGATTACTAAAATAATCGATAGCTGCAGCCCTACTCTCCATAACCGGGAACAACAACAACAGCGTAGTTAAATCTACTCGGCACCCTCGCTGTCAACATCGGGTGTTGAATAAGGGACCGTCAATAAATTACTGGTTGATTTTCTCAAAAAAAAGGCTGTTTTCCTTTAATAGCTTGAAGCCCTAACCCAAAATTGATTTCAAATAATAGTACTTATTAGGGCCCGACCGATTTATTGGCGAGCCGATTAAATCGGCCAATTTTAGCCCGTTTGAGACGAATCGGTAATCGGCCAAAAGTTGCTGATTGTTGCCGATATTTTCAGAAATAAAATGCGGAGAATAAAAATAAAAAAAGAAGTAAATATGTATTGTATGTAGATATATTACTTAAATTAACAAACTTTTCAAACTTCATAAAAAATTTGGCAGATTAATCAGATTTTTTTTTCCCCCGTAATAATCGGTATCTATACCAGTAAGACACACATTATTTGATTATTTTTCATTGTGCCCCTAATGTTCTTTGTGTGCTCCTTACTTTTTTAACTTAGGAACACATGTTCTCCTTGTGAAAAAAGCTAGTGTTAAGCCCTGACCTAGAGGAGTGGTTTCTTAGTCCTGGTTTACTGGAATCAAAAGCACACCAGAGATAAGCCAGCTGTAAAATCATCATAAAGACACCCATTTGAACACTGCAGTGTGGCTTTGTCTGTTTTATCCCACCTCTCCACACTGCCGTGTAAAGATCCCTTCTTAGTGTGCTTGATTACTTTCCTAGAAACTCTTGAACATGTTTTTTGACAGGATGAGGGTTTTACACCTCCCTCCTTTTTCAATCCACAAGCATTAGAAAGTTACCCACCAACCAAGAGGAACAGGAAGAACGTCTGCTGCAAACAAAAAAAAAAACCCTTTTATTTATGAGAAGATGAGAACAAGACTAACCACACATGCTTTGCAGGTTTATTTAATCTGCGTGTCTTTTTTTATTTCATGCACGTTTTTAGAGCATGTGATCACCTGCTTGTTTGCTCTCTTTAGGAGCTCGCAGTCATCTCACTGTTTGTCAAAGTGAGATACATTTCCAGACTCTGAGTACCTGTGACACGTCGTTACCTAAACCCCAGAGTGAAAGTGGCTCGGGCTTGCGTAGCTCTGCCATCTGCCGTGTTGTTGGCTCCGGTAGCTGGGAGCAAAGTTTACCCAGGAGGACTGCATGTGTTAATGATTGACAGCAGCCTGGCGCCTCACTGAGACGCTTATATGAGACCTCAGAACATGGCAATCGGGGCATGGGTGGTGTGTATCTGGGTCATGAACATGCAGGGTATTTATACGTCGTGGTTCTTGTGTTGCACAAATCCTGCCCTGTTACCTGTCCTGGACTCGCAGCTTTGTACTGTGCTCTGCTCCATAAAAAACAGGGCCTTTAATCATCCGCAGCGTCATATGCGTACGCAGCTTCCAGTGTTGTTGTAAGAACAGGTTTCACAGTGTTTGCACAATACCACAATTTGACTACATCACAATAACAAGTATGCTATCTGACGCCGAAATCTCCTGCAGCACAGTTCAGACGACAAAACCATCGAGCTTTGTTTCCTGACACATGTTCGTGAACGTTTTTTTAGTGCTCGATTGTTCTTTTCGTTCCAGCGATATTCAGCCTCACACGTCAGCTGATAAGTTAATCAGCACAAAATGATTGGCTAGTGGTTACAGCTTTCTTATTAAAGACTTCGTATGTGATTTTGGAAAGAGAGCGAAAACATTATCAAGCGACAAACACAAGCTTTGTCTTTCTTATTCCTTGTACTTCTTTATATTAAAGCCTCTACCTGTGAACAGTCTGCTGACAACAAACATGCCTTTATTTTGAGGTTTTTTTTTTTTTAATATTATGGTATTTAACCACAAAGATGGCGCTACAGTCAAGTTTAAGCTTCGTCACAAATAGGGCTGGGCGATATGGGAAAAATTTTCACAATATATTTTTTCATATCAGTCGATATTGATATAGATCACCATTTAAAAATTGAAATTTAACAGTTCTTATTGGTAGCATGTCTTTTGCAATACAATATGGCGTTGCGCTAGAGAAAGCGAAATCAATGGTCGTCTGTTTCGGCTGCACAGGTGCCATGAGCTCCTTGCTCCGCTAGGGGTTTGTAACCTTTTGCCTTGTTTGTGCTCTGCCGCGTGGCACTGCTTCAGGTGGTGAAAAAGATTTGAGGTATTCCCCGACTTTGCGAGAACATGTACGCAGCATACTCTGCTTCATGTCCGATCTCCAAAAACCAAAATATCTCCACACCACAGTGCTGTCAGCTTCACGTGTTAAAGTGCCAAGGTTGCGTGTAGCTGTAGCCTGCCACTGCGCAGTTGTTTGCTACTTGGTTCTAATTCAGCACATGATTGGTGGTCCCAGAGCAACTCTCCTTTTTATTGGCTGTTCTTATGGTCTACCAAAACATGGCAGAATGCAGACTATCGAAATTAATTATCTATATATATACCTTTTTGTTTTATTGCCCAGCCCTAGTCACAAACACGCCATCATGACGTGAAGGGAGTGAAAAAACACCCTCATTTATGTGTTTTGCTCGCCGCCTAGAAGCTGCACATTGCATTCTGGGATACACAGCATGTGTAGACACGGTGAGCAGCACCACCTTTCAACAGCTAGTCTTCTTTTGTTAGCTCATAACCATGCATCAAAGTAAATAAACGCGAATGGCAGACTCTCTCTCGTACACCGCTGCAGCCTCTATTCCAGGTTTTACGGTAATTTGTCACCATTAGTAAAAAGATGAAATAGAAACTTTTGTGCCGCTCAGGGCGTTGGTGATGGATAAAAGTTTCTTCTACAACTTTATCTTTTTTCTTCTTCAAGATTCAATTTATGGGTTGATCAAAGAAATCTGTCGGAGTAACCTTGGACAGAAAAAAAGAGAAACCACAAAGCCAAAGAGCGCCGCATCTCAGCTTCCACTGTGATCCAGGTCAGCGTGTGTTTGACTGTTTGACTCAGTTGCCATGGTTACAGCTGTTTCACTCTGACTGATGTGGTCCGCTCTCCCCTTTATCCTCCATTTATCTGTTCTAGCCTGGAACTTCAAATCCGTTGAGAGTCGACATATAAAAAAAAAAAAAGTGCAGCCTGTCGAAAGAAATCTGAACTTTTGACTTTGTGTTGAAATCTGACCTGCAGTTGTTTCACCCTGTTAACACCAAAAGAAAACAGTTTGATTAAAGGAGGTCCAAATATTTAAGGGCTCTTACATATTGTTATTAAATGCCTGAAAAGTCAAAACCAGATTATTTCAAAGAGTTCACAGTAGATCACAGCGTCAAACCAACCTCTGCGTCAGGCTTCGTCTGTAGTGTCGGCTACATCTGTCGTTCGTGTGTACATACATGTGAATGTCAACACAGTGCCATGCTTGTTGAGCAGTTGTTCATGGGCAGATTTACATGGACAGCTGATGAAATGATGCAGGGTCACGTCTGTCCATTTGTTTTCTTTTTTTTTTTTTTTTTTCCTGACGACCAAACAGAGCGGAGCAGATGTTATGACAGTCAGTGTTTATCGTCTCCTCTCTCCGTAATCCTTTATGTAATGTTGACCCCGATGGCTTATAGGCTCTCCAGCGACAACAGGCGCTGCCGGAAAGAACCGTTTGCTTCATCGGGGAACATGACGCATAGTTTCAGTTTTGACTGCTGTTCCTATACGTATGTGAGTGTGTGTGTTGGTGGGGGTTTAGTTTGCATTAACAGAAGAGGAGCGTCACTAAATCTGTTAATCAATTGTGTGGTTTATGATCAGCTAACCTCCTTAAACAGTTCTTTGAAAAAGCTTCAAAAAGTTCCTGTGGCTCATTTCTTATCTAAAAGATATTTGAAGCTCGATATCCTTTGACGTTAGCACTTTTAAAGAGGAAATAGTCTTACTCCAAACATCAAGAAAATCAACGGCTAGTGAGTAACAGAAGTACTCGGAAAATAAATGAATCACCGCTGTTTCTATGTAGGCCTGAAATCGGCTCCAAGCAGTAGACCATCCACCCACCGCAAGGCCTAGGGCTGGACGACAAACTGAAAATTTACAGAAAACGAAATTTACGACAATAACCAATGTCATTTTGCCCATATCGATATATTCAGTGTCAAAAAATAAATAAAAGTTGGTTTTGGATGTGTGTAGGTAGGCTATGGTTATCGTTATCAAGGTGAACTGCTCAATATATTGTGATATTGATTTGAGGCCATATCGCCCAGCCCTTACGTCAAGGCTCTACTACCTAGATGTAAACAAGCACAGGTGACAGATGTTGCTCTACTGAACTCAACTTTATTTGCAAGGCACTTTAAAACAACCACAGCTAAACAAAGTGCTGTACATAAATAGACAAACTAATGCAGACATAAAAAAAATCAAAAAACAATTAATGGATAAAATAAAAGCAGATATTAAAAAGTAAAATATAGTTTCAATGTTTTTAAAAACTAATTTAAAAACCATAGAAACAAATAACTAAAAACAAACCTTAAAACACTAGACAGACATTTGCATGTGTGCTGTGATTGGTTGAACATCCATGTAGCTGCTAATCCCAGGCATCTGGACCTTCATTTTTAAGAAGGACCAGTAGCTGGTGGTGCTAGCTCTGCTACTGTTAGCCACACTTTCCAAACTATTTTGTCAATGATTACCTGCAGCCTTTTGAATGTACAGCACACCTTGACCTCACCTGCTGCACCTTTATGACAGTGGAGAACCCTGAAAGTGTGTTTATGCACGTAATATCCTACTAACTGACCTTCAGGCAGAGCGCTCCGGTCACCTGCTGAATCCATCTGTTTGAGCCGCTCACTCTCTCCTTTCGTAACCCAAGCTCGCTCGCCCAGTCACACATAGTCCCTGCATTTAGAGAGAAGGGGCTTTCCCCCCTTTACACAGAGTGTGTGTGTGTACGTGTGTGTACGTGTGTGAGGACTGTTCTTAAAGAGTGCGTCGGCCGGTCATCTTACACCCTCCTAGACTTGTGTTTCCATTAAAATCTCTGAAGCGCTGTGTGTACAACAGTATAATCTAAAAATAGTGACTCGCAGCAGGGGAGCACTTTCCATTAATAAATAAATAAGCTGCAGACTGTGGACTGAGAATATTCTCAAAATCACAAGAAAAATTTTGTTTTTTTTGGGGGGGGGAATTAGTTAAATTGGTTGAAATAAAAAAGTCGACAGTAGTTTGTCAAAAGTTTGGCTCATAAGCTCCTTACAAAAATCAACTTTTTTCCCTTGTAGAGCTTAAAATCTGAAGTATCCTCATAGATATTGTTGGGAAAAATCTTAAGGCTGTCCACTTTGACAGATTTAAAGGCAGGCCACCGTACCCCCGAGAGAATATTGTGCTGGCACGCTCTTGAAGTGTATAAATCCTGCTCGATTTTACAGTCTTGTTTACAGTGCCAGATTAGGACACACAACAGCAGATGTTTGCACAGTTGTGCACAGGACAGATCTGCTGGAGGAGCTGCGTCAGTGTAGACGACACGTGCGCCAGCTTCTCTGTCACTCTCCCTGATTGGGTTAGAGGTGTGAGGTGGATTAACAATAGGGAGTGCACGGTGTTCTGGAACATTTCAGTGAAAATTAAAATACTGGTTGGCTGATGGTCAGAAAAAATGCAGAAACCTGATCAAATTGAGCAATATCAATTTAACATGACTTAACAAGGGATTCACAGGGTCTGTCGGTAAACAATGTGACTTTACAATGAGATTAATCAGTAATCGGCCAAAACTCGCCGATATTTTCAGAAATAAAATGCAGAGAATAAGATTAGGTTTCACTTCGAACATTTTCCGCCATTTGTCAGCCTCTTTTCTAGGTTTTACGGTAATTTGTCAACATGTTTCAGTTCAACCCACTTCACGATGTTCCCCGCTGTGCTGGTCTCGGTCACGTCGAGTTAACGGTGAAGCGCCATGTAATATGCAAGCTAAAGTTAGAGTTAGCCACCTGCTATTAGCCTTGCTACACTGTTAGCCGTGCCAGTAACGGTAGAATAAACATCAGTACACATTACGTGATTGAGCTACTTCTCTTACTGAGGCAGCTGCATGTCTCCAGATGAGACCGAACCGGAAATGAGTAACGTGAGTTAAGACGCGGAGGCATCGATCGGTCGTCCTGTATATAGTATACATGTATTTTTTAGAACTTCAAAATTTTTTTTTTAAATCGGCTGATAATTGGATTCCCCCCCCCCCCCCCCTAATAATCGGTATCGGCATCAGCCCCAAAAAATCCATACCGGTCGGGCCCTAGTCTAATTATCGTTATTGAGCTGAACTGCTCAATACATCCTGATATTGATTTGAGGCCATATCGCCCAGCCCTAATTAAAGCCAATAATCTTGTAAAGTGGAGTTTGCTTGGCCCGTATTTAAAGCCCTAGTTTTATGTTTCTTACAGTGGAAGGCTACGGCTCTATCGTCAAATGTCGTCCTCATCTGTCTTGATCTAAATGTATTTTGTCAGTCAGCTCCGCCGTCTCTTGCCTGAGGTGCTGCCTCAGTGAGCGCCCCAAATGCCACACTATGATCTTGTCAGTATTTGTAACATTTTCGTCTTGAAAAGATTTCCTCGCAGCATTAAGCGAGAAGGAGTCGACTTAGTTGCCATAAAAAGGAAATCTGCTGTTCTTTATCTCAGTTTCAAAACCTATTTATTTCATTTTATTGAGGCAATGCCTGACTGCGTATAAACAGTCTGTAATGGGAAGCTGCTTACTACAACCACAGGCCATTTGACGGTAATAACGGGAGATCCTTTGACTTTTTAAAGCCTGTTTTGACAGCTGTTATCACACTTAAGTTTAACGTGACGAGGCAGGATCTTGCCCTCCTCGGATTCACTTTATATAGTGTAGGTATTTCACTTCAAACAGGCTCTATTTGTTGGCTTGGCTCAGAGTTATTTTCAGTGTAGAAGTGGTTTCTTTTGTGCAGTTTTCGGAGCTGGTCTTCACTTCTGATTACAGTTCTTTGCTGCAGACGGACCATGTGAGCTCCTTGTAGTCTTCGAGCTCTGCCAAGTCATGTTTGGCTTCGAAATCAATCAGCGGATGATGTAATCTGGACTCCAAACCACCCTCTAAAGAGCTGTGCATCATGCTAAACATCATTAAACCAAGTAATTTTACAACCTCTCCCCGTCTGAAGATTCATACATATGCAATCTGCTGGATCCTGACCCCACGTTTGATCCATTGATGCTGTTATGTAATTAGCTCAACTTAAAGGAGTTCCTGTGGAGAGCCATCCGACTGCTCTCTCCCGTTCGTGCTGCGAGTCGTTAAGCTTTTTTCCACCATTAATTAAGCAGCAGCGACTTCTCTCTTCCACTGCCAAGGGAGCCCAGATGAGAGTCTCTTTCCAAATCTGAGAAACAGAACAGAACAGGCAGGCGGGCGGGCGGGCAGGAAGGGGAGAACCAGGGTGAGGCTGAAGCCAGAGCAGAGAGAGAGGAGCAGAGCATCAGTGTTTCCACCGCACTCATAAAGTGTCTCAGAATAGTCGTGTTGATATGAAAGCAGCTTGCTTTCGTAGGAAATGCTGCTGATGCTTTTATGGTTCTGTGACTTGGTGTTGACGACACCACAGCAGACCCGCTCCAAAGTTTGGTGTGTAAGACACTCTTCTTTAAACATGGCTACTAGTGTGACTAACTAACCCACATAAAAAAATGCAGAGAGAGCTGTTTCATAGCGCCACAGTTCCCAGAGAGTTACACTCCGAGAAGCAACAGACTGCTCTGATGCACAAAGCATGCTGGGATACACAGCAATGCTGACCAGTCTTGTGGTGCAGCCTTATCCAAGATTTTCTCCCTAATTAGGTTCCAATCATGCATTTAAAGAAACATAACTACTTGACATATAAGGGATTTCTTGTTCTCGAGCAACACACCTACACAGGTCACGAAAGAAAACATGAAATTTTATCTTTTTTTGAAAAGATAAATAACAAAAAATGTAACCTTTTTTTGGGTAACAAGTTATATGTACAGTTTGCAGAGATGAGAGTATTTAGTAGGGCCCGACTGATATGGATTTTTTTGGGGCCGATACCGATTGTTAGGGGGGAAAAAAACAGATTACCGATTGATAGGCCGATTTAATTTTTTTTTTTTTTATGAAGTTATAAATTTAGGTTGTTCATTTAAGTACTATATCTACATATTTACTTATTTTCTTTTTAACAAATGGCTGCTTTTGAGCCTTTCTAACACTTCTTCAAGGAATTAAAGGCAGAAAACTCATTTCACATCCTTGTTATTGCTAAAACAACTGAAAAAGAATGAGGTATTTTGCGTAAAGTGCAAACTTTTTCAACTACCCCTGAAACAAATCTTATTTTATGTTTCTGAAAATATTAATGACAATCGGCGAGTTTTGGCCGATTACCGATTAGTCTCAAACGGGCGAAAATTGGCCGATTTAATTGGCTCGCCGATAAATCGGTATGGCCCTCGTATTTAGCCATGTCTAGTATTTATATTATAAATGAAGCGCTCCCCTGCTCACCCCTCCCAAAACAACGGTGGCCCTCGAGGACAAGAAATGACCTGTGAGGCGGTCCTGCTCCTTACGTCAGTATAAAAGCCTCACTCTTAGTTATCAAAAACAAAATGTTCTGTCAAATGTTTTTGTTTTGGTTACACAAATCTAACATACTTACGAATATTATATTATCCCACTGAGTCTGTTCTGCTAAATCCCCCACCCTTTTATATTTGGATATGACGAGAAACAACAATCCTCCGATGCTGCAAATCGTCACGATGAAGAGCTCTTTTCTTGTCCGGCTGACACAGTTTCCGGTGAACTCTACCCTCGATTCTGGTGGCTGCCATTGCCGCGATGTCGCCATAATAATCCTGAAAATGATGTTTGGCTTATGCACAGAGAGGCTGACAGCGTGGATCATCACAGTCCTGATTCCATCCCCATCCCACTGTGAATGCTGGATTAAAGACGATGACATTTTCACCAGCTAAAAGGATTTGAGGATAAAATGGATGGGAGAAGTAAATGCTCTGAGTGATACGGGCACTTTTCGACTTTAAAGAGCTTCATTTAAAGTCTTAGATTAAATTGGTCATTCATAGAAGTGACTTTTAAAAGGAGATCATCTGATTTTATTTTGAATTAAGCATCGGCTTTATGTAATTTGAGAAAATTACCAGCTGTAGGTCTCATAATGGAGTTATTCTAGTTCATCATTCATTATAATATTACATCATTTGGCTTCACTTTGTTACTTCTTGTGTTTTTTTTTCACATTGTTTCTGTCCTTTCATTTTGGATGCATTTTTACTGGAAGGAGCTGGTTGCCTTGAGAACTGTGAATACTTGGCTTGCAGCTGGTGAAATAACATCCCATTCTGTATTATCCTCCTTTTTATGTTTAGCATAAATAACTCAAAGTAGAGGCAAGTCGAGGTGAGCTGTTTGATAGGAGGCATTGGACTAGGGCTGGACGATAAACCAAAAATTTACCGATACTGAAATTTACCACAAGAAATGACGTCATTTTGCCCATGTCGATAAAAAATAATTAATACAAGTTGGTTTTGGATGTGTGTAGGTTGGCTATGGTCTCATGTCCCTTTGAGACGCTGTTCTACATCGGAGACGTAACTCCACCCCCATATAGTCAGTAACAAAGAGGGAAAGACAGGTGAGGAGATGGAGGACGGTTTTAAAGTTGTAGTAGCTAAAGTAGACAAAGTCAGTATGTGAGGGGGTGAGCAGCTTTTATTTATCGTTATCCAGGTGAACAGCTCAATATATCATGATATTGATTTGAGGCTGTATTGCCCAGCTCTAGACTGAAGTTTTATGATTTTTTTTTCATTTTTCTTTAGTTTTTACTCCCTGTCATTGGTGATTCTGATCCTTGCTTTCGCTGCAAATACATTTAATTCAGATTTTAAAGGTCTTGCTTCAAGGCAGTGTTGTTTTTGTCAATGCCCCTTTTTTCCACGACGAAGACGTGACGTTCACGAGCTAAACACAAGTCTTAGATGACTAAAATGTGACGAGACGAATGTGCGTTTACGAGACGAGACTAGACGAAAACGTTAGTGGTGGACGACGAACAGAGTTGCAAAATTCATGAGCATTGCGTCAGTTAAACGCTAAACATATATTCTGCAATGTTGTTTACATTGATGATGACATTTCGTCAAAACAACACTGCTTCAAGGTGCATATTAAATTTTTGTCGAACTTTCTAAAAAAAAAAAGACACATTTAGTCAAAAAAACATCTATAGTACATTATCTCATGAAAGATGCAGAGAATTTTGAATTTGTATGAGCACTTTGGGCCCTCAGGTGGCAGTTTACTAAAAACAGACATGACTCTGCAGTGGAAATCACTGCATGAGCTCGAAACTACTTCTGAAACTGTACCATGCAAAGATGAAACTGCATATAAACATGCCCCTCATGCCTCCAACTCTGCTCCTAGATTTGATATGAGTTTGTAAAGACCTGATGACTAACAGCTTCACAGCAAGAGCAGCCTGCTGTAGTGAAGCTTGACCCGGGCTGAGCTGATGTGTGTTTGTACTAGCAGTACCACTACAGGGTTATTCCTTGCTGCTGTGTATCACAGGAAGTATCTGGGTTATCCCAGACTGGAGACGCACACATGCATTCTCTCGCACACGTTTGTGCACACACACACCTGCAGAGCATCTCTCTTTCTTGAACTCCCACATCCACTCATTCTCTCTCGACTTGCTCCAAGCTGGTTAGCAGTGCTCTTTCTCTCTGTGTCTCTGTAAAGGGATTACAGCGTCCTGTGTGATTATCTATCTATTAATAGACTCCTTTAAGGATGTTCACATGCTCCTATAGCGGCAGAGCTGCAGGATCTCGAGGCCTCAGGCTCAGAAACGTAAGCCCGGACCCCAAATCCTGCAGCCGGCAATTACTGTAATGAACGACTGAGCACTGGTGCACAGAGGGGAAACACAGGAGGACCTGCAGACACATACTTCAAACATCTTTAATGAGTGGGCATGCACATATCAGCTGCAGTAGCTGTATGAGGATTATGCCAGACATTATTATTCAGTTGGCGTTTCAGTTTTTTACACGTCTCCATTGCTGTCGAGGGAGACCAGATATATCCTCTTTCCTCAGACCAGCAAGATAGTGTCCCCTGACCTCTGAGCGCTGCATCCTCAGCCTCCAACTGTCCTCTGAGAATACTTTGCATTGCCCTCATGATTTGCATACTTGCACTCAAGTGTGTACAGAATATTTGTCGTAGTTTGCTCTCCATCTTGAGCATTTAAATGTCAGAACATTGTGTACATTGAAATTACTTTTATCTGCCGGTGCTCGCTTCAAAGGACAGGGATCCTCGCTTTCTCATACAGCGGGTAGAATTTCCTTTTTTTTCTCCAATATTCCTGGAAAAAATCAAGTTTGACTCTCAGACAGGGTTTGCGTTCTACACCTGTAAATTAAATCAGCCACTTTTTCCTGCCGGTGTTTTACGAGCGCACTACAAATCAAACCTTTGAGTCTTGATAAATGAGCACACTCCTTTTTATGTCCACATTTCACAATACATGAGAATGTGTATATCAGGGCGTGCCGCAGTGCAGTATGGGCTGCAGAGTGATGGTATTATTTTAAGGTCATATCAGCTTAACCCTAATGCATACACTTGACAGGCAAGAATGCATGCACGCATATTATGTATGCATGTATGTATGTGTCCACACTCACTCGAAAGTATTAAATTAGGACATTTTAGAGGCTGGAACCAGTGAAAGTTTGACAATCTTGACACCAGTACAAGACATTTTTTTCAAGATTTATTCCCAGTTTACTGACCAGCTTTGTGCTGAATAGGGGTGGGAGAAAAAATGAACACAGTATTGCGATATTTTGTCTGGTGATGTATTGTATCATTTCATTTACCAAATATCGATTTTTTAAAAACTTAATTGCTAATATAGAGTCAAATCTATGATAATGGAAAAATAAAATCAACAGTTTGATCAGTGAGGTTGGCAGAAGTGACATCATAGAACAGGAGAAAGTTAGTGCAACATATATATTTATATGGTTTGCAAGATGTGCGACATGAAAATAAAATACAGTATAGATAAGACGAACATAAAACAAAGGCAAATATTAAATTAGCTAAACAGTTGAACATTTTTTATAAATTGCAATATATTGTATCACAATACTCACTGTATTGCAAAATGTTAAAAATCGCAACAATATTGTATCGTGACCCAAGTATCATGATAAAATCATATTGTAACCCCAACTATCAAGATAATATATCATGACCCAAGTATCATGATAATATCATATCATGACCCAAGTATCGTGATAATATTGTATCGTGACACAGGTATCGCAATGATATCGTATCGTGACCCAAGTATCACAATGATATCGTATCATGACACAGGTATTGCGATGATATCGTATTGTGACCCAAGTATCGTGATAATATCGTATTGTGACCTGAATATCGTGATAAAATCATATCGTGACCTGAGTATCGTGACCTGAGTATCGTGATAATATCGTATCATGACCTGAGTAGCGAGATAATATTGTGTTATAGGGCCACTAGTGATTCCCACCCCTAGTGCTGAGCTGGTTGAATCCTGTTGGCCCAGCTCCAGTCCAATCTTGCATATTGCTTCTAATTAAGAAGTGACATGTGTTGATCCATTTTACCCTCATCATGCTAATATGACTTCTGGTGTTCCTCAGGGGTCAGTACTCGGTCCTCTAAAACCAGTTATGCGCATTCAAGTTTGACCAGTGTTTTGCTTTCACTTGACACTGTGGATGCTTGTAAGTACAGGGTGCAGTACTACAGCTGTGCTATGATTAGTCCTCTATTCACTCTGTTTGTCTCTACTTGTAAAAGATTGGCCTATTAGCTGCTTAAATGTTCTGTTTACTTCACTGACTTGAGTGTGTAGCGCTGGGTCAGTAGTACAGGGTAGATTTATCAGAGCTTGTTTACAGAAAACAGCTCCCTTTTACTCCCTTTTGAGGGCAGAGAGAGTGAACCTGCTTGACAAAGACAAGCAGAAAAGACTTTTGCTCAAGGACATGAAGACTTTGCAGCAACCTTGATATTCTGGGCAGCACTCTTTCTGGGTATTTGGAGCACTGAGTGATCATACATGCACATCAAAGAGGAGCTTGTTTCATCTTCTTGGCGGGTTAACACCACAGATTTCAGATGAATTAAAACTCAGATTGCGTTTGATTTGATGACTCAGTTTCGCTGTAGGTCAGTGAAGTCTGGAGGCGTTCAGTTTGAGAAATGTTAAGGTGTTTTCTTGGCGAGCGCCGAGCCCTCTGTCCGTCTATCCCACCAAGTTTGCACCGCAGAGCAGAGATTAAAGCCAGGACTCCTGCCAGTCAATCAGGGTCTGCCTTTATTTTGTTTTTTTGACCGGCCTGGTTGGATTCAGCTTCAATGAGCTGAGCTAAGCGGGAGGCCAGCAGGTCGTGAGTAACTAGTGGCATTTGGATCAAAACATGTTCACAATAATCACTTTAAATGCGCTTGACGAGGTCTGGCGAAGCTCGATTCCCAGGACAGGAAACTGCCCGGATCGGTTGGAGCTTCAGGAAGAGGATTTCAAAAATTTTAACTTTTTTTTTCTCCATTACAGTTTCATCAACTTGACAAAATCAGAGGCTGAAATCCTGACAAGGTCGTTTTAGTGAATGAGATGAGCGCTAATTAGCATTAGCTTTCCCGTCTGATCCGAGGCCGTGCTTCTTACCTAAAAGAAAAGGTCAAATAGCCAAACATAGTTCATCCGCATGCAAAAGGCTCATTCAGAAAACCCCTGATCTGAAACTAGCAGAGCCGCATGTAGAGCTCCTGCCTGGAAACAGGGGGGGAAAAAGGGGAGTGGGATGCTGGAAAGGCCCAAACTGTGGGTCACTGCTTCCAGGATTGTAGTCGCTGCATGGGGGGGATTTAACCCCTGAGATTAACCACCTGTTGAAGTTCAACAAATACAGTTAATAAGGATTTACAGCCTCATCTAAGAATTAATTTTTATTCCCTCAATTAATCCACCGATTCTTGGAAAACAGTAGAGAAAAGAGATTTGAAGCATCATAGTCCCATTGAACCATTGAATTGATTTATCATCTGCAACAGCTGCACGTTACTGCGAGGTGAAAAAGTCATTTTATTGTCACTCCAGGACTTTGTCGCTCATTGATATGCTGTTTGTGACTCGGTAAGAAATACAAAACAACAAGTGAGCACTTTGAAGTTTGATGTCTGAACACACGCTGCTGCTGCTGCTGGTGCGGTGCCTCGGGAGCAGCTTATCCCTTACATAACAATGGCTCGGTCCTGCTGGGACAGGGACATCAGCTCCGGCGATCACGGGGGGGGAAAAGAGCGCAGAGCGTCTTCCAGCAGGGTCTGAACTCTGCGCGACCCTCTGCCGTGTCAGTCACCGAGAGGATCAGAATAAAGACACCTGCCGACTCGTTTCTCATTGTGCATCCGTGTGGCAGGTGACAGCTCAGTCTCCGCCGCTCCCATCGGAAACACTCCGTGCCGGATAATGAGGCTGGTGCGCTCATTTAGCCGCTCTGCAGACAAGATGAATAACTGAAAAGCTGATGCAAAGCAGGGAGCTGACTTGTTGTACCTTTATTTTCAGTAACAAATATTTTTGGAAGCTGAAACTCTCTTTATAATTATTCCTCCGCTGCTTTGCTTATCATGCAGCACGTCGTCTATTTATAACAAACAGACACACCTTGTTGCCACAGGAAGTTAAAAGTCTGTGAGTTTCTGTTATAGTGAGCACGACAACAGGAAGTCTTGTGAGAACGTCAAATTAATACTGTATTCAAATAGAAGTATAGTAAGGAAAAGCTCTTTTACACACTTCGTCCTCAATTAAAAAAGATTGCAGGTTTCTTTCCCCAAATATTCAACCACAGATTCAAGATCATTTTGTTTGCTGTGTTTTTCATCTTGTTCTCAAATTTCTCTTTAGTTTATTTTAAATGTCTTTTAGTTATTTTTACTCTATTTTTGTAGGTCTTTTTTGTTGTCATTTAGTTTTTGGTGACAGTTTACACTTAACATAACTTATAAATGGTAAATAGACCATTTATAAAATGGTAAGCAGATAGTTTATTAATGTTTAATCATCATTTCTAAATAGCATATAGACCATTAATAAATTGCACATTTTGCAATTTTGAAAACCTAACCCTAACTTTACAACAACCATCTAAGTTATGTTCATAGATGGTTTAAAATCCAAATATACAGCAGCTGTATCTCCATTTTTTAGATCATAACTGCCAACCATCATCTCTTCTTGTTTACATCTGGAGAGCATTACAGCCATAGACTGTATATAGAATGGACGCCGTCTGCTGAGTGAAGCCACCACAAGAACAGCACCCTCTGGTGACGGGCTGCAGTATAAGTCATAAATCCCACATCCTCTAGCAATCCTTATGGAGCTGTGGACAAACTTTAGAAATTAATTACACAGAATATAAATTTTTCTGGTTGCGATTTGTACATGTAGTTACAGTAAGACTGGTTTGTGCTCAAGTCCTCTTTTTTCTGTACAGCTCCATTATTAAAAGTTATGAGGGGGTTCATGTTTTCTATGATTGACACGTGAAACAGCCTATGAGTGTACGAAGATTGCACACCAGGGGGATACGCTGTTTGAGCTGAGCATCATTACAGCAACTCTCAGTGACTCTCTCGCCAAATACACACAATGCTACTGCGTAATGCTGGCTTCAGGAAATGGAGAAAAATCGTGGAAATACAGAGAGCTTTTTGGCTTCAAATCTGTATACAGACAGGAGGCGGATCCAATTTGTCCATAGTATATACAGTCAAGGACAAGCAGTCATGGCTCCTCTAATACTTTCGGTTTTGGTTCCTCTCTCTGATAATTGCAGTGTGATGAACTGCTGCACAACATAAATCAGCTCCAGTTCAATAATATCAAGTTTAAATTGAGCTGACATAGTCTTCTGTGCACAAACAAGAGGTAAACAACAAGACTGAGATTTTGCATAGAGGTTGTCCTGCCGACTAGTGTTTGGTGGAATATTGCAGAGTGGCGTGGACACTGGGAGATCGTTTTTTGCACAATGTCCACACCTTTGACTCTTAAATCTGGCCTCTGTGTGGCCTCGCTCCGTGTTTGCTCTTCTATCACCCAGTGTTTGCAGGGATTGACTCCCGCCTCTCTGCCATTATACAAAGGATCAGCGATTACAGCTGATGGATGGACGAATGATTGATTAAACTACAGATTATTTTTGAAAGAGCGGATCAGTAAAATCCAGGACAGAATTATCTGTAAATATTGACATAACTGGTGCTGGATCGTCCGTATCATCGATAAATCTGCTGCCTGTTGCCTCTTCCTGTCATAAAAAAAAGTCAGCTAACAGTCTGCGTGGTTTGCATAACTGCGTCGATTGAATTAACTAACCTTCCTCATCTTCCTCCTCTCCCCCTCTGTGTGTCTTCTGCAGAAGTGCCAGCGCCGGAGCAGCCGGAGCTGTTCCTGAAGAAGCTGCAGCAGTGCTGTACTGTCTTTGACTTCATGGACACGCTGTCAGACCTCAAGATGAAGGAGTACAAGCGCTCCACGCTCAACGAGCTGGTGGACTACGTGACCGTCAGCCGGGGCTACCTGACAGAGCAGGCCTACCCCGAGGTCGTCAAAATGGTGAGGGGGGAAACTCAACCATCCAGCATTTTACGACAAAGTTACATGAGAGCTGTAGTAGAGTTTGGTCGTTTCAGTTTCTATCCATGAATGATTCGTCTCTTAAAGGGACAGTTACCTTATTTCATATCTACGGCACCTTCTCTTCACCAAATTACAGACTTCTAGGTTACCTCAGACTGAAAAGAGCCTTTGAGTGTAGCACTTAGCTCCCATCGTGGCTAATAACTCTCAAACTTTTGACCCACATAAAGATCTTAAACGTAACCCCAGAGGGAAATATTATTTAAAAGCCAGACTGACGCAGCGTGGCGAGTTTAGTACAGACGGATTACACTCAAACCAGTCCTCCTCTCTTGTCCCATTTTTCTCCCTGGCTGTCTCGTGCCCCCGATGTGCACTCACACTCACGTGAGGCGCTGATGTAACTTTGAGTATCACAGAAGAAACCTCAGAGTCTGCTGAGGGCGAGCGCTGCAGCACCGCAGGAACAGTCAGAATGTCAAATGCAGGTTATCGGTGTTTAAACAAGATCCAAAGATGTGATACATGTAGATCTGGGTGCCCTGCTGTGTGCGCTTTAACAAACAGGATCATTATCTGTCAAACATATCTGCAGTCCAGGTGATGCAATCGCCCATGGTCAGGTGTTTGAAGTGTCCTATTTATGGTCCTGCAGGTCTCTCACAACATATTCCGGACCCTTCCGCCCAGTGACAGTAATGAGTTTGACCCTGAGGAAGACGAGCCCACGCTCGAGGCCTCCTGGCCTCACTTACAGGTAAGAAAACTCAGCAGAGTGTGTTTGTGTGTGTGAGTTTTTGTCACCTTTTAATACCTTTGAGGGTTTTTTATTTTGAACTGAATTAATGTAAAATTACTATCAGCTGTTTGAGGAGCGCTCTGCTGTGTCTGAATCTGAAACATCTCATTCAGCTGCAGTGTTTTTGTCAGGTGTTTGCTGCTATGGCACAGGTTGCAAGATCCGCTCATTTCCAGGCTGTGTTCATGGAGTATCAAACCAAGGCTTGCAACCTAACTCCTCAAAATGTTTGAATTGGACCTCTCTAAATCCAAAACATTTCTTCTGCTGTGCTCTCTTTTTGGGATTATTCCACCCAGATGATGAACAAATTGTAGGAAAAGTTGATTTTTTACTTTACTTTGTCTCACCTCAATACCTCAATATTGTGAGCAATATTATGAAGATAGGATTTATAATAGGGCCGGGCGTTATGGCCTCAAATCAATATCACAATATATTGATCAGTTCACCTTGATAACAATAAATGGACGATAACTACTCTACAAGCTGCTCTACCCCTTCCACATTAACTTCGTCTACTTCAGCCGCTACAACTTTTAAATCGTCCTCCATCTCCTCACCTGTCTTTCCCTCTTTTTTGCGGAGTGGATGGGGTGGAGTCACGTCTCTGACGTAGGACAGCATCTTAAAGAGACATGAGACCATAGTCTACTTACAAACATCCAAAACCAACTTTGATTTGTTTTTTTGACACCGAACATATTGACATGGGCAAAATGATGTTGGTTATTGTTTTAAATTTCGGTATCGTTAAATTTTGGGTTTATTGCCCAGCCCTAGCTTCAACACTCACTGCATGGATATTACTAGCTAAATGATAATCTGAATGAACCTAACATGGGTGTGTGTGTCTTTGTGTCTTTGGAGGAAAAAAGTCAAAGAATTGATGTGTTTGGAAAATGGAGATAAAGTTGTCGTACAATCTAGACTGGTGGTGCTAGCTCTGCTAACTTAAGCCACACACAGCAAATTAATGTCATATTGTTAAACGATTTCGGTATTGGTAAATTTTCGATTTATCACCCAGCCCTAATTTATGGTTATTTTATCTTAAAGCAAAATGTAAAATGCTGATTCCAGTACACATTATAACTCCATCAGCTTTGTCCAGCTCTAATAGTTCATAGGAAACGGTTTCACTCCCTGAAAGAGAGCACGCTTCCAGTACTGAACGAATCCGGATCCACGAGTGCCATAGATGCTGTGTTTGGTCTCTGTGGCTTGGGTGGGTTTAGTCTGGGTCCATGTTTAGAGCCAGGCTCTCTCGTCTCTCACCTCCCCTCCTCCTTCTCTGTGTGCCTGCTGCCCAGGACTCCTTTAGAAATGAGATGCAAATCTCAAGGAGAAGCTTCCTGGTAAAACCTTTTTTCTTTTTGTTTCGTCTCATTTGTCCTTTTTTTTCCCCCCTCAGCTATTTTTGTCCCTGATCAGAAAACCCTTTTTCTCTCCTCACATCCTGGCAAATCTGAACCTCTTTCGGTCCCAGCTAAACCCACCTCACGCTGAACCTTTTGTGACCTTTGGCCCTCTGTGACCTCTCCCTAGAATCTGACCCAGTCCCAGTGTTTATGGGGTTAGTTCGAGGGCTTTGCACTGCTAAGTGAAAAGTTGGGGTTTTTTGTCTTGATTTTTTTTTTTTTCAGTGAGTTTGTTGCACAGCGGGACAGTTGTGTTTAGTATCTGTTAGTAGTTGAGAGTTTTTTTAGATTAGTTCACACAACAGCAGCTAATGTTCGTGCACATCAGTGAGTTCAGAGCTGAAGTTTTCATAGAAACTTAAATGTTTTTGCTTTAACATCCACATCTCCTGCTCTCTACCCTCCACCTTTTTTCTTCTTCTCGTCTCCAGTTGGTATATGAGTTCTTCATCCGGTTCTTGGAGAGTCAGGAATTCCAGCCCAGCATTGCCAAAAAGTACATAGACCAGAAGTTTGTCCTACAGGTGAGTCACGGTGGTCACTCTTTCTTGTCCTCTTTGTGTTTCATCACTTCGGTATCATCTGATTCTCTCCTCTGTCTCTCCTCTGGTTGCAGCTCTTGGACTTGTTCGACAGCGAGGATCCTCGGGAGAGAGACTACCTGAAGACAGTCTTGCATAGAATCTATGGCAAATTCCTGGGGCTGAGAGCTTTTATACGAAAACAGATCAATAATATTTTTCTACGGTGAGTAGACGCAGATTCCCCAACGCTTCGATATAACATAGTATGGTTTACTTGAAAGGGTGGGTTTATTTTGGGTTCGAATCAGCTGATATTTTACGTGAAAAAACTCTGCAAACTCTCAAAATTAAAGGAACCTTCCTGTTATTTTCCCTTCATGTTCCCAGCTAACGCAGAAGTCTGACACTGACTCTCCACAGCCCCCTCCTCTTAATCCCGAGTTTCATTTCGGCTCATTAGTTTTTTCGTTGTTTAACTTTTCTCCTGTCTTTTTCGTCTCCTGTCTTTCGTCTCTCTCTGTCCTCTCCGCAGTTTTGTTTATGAGACGGAGCACTTCAACGGGGTGGCTGAGTTGCTGGAGATCCTCGGGAGGTATGTGGAGGACTCACGTTGTAACGCTCTGCTCCGTCAGCTGGGCTCTCACAGACCTGAGCTCGACTGTAGCATTTACCTGTTGATCTGAAGTTACAAAAACACAAGGATATCAAATAGAAGGATAAGAAAAGAAGATTACACCCTGTAAATTGGGGATTATATTCCAGATTATACGGTAATAATGTTTCTAAAAGCTCTCGATACGCATTGGCTTGACTGATTTTCACAGTAATTGACGATCTTAAAATTGAATTAGACTCCAAACAATGCAGGAGGACTGTGGTGTTTCAAATGTAGCTCTAAAGAAACGTCCTCGCTGCTCCCCCCGGACCTGAAGGTTAGAGCAGAATCCTTCCTTTAGTTCCACCTCTTTATTTCTCCCCCGGGCTCCTTCGCTCATATAAACACTCCTCTTTTTGTCAGCCGCTCATTGATCTTCCTCTTGCTTTCAAGGATTCACAATAACACTCTTTTATGTGGTCATGTTTAATTTATGTTTGCATTTTCTCCTCTTTCTCTCTCTCTCCCTCTTTTTTCCTTCTCAGTATAATCAATGGTTTCGCCCTGCCGCTGAAAGCAGAGCATAAACAGTTTCTGGTCAAAGTGTTGATCCCCCTCCACACTGTCAGGAGTCTGTCCCTCTTCCACGCACAGGTAACACGTGTGTGTTTGTGTGTGTGTGTGTGTTCATCAGTGTCTCTCTTAAATGTACCAAAAATAATCCTGAAATGTCAAATAGTAAAAAGTTAAAAGTGCCTTTGAATTTACCCTCACAGGCTTTTTAAAGTCACAAACTTTTGTTTCTGTCTGTGTGTGTGATCTTGTTTAACCTACTTTCAGGGACACAGTAAAAACTCTAGACTAGATAAGTGGGGACCATAGCCGTGTCCCCAATAGGGGAGAAAAAGCAGATTATGGGGTCAGCTGTTGAAGCTTTTGGACACAGAAAATAAGGGAAGGTTTTAGGTTAGAGGTGTTGAATGTAACTTTATTTGTAAAACCATATTTACAGGTTATGATGATGTTGCAATGTCTGTTGTTGTTTTAATGAAGCTAATGTAAGCTAAGCTAACAGGCTAAAATGTGCTATAATCACGTTTGTTGTCTCTTGTGTCTCTACAGTTGGCGTATTGCATTGTACAGTTCCTAGAGAAAGACCCAACATTAACAGAACCAGTAAGTATCAACTGAACTAATAAACAACACAGTCATGAAGTAGAAATTATTAGCTGTTTAATTTTAAAAGTAACATGTAAACACACATTTAGCAGAGTTATAGTGATGGAACATTAGACATGCATGTAAGTTTGTTCCTGCATCAAACAAAGCGACTGGAAAGGGAGGATGTTATTTATTTTGAGTATCTATTAAAAGGATTGTAGATTAAAGATAAAGGCAAATATAACAAATAGCTGTAACAGCAGGACTCTGCATGAAATAAAGGGTCATCCTAATGAATCCTCATAAATCACCAGTTGATGCATGTTATGTTACAGTTAAGCCCTTTTCCCCTCATTTCTGCGAATGTTATCTCTAAAGATTAGTTTAAACTTCTGCACTGGTTTGCATGTCTCAATTACACCGATGCAAATGTCCCAAATAGTTGCATTGTAGTCGGACACAGTGTAGTTTTGCATTGGTTCTTAATGTTGGTGATATAAACATAAACTCCTTTTAGAATGGAAATTAACCTCATTTGTACACCTGAAAATCTTCTATTTACTTAAAAAACGACACTGAAGATATCTTATTTGCTTCCTTTGAGCTGTGCTTTTATTTGCATATGGAGTGTATCCAAACAGACCTGACTGCATCTTTTGTTTTTTGTCAACTTCAGATTTTGGTTTCATAAAAAGTTGTTTTTTCTTTCTGTGTAATGCTGCAAAGTTTTCCAGTTTTCCCTCTCCACTGTGGTCACTGCTGATAGCTGAGATCCATGTTAGCCGTAAAGGTTGCAGACAGTGCCTCACTGTGGCGAAAAGAGGAACCTCTATGAGATAACAGACACTTTTCCTGCAGGAGGAATCATTAAGAGGAGTTTGTGTTGGACAGTGACGGGAAAATCGATCAGTCCGTCTGAATCTGTCTCTTCTTCTCTCTCAGGTCATCAGAGGCTTACTGAAGTTCTGGCCAAAAACCTGCAGTCAAAAAGAGGTACGGAGTGTGTTTTTCATTTTTGTGTGAACTTTGTGCGTTTCCGTGTGTGTGTTTAGTAACACCTTCCTCCCGCTTTGTGGTCTAGGTGATGTTTCTAGGGGAGCTGGAGGAAATCCTGGACGTCATCGAACCAACACAGTTCGTCAAGATCCAGGAGCCGCTCTTCAAACAGATCTCCAGATGTGTCTCCAGCCCTCACTTCCAGGTCAGGGACCGTGTGACCGTGTGTTTCAGTGTCACACCTTTAAACTCACAGCATTGTTTGTCTTAAATTTCGCTATGGGAGGCGTTTTATGTGAAGAGGTGTGTCCCAATGAGGCGATGCAAATTAAAAGCTCATCTCAACATGAACCTCTGCTAAAAAACAAGCGTAATCAGTCCTTGATTCTCTGTTTTCACACGATCCGTGGACACTCACAGGCTTGTGCGTATTGACGTTTTCTCTCTTGTGTCTCAGGTTGCAGAGCGAGCTCTGTACTACTGGAACAACGAGTACATCATGAGTCTGATCGAGGAGAACTCCAGCGTCATCCTGCCCATCATGTTCGCCAGCCTCTACAGGATCTCCAAAGAGCACTGGAACCCGTGAGTGACTTTATATCGTCATTTCTACAAGTTCAATTCGACACAAGTAGCATATTTTTAAAAATTCTGTAAATACTCCACGAGAACTGTGTGTCTTTGTGTACGCTGATGCTCCCACATTCAGTCCTTTGGCCCTTCCCTCGGATTCTCACCTTCTTATGTTACCTTAAAGCACACACTCAGCTTTTCATGCCACATACGGACTCTGTTTATTGTAAACAGCAGACAGCACAGTGTCTTCGCTGCAGGAAACAAAACCTCGTAAAGCTTTAAAATTTGACTCGATTGCTCTTTTTATGTGAGAATCTGCTTCCTCTCTGTTTTACGTTGAAAGGAATATCAATCAGATGACGGCGTGGACAGTAATCTCTGGAGAAAGTAGAGCCAGTTCTGTTTCATTTAATGCAGGAATGATACTCTGACAGGCTGCTAGAACAAATCCATCATTAAACGTTTAAGTATTAAAAGCAACAAGCGTGTAAAATATAAATTTAAGGCTTTAAATCATCCGTATTTCATGCCCTCATTGACTCTGTGGCCGTAAAAGTTTGTAGAAGCTGTCAACTTCACGATCTCTCTCTCTCTCTCTCTTCCTCACAGGGCGATCGTGGCGCTGGTGTACAACGTACTGAAGGCCTTCATGGAGATGAACAGTACCTTATTTGATGAACTTACAGCCACTTACAAGTCAGACCGCCAGCGGTAAGAAGCAGCTCATGTTCACGTCACGGACACTCAATCATGCGATAGAGTGTGATCTCTGCTGCAGGGAAGCTGCCAGAGCAGACCAGAGCAGACCAGCGCTGTTACTAACATCACACTCGACTATTATTAGCAGGAGTATTAGCCGCGGTTAAGGCAGGAGCAGCACTCAGAGCAGCAGGAGCATGAGGGAGTTTAAAAGTATAAAAAGCCGATGATGACTTTCGGCGTATTCAGAGGAAAGAGTACGGTCTGTGTTGTGAAGTTTGGTGATTACAGGCCGATATATGTTCAAAATTAAGTGAATACTCACATGTTTGTGCGCAGAGATCAACTTCAGTGCGATTCTGATACCATAACACAAATGATCATAAACAGAGCTCTGACCAGACTCCAGATGATGATTTATCATTTTTCTTGACTGTGAGAAAGGCTTTTTTGATGCTCTCAAGATGAACTGCCTCTTTTTTTGGTAATTTAATGTTCTTTAAGGCAGGGCTCGATGGTGTGACCGTTTCACATTTGTAACTAAAAATAGATGTGTGCGAATTGTAAAATGTATTTCGGGGCACATGTGCGCACAAAAAAATTAGCCGATGCAACAAATGTTTTTTCATGTAAATACCGCGTGAAGTTAGTTTTAGGTTGGATATTTAACGGACATTCACCGCAGATCTACAGGTGTATTCTCACTGTCCATAGCACGGTTATATCTACTGGGCACCCTTGCTGTCAACGTTGGGTGTTGAATAAGGGACCGTCAATAAATTACTGGTTGATTTTCTCAATAAAGGCTGTTTTCCTTCAATAGCTTCCATGTCGTGTAACTAATTGGCCTAAAACTGATTTTAAATAAAAGTACTAAGGTCGGACGATAAGACAAACATTATTTAACTAACTTTCATTGTGCCCCTGAAGTTCTTTGTGTGCTCCTTACTTTTTCAACTTAGGTGCACACCTAAGTGAAATAAGTTAGTGTCAAGCCCTGCTTTAAGGCCAAACAAGCAGGTCTCTTTCCTTTCAACCCTAGTCTCACTGATCTGGCTGGTACCAATCTTTTTTTCTCACCAAGTACGTTTTCATTTCCCAACACAGTATGTGGTTACTTTTGGGAAACGAAGACACTCAAGTTAAATTTGGAGAACTAAAGTTATTGGTTTTGATTGTATAAAGTTGCCTACCTGCAACATGTCTGCTGGTACTTGCTTTGCTACATGTCTGTTTTCTTCAATTTGCTTGCTGTCTCTTGCACTCAAACTTAATGGATGACCATATGTCCTCTTTTACCTGGACATGTCCTCTTTTTTGGGGAGGTTTATAAATCCTTCAAATGTCCGCGTTTTTTTACAAAAGGTTCGAATTTATGTCACATGGACTTACTAGGTTAGAAGCGTGTAAAAGACACTCGATCTAACCCGAAAAACTCTCAAAATTAACTTTGTGTGACTCCCACGTAGTTGTGTCCTCTTTTTTGGGAAGTCAGAATATGGTCACTCTACTAAAATTAAAGATCCATGATGAACTTTCCTGCGTTACTGACCAAATCAGATACATCTATTAAGACAGTTTTGGCCGTCAGAGATGTGGACAGATTTAGATGTTTGAACTCTGGCTGCAGTGCGTCAGAGTAAAGCTCTCGTCCTCCATGTTTGTTTCTGTTTCAGTGAGAAGAAGAAGGAGAAGGAGAGGGAGGAGCTCTGGAAGAAGCTGGAGGACTTGGAGCTGAAGCGGGGCCTTAGGAGCGACGGGATCATCCCAACTTAACGAAGACAGCGCCGCGCTCCCCTTTGCCCCTCTCCCTTCCCTTTACTCTCCCCCGTGTGACTCCCCTTCCCCTCCATCCTTACCCCGACTCCCCTCTTCTACATCAGCCATGTCTGCTCAGAGCTCTGAGAAAATCCCCGATTCAGGCCATCGTCTGTGGATCGTCACGGAGCGCCCGCTGGTTTCTTAATTGTTTTTTTTTTTTTCTTATGTTTTTTTTTTTTTTTTTTCCTGTGTTTGTGCGACTTACTTTACAGTAGATTCATCACGTCTGTTTTCATTATTTCAACAGCACTGTAAATAATTATTTTTTCTTTTTTTTTCCCTTAAACTGATATTATTGCAAACGGAAAAACAAACCAATAATAATAAAAAAAAAAGGAAGAAAAAAATAGAAAATGAGAAAATGACTTGTGTGGGAGGGGAATTTAAACAAAAAAATCAAAAAACTTTTGGACTGTAGGACATGAAATGAACTCTTGGAAAACAAAAAAACAACAAAAAAAGAGAAGATAGATTGATTTAAACTCTTCATCCCGCTCTTCTTCTTCTTCTTCTTCTTCTTCTTCTTCTTCAGTACAGTCCCGTATGTAATTTTTATTTTCCTGGTTCTTCTCTTTGCTCTCCCTCTCGTTGCCTCCATCTTTCTGTTCCCTCCCTCCTCTCTGATGGTGCATCGGTTATTTCTCTCCCTGAGTGGGGTGTCCGAACTGAAAATGGGTCCCCCCACCTCTCCCACCTGAAGGTTCCTCTAGGACCTCATTCTCCTCTTCTTGTCTTTTTCGCCCCGCTTACTCGTCATCATGTTCTCCTGCCTGTTTCAAACAGGGAAAAAAAAGATCAAATCACATTTAAAGACAACAACAGGGACTCTTAGTACACTCAGACCATTTCTCCTGTAGGTGTGTTTACATGCGTGTTCATGGAGGTTTTTTTTGCTCAGCTGTTCATGTGCATTATACACTTATTTTCTTCCCTTTAATGTAAACACATCTGAACCAACCTGAGATTAAAATCCCTCAAAATTGAAATGTTTTACCGTAAATTTGAAATATTGACGTAGTCTGTAAAGACGTGTTTAAACCATATTGGAAATGCTCTCTCAACCTCCTCCAACTTAAAGTCACTGTAAACACGAGCAGAGAGGTGGAGCTGAGGCAGCCCACGAAACTGGGAACGTTATCATTCCTGCCGCAAAAACAGGGGTGTCGGCCTCTAGTGGACACTCGAGGAACTGCAGTTTTATGCACTTCCACATTGGCTTTTACAAGCTTCCTTCACAGAAGCTCTCTCACACTTAATTCCCTTTGTGTGCTACAAAATAAAAGCCTCCACGTTTCACCAGTTAAACTGGCCACTCTATAAGGAAACAGGAAGAAATTCAGAAAAAAAGCAATAAAAGCGATCTGTGAGCGGGGAAGCTGTTATTGGAATAAAATTGCGAACTGTAAGACAGTACATGCACTTATTGTTTCCTTGAATCCCCTGCAGAAATTGATTCCTGCATCTAAAAATAGTGAATTGGTCGGACAGTGATGCTGACAACAAATATCTTAAAAAGTCCTTTATTTTGAAATACTTCCAATTCACTGTGCAGCATTAAATCGTTTCTTTTTCCATAACTTTGGTGTCAGAGCACCAGAGAAATTATGGAAAATAGTAAAAGTCAACGAAAGTTTCATACATATTTTACGGTAATTGAGGTGGAGATGTGTCAAAAAAGGGGGAAAATAAGTTTATTGAATGCACAAATTTGACCAGTATAACCTGGACATGATTTTATTTCACTGTAGTTGAATTACCTCATATCCCATTCACTTCAAACTGTACTCTCAATCATTTATAATATCTGTCTTTTACCCGTGCAGCCTCCCTGAACTGTAAACGCATATAAACACACTTATTTGTCTTCATCTTCACATCTGCCTCTCCTCCTTTCTAAAAATGATGGACTGCCTTCATCATCATGATTCTTTTTTTCACTCCTCCCCGCCCCCCTTCTTCATTTATTTTTGTAACCTCTGACCCCTTTCCCGTCTCCTCACCTGCCGTACCAGGTATCCCAGGTATCAGTCTGGCACTGGTACCCTCCGGCCATCAATGGGGGGACTTTATGAAAATGAAAACAAACTAACTTTACGAAAACAAACAGAAAAAAAAACAAGTCTGCAGAGGAGCGCCAAATATCGTCCTCCCTGTTGTGAAAAAGACGAGTGCCCCGCCTCACCGCACCTCACCTCCACTCCACTCCTACCCCCCTCCGCCCACCGGGGGGCGCCGCGTTGACTTCACAGTATTACAACAACAACAGTGACAAAAAGAAAAGACAACCCTGTACATTGTTATTGAATGCAGTACACTGATAATCTTGTATCTTGTAGTAATTTAGCCTATGTTTTTTTGCTTAGGAAACTGTGGAGAGGAGTATCCAGTATATAAAGAGGTATTATGGAACAAGACTTCCTGGTATTTATGATAGTGTTCCCCCCTTTCAGTCTGTTTTTTTTTTCTTTTCTTTCTCTGTCTCTCACTCCTCCCTCTTCTTCTCTTGGTTTTTATCTCATTTTGGATATTTTGATGAAGTTTCTTTTGACCATTGGATATATTTTTTTTAGTTGGGGAGGGAGGGAGGGAGGGAGGGAGGGAAGGGGTGAGGGTGAGGGCAGGTTAGGCAGGGAGTCCGAGGGTGGGGAGGGAATTAAGGGAGGGAGGGATGGATGACGGAGGGAGGGGGGGAGTAGAGAGGGGGAAGGCATGGAGCAGACCACTTTGCCCACCCACATGGGAGCGTGATGGTGAACCTCCCCCCTCCTCCCTCGCAGAATTAATGTGTGCTTTAGAACGGCCCAGATGTAATATGATTTAAAAACTGAAAAAAAAAGATAAAAAAGGGTTGGAGAAATACAAATGTTTAATTATTTTAAAAAATAAAGAGATATTAAATTAAACCTGTTTTGTGATAAAGCCCAGATGCTGGATTGCTTTATTTACAGGGTTTACAGGATGTGTGTGTGAATGAGCGAGTGAGTGTGTGTGTGTGTGAATCCTGATCTGTGAACATAAACAGCAGGAGTAGTGAATGATGACACAGTGGAGGAGTCTTGTCTTCTATCATCATGGGCCTGCTTGTGGGAAAATTAACAGCTAAAGTTCGGACAGAAGCCTGCCTATTTGTTATGAATCACCTTAAAGTGAAAATTTCCACTGACGTTAATATAAGATGTGGTCAGTAGGACTTCTGCAGGTACATAAATGTTGCTCCTTTTTACCAGTTTACCTCTCTTTCTTGGAGCTTTGCACAAATGAGACAAATTTTACAACTCTTTTTACTTGATAGTAGCGACTAAGCGACGAAAATTGCCACATCTGCTGTGGCATGGATTGCAGGACAGGATGTTGCTCCACTTTTCCCTGTCAGAGATGGTCCCTTAGGATGCTCCCACATCTACTCAACTCTGAAGACCACAAAACTTATTTTTTTGCCAGGTGAAGTGGCTATAACTGATAAAATGGATTTGTCTGATTAGAATTTCATTTTCACTAATCTGGACATATAAAAACATAATTCTGCTAATGGAAAATGTGTCCATTTAGAGTTAGATAGATAGACAGATAGATACTTTATTAATTCTAGAGGGAAATTCAAAAATTGACACAAATACAGGTAATTTCTGAGTTTTTCTTGCTTTGTTCAATCCTGATAAAGGTGGTTCTCGGTTCTTTGCCGGCAGAAATCTTGAAATTAAAGCTCAAATGTAAAAAAAAAATCCCTAAGAAAGAGGGAAACTTTAGTTTGCTGCAATATTTGCATAATTTATCAAAACACACAAGCACAGTGGGTTATTTTATTGAATCAAATGAATCTCAAATTCTATTTAAGTTGTGGATTTTAATGTTACTTCAGAAATAATCAAATACAAAATATGATAAAAGCATATTGATCAACAAAAACAGCTGTAGCAAACGATATTTTACCTTAATTATGCTAGTTTTACTTCCTTTAGTTTATAAAAGTCATATTTTGAAGGCAAAGTTGGACTTTTTCTTCAGAGGTGTATTTTATTTTGTAATTTTCTCCCGCGCGTGTTTCCTGTTTACCCTATCTGAAGCATCAAAGTAAGAGCCTACCTTTCATGTATCCATAGTATCATTACCTGTAAGGTATGGACATACTTTTTGTGTGAAAGGTAAATTCGCACATCCTCGAGCGGCCTTTGGACCAATCAGAGAGCGGCAAGAAGAAAAGGCGGGAAAACACACCGATTTGTAATCTCCATGAAGACAGAGATGAGGAAGTACAAATTGAAGAAAACTTAAGTGTTGTTGGTATTAAGAATCGTCAAGATTGAAAAACAGAGGAGTGGAGTAAGCAGATGTCTTGTTTTGTGAACTCTCTTTGGAAGTTAAGATGATTTTTTCAAGTTAAAGACTGCTGTTCTTGGCTCCTGTTTCCGGCTCTATAATCCACCAGACCGTGAGTGTTTGCTGCTCAAAACATCCATGTTGTAACAAAAAGTCACTCAGTTACAGAAATTGTCATTAACCTTTCTTAATACGGCGAATGTAACATCTTAGAGACAGTTTACCTTTGTTTTTGGGACTTAAAATAAACTGCAGTACCTCGTTCTGCCACCAGAGGTCAGCAAAGGCCTATATCTTAACATTAAAAACACTGTAACCAAACCAAACTGCTGTGAATTTGTGTGGAGGACTAAAAGATCACAGATGCAGCAAGTGTACTTTCTTTGTGTGTTTATCACTGAAGAATAGCTAAATAGTTTGAAACATGTTGGATTATTTTGGATGGAAATTGCATCTTTAGGGGAATTATTGAAATTTTAAACTGTGTTTTATGTCGATGTTATTCTCAACTCAATTTAGGGTCAAACACACCGCAACACCAAGTTAGACACCTTGTCTAGAGATGAATGCTGCTGACCACTCCTTCTATAGTTAAACCAATTTAAGTAACGACCGCAGGGTAGTAATACAGAGAGCCACGCGCTCAACCAAAACGCCACTCTATAGCCACAAACAGCGCCTAACTTCATCAACAGTACATATATAGTCCTGGCCACAGCACTAGCCACCAAACATCTTTTTAACTTTGCCTAATTTCTTTAGCAAAGAGACTAAACACAACTCACCTACTCACCTATTAGGGACTACTGCGGGGTGCCGCAGCTCAAGGAAGAACATTTTAAACGGCATTCAAGGAGGATCAGTGACTAGTACAATGATTATTACCTCAAGGAAATGATAAAGTAATGATTAGATATGTTCTTCCTTGAGCTGCGTCACCCCGCAGTAGTCCGTAATGGACTCGCCCGAGGTCTCGCAACAAACAAGCGGCTGCTGGAAGAGAGTAGGTGAGTTGTGTTTAGTCTCTTTGCTAAAGAAATTAGGCAAGTTAAAAAGATGTTTGGTGGCTAGTACTATGGCTGGGACCCTATATGTCCTGTTGATGAAGTTAGGTGCTGTTCTGAGCATTATTTGTAGCTATAGAGTGGCATTTGGTTGAGGTTTGTTTATGGCTCCTCAGACCGCTGTGTATTGCTATCCCGCGGTCGTTACTGAAGTTGGTATAACTAGAGAAGCAAGCGGTCAGCAACATTCATCTCTCGAGTGGGTGTCTAACTCGGTGTTACGGTGTGTTTGACCCTTACTTAATTTCAGACGGGATATCCCTTTAAAGATGAATTTGATACATAATAAAGCAGTGTCCTAATATCTTGTAAGTCCATTTAAAGGACTTTGCTGCAGAGTAATGAGGTTTTGTCTGTTCATGTTGCGCCACTAAAGTCAAGGTCTTGTGGAGGTGTATCAACACAGGTACAGCAAAGGGCAGTAATTAGTGGATGTAGGTGGAGATGTAGATGCTGGTGGAGCTGGTAAGCATTTATCTAATTACCTTTACAGCAGAAAATCCCCACAGTGGAAAAAAAAAAAAAGAAGTCGTTTCCTGAAAGACTTGCACACCTTTTCCCTCGTGTCCGGGCTCGGTGTAATTACTGGAAAGTTCTCAACGCCTCAGTGCACATTTGGCTCTGAGCGCTTTATAAAAAAAGGCCGTGACATGCTGAGAGCACTGTCATAATTAATTAGCCATCGGGGCTGATAACACAGCTGATTACCCCACTACACTGCCCACACACCCACACTGCTCTTCCTCCTTCATACTGTTAAGTCTGCAACCAGGACAAGGTAGAAAAGCGGATGAGTCTGACTTCACTTTCCTGCTAAACATTTGTTAATTTGAAGGACAGACCACCAAAGTCGTTTCTTTTCCTTTCCTCTCCTTTCCTCATGTCTCCTCTCCTCTTAACTCCTTTCCTTTCCTTTCCTTTTTCTTCCTCTTGTCTCCTCTACACTCCTTTCCTCTTCTCTTCTCTCCCCTCCCCCTTCTCTCCTTTCCTCTTGTCTCCTTTCCTCTCCTCTCCTTTCCTCTTGTCTCCTCTCTTCTCCTCACCTTTCATCTCCTCTCCTCTTCTCTCCTCTCATTTCTTCTCCTCTCCTTTTCTTCCCCCTTGTCTCCTCTCCTCTCCTTTCCTCTCGTTTCTTCTCCTCTACTTTCCTCTGGTCTCCTCTCCTCCCCTCTCCTCTCCTTTCCTCTTGTCTCCCCTCCTCTTTTCTCCTTTTTTCTTGTCTCCTCCTCTTTTCTCCTTTCCTCTCGTCTCCTCTCCTTTTCTCCCATCCTGTCTCCTCTCCTCTCCTCCCCTCTCCTCTTCTTTCCTCTTGTCTCATCTCCTCTTTTCTCCTTTCCTCTCGTCTCCTCTCCTTTTCTCTCGTCTTGTCTCCTCTCATCTTCTTTGCTCTCCTCTCCTTTCTTCTCCTTTCTGTCCACTTTTCACTCCCTTGCCATCCTTGTATCCTTACTTTTCTTTTTCTTCTCTCATCTCCTCCACTTCCTCTTTTTTAAAGTTTAAACTTTGTCCTCTCTCTTTTCTTTCTCTCCCTGTTTACTAACACCTTTAGTTGGAGGACAGAGCACCAAAATCAGGATATAAATCAGTGTTTTATCTTCATCTGTAAAATAAATATACTGCAGGATTTAGCTGTTTCTGTATTTCTGTTTAGTCCTGATAAAACTCTGTTGGAACCCAGCCCTGTTAGCGTCCTTGGATTAAATGTTCACCTGTAAAATTAAATGTTCCTGCTCTTTTATAGGGGCGGACACGGTGAAGTTTAAGAAGGAAATCCTGCTCACAAACTCGTCATCAACAGGAAACCTCCCCGACATGTTTCCTTTTATTTTACCGAGGCTGTTTAGGGGGGAGATGAGTCATTTCCCCTCTGTCACCCACTTCATGACGCTTTTATTTTGAAGTTCACCCACTTCCCCTCCCTGCTCTCTCTCTCTTTCTCTCTCTCCTTTCTCCTTTTTCTCTTTTTCTGCCAAATCATCACAGATACCTTCCTCTTCTCCTTCCTCCCCATCTTATCGTTCATCTCTTTTGCCTTTTTTTGCTCTCTTCATCTCCATTTCTTCTCTTTTTTCTGTTTTCATATCTCTCCCTCTTCTATGCAGTATTTATTTCTCTAAGCCTCCATTATCTCCTCTTCTCCTCTTTCTCTATTTCTTCCTTTTTCACTCTTATCTTCTTGTTTTCTTCTCTTCTCATCCTTGTGTTTCCTTTACATCCTCCTTCTTCTTATTTTCTCCTTCCTGTTTTTCTTCTTTACTTTCCTCTCCTAGTTTCAAGCACCTTTATCCTCTCTCTCTCTCTCTCTTTCTTTTCACTACCTTCACCACTTACGTCCTCCTCCACTGACCTCCTTCCCTCCTTTTATTTTTTATAGTTTTCTCTCCGCCTATATCTTCCTCTCCAATCCCCTTTTTCTTAACTCTTTTCCTCGTCTCTTTTGTCCTCTATCTTTTTTCATCTCCTCTCATTCCTTTTATTTCCTTGGATTTTATCCTCTTCTATCGTTACTTCCTTCCTTGCTTTTCCCTGTTTCCTAGTTCTTCTGACCTTTCTCCATCTTTTACTCTCTGTATTCTTCTTGAACCTTGACTTTATTTGTTCTCCTTTTGTCCTTCTTTAGTTTTCTCTTCTTTTCTTTCTTTTCTTTATTCATGTTACTTGATCAGTTCTCTGTTTTGTTTTGTTTCCTCTCCTCTCTCTTTTTCTCTTCTCTTCTTCCCTCAATCATTCATTTCCTTAAGTGTCTATCTTTTTTCCTTAACTATCCATCTCCTCCTCTACTTGACCTCCCCCCTTTTTCCTTGCTTAAGTGTCCTCTCCTCCCTCCTCAAGTATTCTCATTTCTTCTGTTCCTACAGCGTCCTATCGTCTCCTCTCCTCTCCTTTGATCTCCTATCTTCTCATCTTCTTTCCTTTCCTCTTCACTCTTCTTGTTTCATCTCCTCTCCTCATTTCATCTTCTCTTGTCTCCTCTCCTCTCCTGTTGCCTCGTCTCCTCTCATATCTTCTCGTATCTTCTCATCTCTCCTCATCTCCTCTCATTCTCTCATTTCCTCCTATCTCTTCTCTACTTCTCTCTTCCCATCTCCTTTCCTTTCCTCTCCTCTGGTTTCATCTTCTCTCCTCTCCTTTCCTTTTATCTCCTCTCCTCTCCTCTCTTCTTTTCTCCTCTCCTCTCATTTCTTCTCCTGTCCTCTCATCTCCTCTTGTCTCCTCTCCTCTCATTTCTTCTCCTCTCCTTTCCTCTTATCTCCTCTCCTCTCATTTCTTCTCCTCTCCTCTCCTTTCCTCTTGTCTCCTCTCCTCTTCTTTCCTCTCCTCCCCTTTCCTCTCCTCTCCTTTCCTTTTGTCTCCTCTCCTCTCATTTCTTCTCCTGTCCTCTTCTCTCTTCTTATCTCCTCTCCTCTCCTTTCCTCTCCTCTCATTTCTTCTCCTCTCCTTTCCTCTCGTCTCCTCTCCCTTTCCCATGTCTCGTCTCCTCTCTTCTCCTTTTCTCTCCTTTTCTTTGCTTTCCTCTCTGTCCTTATTTCACTCCTTTGCCATCCTTGTTTCCTTACTTTCCCTCCCCCTCATCTCCTCCTCTACTTCCTCTTAAAGTTTAACCTTTTTTTCTTTTCTTCCTCTTCTTTTACTCTCTTTTTTCTTCCCCTCCTTGTTTTCTAATACCTTTAGTTGTTTTGTCTCTTTTTTCTCGTTAATCCCTCCTCTCCTTGTGTTTCTCCTCTTCCTCTCTTTCCTCGTCTCATCGCTGTAAATCCGTTAATATGATTCTTCCACTTTGTAGTCTTCCTCTCTCCTCCCTCCTTGTCCTGCTCTCTCCTCTCTGGGTATATGTGTCCTCTCTCTCTCTCTCCCTCCCTTCCTCCCTCTGCACCTTAATCCCTGTTTGGTAATGAATGTATATGACTGAATGGACGTATATTGATGTAAGCCTCTTAATCCCATATTACCTCGGGCTGATCTTTGCCATTTCATGATTCGCCGTCTAAAAACAAGAGACGCAGCCGAGAGTTCAATCCACATTAGCAGCCTCTGATGTGGAAATGCAACGCCTATAGGGATTTTTCCCACAATGCACTTGGGATATTATCGCATACGTTTGACAAAGAGCGTTTTTGTAATGACAATAAGGGCTGGAAAAACGCCGCTGTTTGTCGGCGTTGGTTAAAATCATGATTGACATGAATGCTTTTAACCTTTTCTGCGGTCAACGATTGTGTTGCAGAGTATCAGGACGTATGCAGCCTCCCACTCGACTGCCATAAATAATGCTGCTGCAGGAGCTGTGAGCCCACACACGCAGCTTCGGATGCACATATACAAATGTGTCTCTCTGTGTGTGTCTTTTAGTGTGTGTGTGTGGCTCCCCATGGCTTCTCTGTTGACATACACATGCATGAAACACGTCAACTAGATTACCGCTCCTCCGCAGACCGACACGCTAATGGCACATGTTGTTTTTAAACCTCCTCTATAGCTGCGTCTGCGTTTAAATATAACCTTTTTGTCTTTAATTAGCCGATTTGTCGGTATCAGGAAAGTCCTGGGAGGCTGGGAGCTCTGTCAGAGACGGGGTTTTGGATGGTAGCAGATGGCTCACGTACAGAGGCCAGGTCCTTCACTGTAGGGTTTCTTTTGAGCAGCAGGATCATCTTCAGGACACCGGATAGGAATATACTGGCTTTGGTGTTATAGAATCAACAGAAGATAATAAAGTCCTTATGAGATTTTTTTTATTTCCTCATGACGTCTTATACTTTTGGGAATTTGTCTGAATTTGTTCATATCTATACTATACAGCTATAGTGAAGCTGTACTGATGCAACCAAAGAGTAAGGGCCTGTCTCCATCAACAGCATTTTCTGACCTTGCTAATGTGACTCCTCAGCTTGTTATTTAATTACTAAACTGACCCAAACATAGGAGTGACCATATATCTTCTTTTACCCGGACATGTCCTCTTTTTTGGGGGCTGTCTGGCCTTGTCCGGAGGAGTTTATAAAATTTTTAAATCGATTTTTAGGTTCAAAAATCTTTATTTTTTTTAAATTTAAGAATAAAGGTCCTTACACACGGGGAATGACACAAATATACGACGCGAAGTTAAGAAATAAAAAATAAAAAATAAAAAAGACGCGTCCCGGGTGGAAGTGAGAAGACTGACACAACAGCAGACTGACTGTTACTTAGCACAGATGAAAGTTAAAACAAAGACGTTTAGCAAACTGTTAAAGTGAACAAACCATCGTCGTGAAACTTTAGAAAAATCGACCGAAAAATGCCGCAATATCGCAGGATGGGAAAACGCCACTGATGTGAACGCTTGTATTGACAGGATACGGGTTTGAAAAAAATATTGACGTCCGAAATAATCGCACGAAAAAACGCTCCCGTGTGAAAGGACCTTAAATCTTTAAAACGGACTTACCTGTGATGTGTAGTTTTTTGGGGAAATATGGTTCCTGAAATAGTGAGTCGACAATCATAATCGTGAGTCGATAATCAACTGTTTCATTGGTGTTAAAAACGCAGACTAAAAATCGAGAAAATCGACAACATCGTAGAATCGCAATATAAATCGAATTGGCATCCAAAAAAATCGTAGAAGCACCAATTTTCATCGGAGTGGGTCTTTCACTATGATCAACAAACTTAAACGACACCTTCAAATGAGGGAGAAAAGTTCACTAAAGACGAATCAAATCTGTATTTTGTGTTGGTGCGCTCAGGCTCTTGAAAAGTATCAGTAACACGATGAAATCTCAAGATCCTCTCATTTAAAGGTGAATCATCGACAAAGTCTTTAATCATTGACATCTCACCTGTGCAAAATTTCCCAAAAATCAGCGTGTTTGAGAGCGTGTTGGCTCAGCACCACGGACAGCTCTGACAGTCACTGCAGGGAGAGTTCATTCTCAGAGCTTTGAGGCCTCATTTCATTTCATTAATTTTTCAGACTATTGGGATTTGGTCATGATGGACCCTTGGAACAATGTCATTCCTTTATTTTTTTTTTGTCTCTTTCGTTCGACAACCGAACTCTCTTTCTGCGTCCTCATTTAAACTAATTGCAGGACTTTATTTTTTTTCTCCACTCTGGGTTAATGTTGGAGCAAAAAATCCTAAAATACCACTTGAAAATTAGCGTGTTACTCTTGTGAGCTGATGCTAATGCTTAAAATAGCCCGATTAAAACTCTCTTTGGACGCTCTGGATTTCATGTTGCCCTCCTTTTCTTGGCCGACAGACTCTCCGCATCCTGTTTCACACCAACGCCAGAGCGATTCAGATGTGGACATGATGAGGTGATGCTGTTTCAGGTAGAGGCGAGATACCCGTTAACTTCTTTTAATTCCTACGTGTAACTTCAACACGCCGCGTGTTTACATCCGTCTAGATAAGAGGATGATTTGAATTTCCTCCTACATATTTCATCAGTGTGATATTAGATCTGAGCGTGCCAGGAGAGCACAGATGTTTGGAGACAGAGAGAAGCGTAACACTCTCCCACACGTTCACAAACAGCTCGTCTGGGTCTATTTTGCATCTCAAACATTAATAAACATCAAGATTTATCGCCAGCGAGCAGCTATCTGCGTTCAGATGGTGGGAATTTATACCGACTTTTAGCGTAATGATCATAAATGCTGATTTTTCTCTTTAGATCGTAGCTCTCTAGAACATTTTACATGTTCATTAATTAAATTTAACCGTGACAATCTGCTTGGAAATGTATTGTTTCACATCTTAGTCTCACTTTCTTTCTTTTTATCACTTCACAGACACTCTAAAGCCGGAAACATTCGGCCTTCTGCATCCAGATATTCTCTTAAGAGTTTAATTAGGAATGAATTCGCTCCTCACTTCCTCGCTGTCCTTGTCTCGTATGTTTCTCTTGAGTTAATTAATCCCTGTAAATGTAGCAGACACTCTGACAGAGCTTGGCTTGTTTATTAGCAAAGCATGCTGGGAGACTAGGATGCAGGCCAGAAGAGGTCAGAAATCCACCGAGGACTCTAAACATCCATTTTGGCTGTTCGGAGGCAGTGCAGCTAAATATTTAACTCGACTTAATGCACCATGCTGAGAAACAGACTGTCAGATCGTGTAAAAAAAAACCTCTCCCCACCCTCGCACGGCCGCTCTCGCTCCAAATCCCTGACCAAGGTGGCAGAGCGGGGCGTTTTAAAAGCCTGATTTCACTCTCCTGGAATAGTCTGATTTTTTTTTTTGTCCTCGCTGCCACCACTCAGCGCTGGAAGAGCACTAACACAAAAACCTCCTGACCCATAAATCCAGCGGTTCGCTCATGCACAGATGCACACGTACGGACAGGTGATGCGTGTGGATGTGACTGTGAGTTTGCAGGATAATTACTTTGGTTAAATTGTTTGCTCTTCAACTCCTGATAAATAGTAATATTTGATGGATGTTTTGGCTCTGCCTCAAACTTTCTTTAACATATTTATTAGGAACTTTTGTCTTCTGATATTTTTAGTCTCATAAAGTTAATCTCAGGTAGTCTAAGACATCAAACTGTAGAGCTGTTTGGCTTCTTGTTATTATAAAAATATGATAATCAAGACTTGAAGCACACCCTCTTTTTCTTCCTGAATCCAGAGTGTGTGCTCTGCCTCTCCTCTCAAACAGCTCTCACTTTTCTGTCATCATCTCGAGCTTCGATTGGTGTGCAACTAAATTTCGGTTGCAGATTTAGTTTTTTCTACAGCAGTAGAAACTATCATGTACCCGCAGGTGGAGAGAGGAGAGCAGGGAGAGGATCAGGAGGAGGTAGGTGTGTGTGTTTGTGTTTGTGAGATTGTGTGTCTGAAAAGCCAAGGGACAGTGTAAGCATGATGACAGAAGGTCATCTGAAATATATGCAAGACTAAACATTGACATTGTTGCATATCATACAATACAATATGGTCCTAATTCCTAAAGGCAAAGTTAAAAAGATGTTTGGTGGCTAGTACTATGTCTGGGACCCTATATGTACTGTTGATAAAGTTAGGTGCTGTTCTGAGCATTATTTGTGGCTATAGAGTGGCGTTTTGGTTGAGGTTTGCACGCAGAGACGTAGACCACTGTCTTTTGCTATCCTGCGGTCGTTACTAAAGTTGGTAAAACTAGAGAAGCAAGCAGTCGGCAACATTCATCTCTTGAGGGGGTGTCTAACTCAGTGTTACGGTACATTTACGGAATATCCCTTTTAATAACTTTGTAAAACTCCTACTGTTCTACAAGAGAAAACGAGCAGCCTCACCAAAACATTATCCAGATTTAATGACTGCTTGTTTTTGGCGGTGTCGAACCCAAACAAACACTGATGAAGAATAAAACAACAAGAACAGCTCATCCACCAGCCAGATCAGAAAACAGAAATCCACCCTCTATTGTCAGCCCATCCTCTTTATGAACAAACAATGGAGCTACACCAACTCTCGGCTTCAATTCTTTGGATTCCTGCTTCGGCTTTGTTGTTCAGCATGTTTTTGTTCACTTGGGACAAATAATTCAGTTCTGTCGAAGAAGGTGAGCCCTAATGACAGCAGGAGACGATAACATGTTGCTTTGGTTGCGCAGATGCGGAGTGCTAAGATGAAAATACTCCCCCAGGAGTTAAAAGGTCTCACGAGGCACCGCCATGTTGCTATTATGTTTACATGTACCTCTCGATTTCAGCAGATAGACACAACTTACTTTCTTGTTTTGTGTATTGTGTGATGTGTAATCCAACAACATGTCGTTGCATCCCTTCTCGTCACACACTCAGTTATTCCTGGCGTTGCTCTCATTTCTTCTCTAACTGTAAAATTAACAGTCACCCCTTAACTCCTTACCCACTGTCCATATAAACAACACAAGCCACCCAGTTGACATGGAAACGAAGCTGTTAATAGCCCGATGTGGGCGACAGGGTGACTCACCGTGCTTTTTCCTGAGAAACTTCTCATGATCACGGCTTGGTTTTGTTTGTCTCTGTTGTCCATAGTCTGACCTGGTCATTTTCTGCCACCCCATCATGTAATTTGTATCAATACGGCGGACTGTAATTTTCTCTAGACACTTGTAGGAGTATTGTAACCAACTCAATGGTCTCTCTCCAGGCTGGCGCGGACACCTTAAAACATCCAGGTAAAAGTGACAGCACCTGTGAGAAAGGAAAGTTTGTTCCCTCAGTGTCACGAGTTTGTCACTGGAGGAGGACAGGCCGGATGATGACTCACCAGAAACTTCTTTCTGAGCCGCATGAGGGCGGGTTTCTACCACGACTTTACCGTCATTTAGGCCAGAATCTGGGCAGTAAAGGCTCATTTATGCTCAACGTTACATAAGGATCGTCCATGCCTCGCGTTCTTTTCTTCGGTATTTCTGCACGTATCCTTGAGGTTTACGGCTACGGGCCAAACGGAGCAGTACCACTGGATACCAAGGGGGCAGTGTTGCTGTTGTTACTACCCGATACGCATCTCTCGAGAGAAACGAAGAAGACAATGCATGGCTTTTTG